TCTTTTTTCAATGTGGGACAATATTAAATAATTTTGAAGAAAAAAAATATATAAATATTTAATCGATAAAATTCTTATATATTCCATCAACATTGTTATTTTTGCTTCATAGCTTCTTAATATCACAAATTGGGGGAATTAAAATTTCAAATTTCAATCTTGATCATTCGAATAGAGAGAGCACGCCATGAAAGGCTAAGTCGAGCGAGAATTGGGCCGGTGGACACCGAACGGCACGGCACGGCACGTCGACATTTGTAGGTAAAAGGTGGAGAGAATCTGGGATTTTAGTTAAAAGGCAGCTGGGAAATGGATAAAGTGTTGGTCCCAAAATATGTCATCAAAAGCCAAATAAAGCATGAAAAAAGGAAAACCAGCCACACAGTGAAATCAAATAATGCTACCTTATAATGATTATTATTATTATTATTATTATTATTGTGTACATTTGATGGACAGCTTTGATTTTGATCTACATTATTCAGTTACAGATATATAACTATTTCTTTAATACCGTCAATAATAAAATTTCAGAACAAAATATGTAAATTTAAAATTAATTAATCGGTAAAGTGTGAACTCTCTTGCTTTAGGCTTTATAAGTGACTTTGGTAATAATTTTGCTTGTCGGCTTTCTTTTCTACAAATTTCTGGGCCAACCCATGATGATATGGCCCATTAGGGATGTGGCCCACCAACTCTAAAAAGAAAATGAATAATAATAACAATAATACTAATAATATGCTGTGATGATAATTTGATGTTTTAACTAATTATTTATTAATTCTTAATGAAGGGAAGATTTGAATGGATTTTATGATTAGGGAGAGATTTGATGGACATTAAATTGGATGTGGACACGACGACAGAGTTTGGAGATTAATTATTGAAGAGGAGGTAATATCACAATCACTTGTTTTTATTTATTTATTTATTTCAAAGAATGAAAATTTAATCAAATAATTATTGTAATATATATATAATTATGGGGTGTCGGTGCATGTTAAGACCCACAATTGAATTACATATAGATAGATAGATAGATATCAAAACTTGTCCACGACCACTTCATTATTCTTTCTACTTATGTCGTTGTAAGAGTTTTGACTAAACCATAACATGTATGATATGAATATTTGCAATGATGACTTTTGCACTCATTTGTTGCTTCAACGGGGTGCAATTGTCGGATTCTACCTTAATTTTCAATTATATTTTGGGAAATTGTGCTAATTTTACATACACATTTTTACAAGTTTTATTACTATCTATTAATAATAATTTTTCGAAAATTGTCATATTATTTTTTACTAAATATTATATCAAATAACTAAATTTTTGTTCCTTTTAAAAATTTTCAAAAATTCAAAATTGTCAAAACAAAACTTTTTTTTTTTTTTAATGTTTATTTGTTGATTTGTTGTGGTGTAACTGGTTTCATTATTATCTTAATTATCACAGAATATGTACATATATATTAAGGATCCTCCACACACTATGCGGTATCTTCTTTTTTTTATTTTTTTAATAATAAACTGAATATATGTTTCTAAAATAAAAGTGTAATCTTATAAGAAATTGAAATGGTTCCATAATAATAATAATAATAATAATAATTCCAATTTAAGTATATTAATTTTAAAAAATGTTACTTACATCATAGAATTCCAATATTTATATGTATATTAATGGATAATGCTTCTCATTAAATTCGCCACTAATGTTCCTTAGCTTTGATTAATTAATTTATATATGTAGCTTAAATGATTGTGGATAATCATGTGACAATGACTCCCAATAATCTGAACAACAGATTAATATTATATTTTGTTGCTGTGTGTACATATTTAATTACAATTTTCTTTCTTACACTGACCTGAGTCAATTGTTTGAATCTAAAATAAGTTAAAATAAACGTATTGGGCCAAGCCTACAACTATCTCCATTGGGCTTAAAATTGGATTATAGTTAGCCAATATCTTTAGGCTCATTTGTTAGCTTTAGGCTCAGTACTAACAAATGGGCTGAGCCCATATTCAAAGCCCAATTAAATTCGGTGTGTGTGGATTTAACCAAGGTCAAAGTAGGCAGACAAGTTAGCTAACCAATTGAAGTTCACAGTTTACGACGTCGTTTCGTCTGATGCAACAAATTTATTTCATGGGCAGGAGTAAACGAGACATGGCGTGTAGTGTAGGGAACGTCACGCCGACACCAAGTCCTCAACGGCCCACGTCATCACTCAATCCATAACATTTAATTTCAATTTAAAATTTTTTAATGTCTTTCTAAAATATGGTGAAGGAAATTAAAATCCAATTCCAGCGTGGAATTAAATTTAAATAAATTAAAATCAAATGATCAAAGATGAAAATTAGGACAAAAACTATACGCAAAAGAGTGAACACCGAGAGCGTCCTCATTTTGTTTGCTTGCCTATTAACTTCAATTAATGCTAAGAAAGTAAATAAAATATTCAATCAGTTTTTGGTCACGGGGTGCAGTAGGTTTTTAATTTTTCTATATATAATCTTTTTTTTTCTTTTTTTTTTTTAATAAAATTACTAATTTTGATTACTACTATTTTTTATCTAAAAAATAAAATTTTATAAAATACAAAAAGAACACATCCCAAATAATGCATGAATTATTTTGTTTAATTTAATTTGTTTGCTTTTAAATCATTGAGATAGATTAATTAACTTATTAATTAAGCCGAAGCACACCACGTGGCAAATCATTTGACTTTGATTTGACCAATAATGAGGGTTTGTAGTGTATACCAAATTAAATGAATATATAGATATATTTTTTACATTTTATTTTATAGCTTAAAAAATAATAATAAAAATAACAGACTCAAAGACAGTCGAGTATAGTTTGATTACCAAAGTTGAATCATAATCATAAATATGTATACACTATTTATTTAAAAGAATTAATTATATATCTGTAACTGCTCTGAGGTAACGTTACGTGGAATTAGCATTTAATTAAGCATAAATGCACAGCACATTTCATTCTGGTCCATCTTCAACTATTAGGTTAACCTACAGCAATAAATAATATTAATAAATTTAATTTTAAAATAAATTGTATATATATTTATCTTAATCATTTTTTATTTTTTTTTCTAGCATGCTTTGGGTTCTGATGGAATTTTGTTTTCGATTACTATGCAATTTCAGTAATAATTACGTGTATATAAATTAATAATCACGACAAAAATATCATGTGTCCCCATATAGTATTTTTATTAATAATAGTATTAATTGCTCCATATTTGTAGTTGGGAAGTCGTCATCGTGTCTTAATTGGTGAACGAAAAACACAATTGGCAGCACAGCATGCCTTGCTGCTGCTGCTGTTGTCACCATTTTATTTTATTTCATTTCCATAGCCTCCATTTTGAGATCATTCTTATTTATTTTTTAATTCAATTTACAACAAGTTAGAGTTGCAGTTTGATGGAGGATAGATATGAATTATGAATGCGATGATGGGCACTTTTGAGGACAACTAACTTGTTTGTCCCTTACACGAATAAGTTGCCTCAAGAGTTTACGGACACAACGAGGTTGAAGTTGACCTTCAGATTGAAAATAAATAAATAAATAAACAAACCCGAACAATAGCAAGCATGCTCAATATTTAAAAAAGAATAGTAAATCAATCGCTGAAATCCCAAATGATTAACCATTTTCTGTTTTGTTTTTTCAAGCTTCGAGTTCTTGATTGGGAAATTGTTCATGAGGGCAATTCGCTGTTCATGAGTGCTTACACATTATTATTTTAAAAACTCATCCAAATGAAATGAAGAAACGAAAATATAGAAAAATGATTTTTGTTTGGCCAAATCAGAAAATGAGAAAGAGCCTAAAATTACCATAATTGGGGGTACCCCGCCATCAGTGACTGACAATGAAAAGCAGTCATTGTCTAGTGGAAGGAAGGAAGGAAGGAAGGAAGCCTTCTTGACTGCCTTTTTTCCTCTGTACATTTCCTTTGCCTTTCCATGGAAACCGCCTCAAAATTAACTTTTGTCTTTCAGGAAAGTGAAAGTGCCTTCAAAGTGGAAAACCTCTTTCCATTTCCATTTCTCTTTACAACAGAACCCTCCTTAATTAAAGAACCCTAATCCCCAATCATGAAGCTTTAGGACACTTTTGATTATTAGCTGGATTTGATTTTACTTCTTGTTAAAAGTGTAGATTAATTTATTCTGTTGCAGGGGGGGTGCCAGAAATGCATCGAAATAGAAACAAAGAAAGAAAGGAAGGGATGAAACTGAAAACAGAGCAGAAGTGGTTGAACCAATGGCTGAGAATTCCCACCACTCTGCAGACCCATTTCTGGATAAAAAACAGACGTTGGAGATGCTTCATTTACTGGTTGTGTATCCATTTTTTTCAGTGGTGGATGGAGAGTAGTTCCAAGAATTGAAATCGAATTGAATACAACACAACACTTGCCATTCCAACAAATTAAAACTTCCTCACTGGGAAGACACAAAACTCCATTCCAAGAACTTGCCATGTTCTCATGGAGCTACCCAACAAGAACCAATCTTTACCATTCTTCCAGTGGTCCTCATTTCTCATCATCATCATCTCCCAGTAAAAAAGAATGTATATAGAAAACAGCTCTGTTTAGTTTAATAATTAACTAGGGAGTTTAATCGGGTAAAAAGATTTCATTTACTATATGTTGTTCCTTTCCAACATTCATTGAGAACTCAGATCTATGTATGTATGTATGTATGTATACTTTGATGGAGATCTGTAATGTGACATCCCATGTTGATAAAGGGGAAATAAGACGGGAATAAAACCAATAATCAAAGAGGCCCCCTTTTGCATAAAGTCAATAGAGTACTAATAAATATTTGTTGGGGAAGAAGATACTACTGAATAATTCTTGACTCCATCTAAATGTCACCTAGCAAAGATGCTATTCTCTATTATTAGTTGTTTATTTTTTAATCACTCTCTTGCTGCTGCAGCAGCTGTGGCAGTGGCAGTGGCAGTAGCAGTAGCAGTTGTTGTTGCTAAAATAATGGAGGATCAGAATTAAAAGCTTTTTGTTTTTGCAAAGGGAAGTGTGGAGTGTTTCATGGAGTGAGTGATGAGGAGCATTAATATCGTTTTCTTCTGATACTACTTTCTCTTTCTTTCCTTCTTTCTTTATCTCTCTCTCTCTCTATCTATCTATCACCGCCATTAATTTATTTGTTGTATTTATGTATGTATGTATCGCCATGGTCTGAACAGAGTATTTTGGTGAGGACGTTTGGTTTCTTGGTGAGCTGTGCCAAATTTATTTTATCTTTTTGTACACCAGACCTCTCTTCACATGGTCCCTCTTCCATCATAAATCTCAGTTAATTGCTTGTTTCTCCTGTCTCTCTCTCCTCTTTCTCTCTCTGGAGAGTGTGTTCTTTTCTTTTTCTTTTTTTTTTTTAATTTTTGGGTTCCTGTGTTCAGTTCATCTACCAATTTCTTGTTTTCCCTGTGAAGGAGAGAGATGTGGGATTACTGCGGAACATTATGAGCGGCGTTGGCCTAGGTTTTGATTACTGCCTCCTCCATTTATGGCGGTGGAGAATTCTTACATTTATTGTTCTTGTCCGGGCTCGGGCTGACGGCCTCAACACTGACGGGCTTCTCCTGCTGTCCTTCAAGAACAGTGTTCTGAGTGATCCTTTCGGAGTGTTGCAGGGATGGAGTTACCGCGATGCGACGCCGTGCGCCTGGGCCGGAGTCGCCTGTGGCGTTCCGGGCTCCGCCGACGCCGTCCTTCGGGTCACGAGCCTGTCGCTGCCGGGCTTCGGGCTTCTGGCCTCCATTCCGGCGACGATTGGCAGGATCGAGCATCTCAGGAACCTTAATCTTTCCAACAATTCCATCAATGGCTCCATTCCTCAGTCTCTCTTCGCCGCCTCTGAGCTCCAATCTCTAGATTTTTCCAACAATTTGATCTCCGGGGACCTGCCGGAGCTCGTCGGAAAGCTGAAGAATCTCCGGGTTCTTAACCTCTCCGACAATGCCCTGTCGGGAGTCCTGCCAGGAAACCTGACAGCCCTTCAGAACTTGACAGCCGTTTCTCTGAAGAATAATTACTTTTTCGGTTCCCTTCCCGGCAACTTCAGCTCTGTCGAAATTCTGGATTTATCCTCCAATTTAATCAACGGATCATTGCCGCCGGAATTCGGGGGGAAAAAGTTGTCCTATTTTAACGTCTCCTACAACAGGCTTTCCGGCGGAATCCCGCCGGGATTCGCCGCCGGAATCCCCGCCAATGCCACCGTAGATCTTTCCTTCAACAACCTCACCGGCCCCATTCCGCCGTCGAATCTCTTCCTCAACCAAACCGCCAAATCTTTCTCCGGCAACGCTGACCTCTGCGGCAAACCGTTGAGAAACCTCTGCCCGATTCCATCCTCAATCGCCACTCTCCCCGACGCCGCCTCCCCGGAGTCCCCTCCTGCCATCGCCGCCATACCCAAAACCATCGACTCCAATCCCGCAACCGTCTCCCCCGAAGCCGGAAACCCGCCCCGGGTCAGCCGAACCGGTCTCCGAACCGGAACAATCTTAGGAATAGTCATCGGCGACGTCGCCGGAGTCGCCGTCCTGGTCCTGATCTTCATATACGTTTACCACTCCAAGAAGAAGAAATCAATCAACACCGCCATTAAAAAAGAAGCCGAAACAGCCAAAGACTTCGACTGGGCATCCTCAGCGTCCTCCGAAGAACCCAGCTGGCTCCGAACCTGGACATGCCTCAAAAAACACCGACACGCCGCCGCCGCCTCCGACGACGAAGCAAGCGCCTCCGACTCCACCTCCACCTCCTCCGACCCCACCGAAAACCCGCGAAACCCCCCCGACAGGTCGCACGCAGCCCAAGAGCAGAAGACCGGCGCACTTGTGACAGTGGACGGGGAAAACCAGCTGGAACTGGAAACGCTTCTCAAGGCGTCTGCTTACATCCTTGGCGCGTCGGGCTCCAGCATAATGTACAAGGCGGTTCTCGAAGACGGCACCACCCTCGCCGTCCGCCGGATCGGCGAAAACGGCGTCGAACGCTTCAGAGATTTCGAGAATCAGGTCCGCGTGATCGCGAAGCTGGTGCACCCAAATCTCGTACGGATCAGGGGATTCTACTGGGGCACTGACGAAAAGCTGATCATCTACGATTTTGTCGCCAATGGCAGCCTCGCCAACGCCCGCTACAGTAAGTCCCCTTAATCCCAAACCTCCAACTAACCATCTTTAATCATCAAAGTAATTGTTCATGTGCTGTCGTGATCGCCATAGTTTGAATTTTTCTGTATATTAAGTTGGACGGATAGCAGATTGACAAAGGCAACGAGCCATCAAGAACCCTGATGGTCCCATTCCACATTAATTTCAACTTGAAGACAAGTCAACCGTTTGTCTGAAGATGATTTTGTTTCTTTGCAATTTTCAGGGAAGGCTGGCTCTTCCCCCTGTCACTTGCCATGGGAGTTGCGGCTCAAGATAGCGAAAGGCGCCGCACGCGGGCTGTGCTACATCCACGAGAAGAAGCACGTGCACGGCAACTTAAAGCCGAGCAACATTTTGTTAGGAGCAGACATGGAGCCAAAGATCGGTGATTTCGGGCTCGAAAGGCTCGTCGCAGGCGAAAACAGCTCCAAGAATTGCGGCTCCGCCCGGAATTTCGGCAGCAAGCGATCAACCGCCTCCCGCGACAGCTTCCAGGACTACGCCGCAGCCAGTGCAGCAACGCCGAGCCCGAGCCCGAGCGTGATCGGCGTCTCGCCTTATCACGCGCCGGAGTCGCTTCGAAGCCTAAAGCCGAATCCTAAATGGGATGTGTTCACCTTCGGCGTGATATTGCTGGAGCTGGTGACCGGAAAGGTCATTGCATCGGAGGAGACGGGGCCTGCCCTGGCCATCGGGGGAGCCATGTCAGCTGCTGACGAGGATAGAGGCAAGGTGTTGAGGATGGCTGACGTGGCGATCCGCGGCGAGCTGGAGGGGAAGGAGGAGGCGTTGCTGGCACTGCTGAAAATGGGATACAATTGCATATCGCCTGTGCCACAAAAGAGACCGTCAATGAAAGAAGTTCTGCAGGCCCTGGAAAGATTCCCATGCTGCTCGTCATTTTCCTCTGCCTATTATGCTCACTTGTGATGGAACGAGGGACGAGGAAACAGGAACAATGTAGAGAATGTAATGTGTATGTAATGAATGATCCGAGTGATTGCTGACATGATTTTTGTGTTTTGCCATTGCTAGAGATTCTTGAGTGGAATGATGGTTGGGGTAGGATCTTATCATTTTTATGCCAATTGTCTGACAAATTTGGTTTTCTTGTAATAATTTGAGAGCCCATCGTGTATTTTGCTTTCACTTGATTGATTTCTTGAATTAGATAGGGATTGTAATCCTTGCTGAATTTTAAATATGTTAATTGGGCCTATTGGGCCATTACTGTAGGGTGATTCGAGGCCTGGCCCATGGAGTACTTTGAATTGAAAAAGAATTAACGGTACTCCCGCTCAAATACCATTTCAAATACACCTGCCCATGGAATACTTCTGAATTGAAAAAGAATTAACGGCGCTCCCGCTCAAATACCATTTCAAATACATACAGTTTTAGGAGATTTTCCATCTCTCTGAAACAAGAGCCGCGCACGAAGGCAGGCTGTGGTAGGGCTCCGCCAGTCCGTCCCCGCTGAAGCTCAAAGTTAAGGCTTTTATACAAGTTAGGAAAAAGTAAAAAGGCTGTGTTTGTGTTAACAAAGCCCAAAATTCTCAATTCTCTGAGTTTGAAGGAAATGGCGACAAACATTGGGATGATGGACTCCGCGTATTTCGTCGGCAGATCGGAGATTCTCGCGTGGATTAATTCCACCCTACACCTCAATCTATCGAAAGTCGAAGAGGTATGGATCTTTACTGTTCTGCTTTCTCTTGTGTTGTGGTGGATGTGGATCCCTATTAAAACTCCGAGATTTATTTATTTTTTTCGAATTGGAGTTTCTAGGGTTTGAAATTGCTTTATACCTAATAGATTTGATGATTCCAACGGTGAATTTTCTATTTGTTTATGTTCTACCGTTTGAATATTGCGCAGGCTTGCACGGGCGCTGTTCAATGCCAGCTGATGGATGCGGTTCATCCTGGAATGGTTCCAATGCACAAAGTCAATTTTGATGCAAAGAATGAGTACGAGATGATTCAAAATTACAAGGTCCTTCAAGATGTTTTCAACAAACTCAAGATCAAAAAGGTATTATAAACTTCCACGTTTACGGAAGTTTTTCGAGTTGAAATTTTCCTCGATATTGGTGTATTGTTACTTTGCTTTTTGATGATTAAATAAAGTTTTCATTTTGTGCGATTGCAGCACATAGAGGTGAATAAATTGATCAAGGGAAGGCCGCTAGACAATTTGGAATTTATGCAATGGATGAAGCGTTACTGTGACTGTGTAAATGGTGGACTCATAAACAAGTAAATTTCTTGGGCTTCAAACTTCTTGCATGTGTTTTACTTTTTGCTTAGCTTGAAACTCTATATAACGGATTTATCAATATGGGAATGCTAATTAAATATATATGGTTAGATGTAGCATAAGGAATCAACTGGATAGTCTGGATGTATAATGTTTGAGCAGCATGTCATCTTTTATGTGATGCAAAGTGTGTTCAATGCAAGTTTGATATTAGAGTTACATAAGCCTCACATTTTCTGTGAGAAGCTTTGAAATCTAACATTTTAGCTTCGCTAGGCACACCTGTTTGACACTAGGAACTTAGAAATTTCAAAATATGAAAATTCATGTTCTGATATTTACTTTAGGTTAATGATTGAAAATGTTTTTGGTACATGTGCAATGAAGGGTTCTATAGAAAAACCTTTGTTCAGCAGTTTAATAACTTAGTAAACCATATCTTAGGTAAAACTTGTGTTAAATTTCAACGTCACAGCTGGAGATTCAATGCTTCAATACTTGTCGTCTTCTGTTCTTGCTTAATTACATTTTTCTTGTATATAGGTTTCCTCTCAGATTCTCTAATGTTTATCTGTATGTTTATGATAGCTACAATCCTTTGGAGAGGAGAGAGGCTTGCAAGGGTGGAAAAGAGCCTGGAAAAAAATCTGCACCATCACAACCTTTGACTAGAAGTACATCAACTGCACCAAAAAATGTTGGTCATAATAATCGAAAGCCTGCTGATGTACCTCACGCCAACCCAAATCAACATGTCAAAGCTACTCGTCCTTCATCTAGTAGCTCTAGATCTTCTTCAAGTGACGGGGCTCCAGTTTACCATGAATCAGAACGAACAATGTTTGAGCAACAGGTTGCCTATTACTATGTTTGGATATGATTATGTATATAGTTTTAAAATCCTTTGGTAGTTTGTTACATTTTTTAATGTGGCAGATTACGGAGTTGAAGCTGTCAATAGACAGCCTAGAGAAAGAGAGGGACTTCTACTTTGCAAAGCTAAGGGATGTAGAGATTTTGTGCCAAACCCCTGAGATTGAACATATGCAGGTAGTGATTTCAGGGTACTCCCATTCTTCATGTTTAGAAGTTCCTTTAAAATTGTATATATGTTTTGAAATCTTCTAGTGAACACATGGAAATTTGAGGATGATTCTTGTTCATTTGTTCAACAGGTTGTTGAAGCAATAAAAATGATTCTATATGCAGCGGATAATGATGCATCAGTGGTTGCGGAAGCTCAAGCTATGATATCCCAGAAGCAACAACAATTGAAGCCCTCTGAAACCACCACATCAGAAGAGACAGAGGAGAAGGTGAAGTCTGATTCTCAAAAGAGGAAAATCATAATTAATGTTGATGTCGATGCTGCCGCCAGCAATATATCATCTCCAAAGCAGCGGTTCTCTGAAACCTCCGATGTCCATTGCAGTGAATCTCCACTAGTCACTTACTGATCACTGCAACTAATACGGGATTTATCTTCGGTGATAGGAGTAGAAGATGAAAATATGTGATCAACTCTGAATCTTGCCCACATAGTCGAGACAAGTCCGGACATGATCAGTAAATGATTGGTGGAGATCCACTCTAATGGATATCGAAGGTTTTAGAGTTGATATATCATCTCCAAAGCAGCAGTTCTCTGAAACCTCCGATGTCCATTGGAGTGGATCTCCCACCAGTCACTTGCTGATCAAGTCCGGACTTGTCTCGACTATGTGGGCAAGATTCAAAGTTGATCACATGTTTCCATCTTCTACTCCTATCACTGAATATACATCCCGTACCAGTTGCATTGCATTGAAATGGTCCTCACTGTCTGCAGGTTACTCAAACATTGGCCCCTCCCCGGCCTCACTATGTTGTCTGTTGATAATAAAAACATCATCTTTTTTGCTGTGGGCAATAGTTGTTGATCTTGCAGGGCAGGATCTTCCTGTCATATCTTGGTTGTTTGGAGTAAGACAATGTAATACTACACCAAAATATATGGTACAATTTGTATCTATTTTCGTAGTTTTGATTGTGCAATAGCTTGCAGTTTTTTTACCACTTTGATTTCTTGAGGGATGAAATAGCATTTTCTTTTCTTTTCTTTTCTTCTCCTGCTTGTCCATTCCATTAAACCTCTTTTTGTAAGCTGTGACAGATTGATGATCCTCCAGCTGCCAGAATCTCAGGGTACATTAGAAAAGATTGTCCTGGAGATGTAAACAAATAAATAACTCTGTTATGAAGAGGCACATGAATGCACAATCACTCCAGGACTGAGTCTTCTGCAGAAATCAAACTACTGCACAGTATGAATGCATCAGCAAACAAAGGTACACTCCACAATTCCCCCTCTTCTTTGTTCAATGACAGATCTTTTGGCCTTTTAGATAAGAGGTATGTATAAAAAATATGTATCATCACATGTCATTCTTTAGGGTCAAGGACATAGATAAAGATCTTCTCTCTGATAACTTTCTACCTTCATCATTTCTCTTAGCAATATCTGCCTGAGGATTCAATTATTGGGAAGAGAATTATCTTGAAATGATTATCTTGCTGGGCTAACATGTTTTTGGTGTGGAATATAATATACTATAAATTGTAATGGGCTTCCTCGGATGCTTACTGAGGAAAATTTATGTTGCTTCTTTTCCTCCTAGTTAAATTTATGCCTTCTGCAACTCTTCCAGTGAAAGAATTGCAGAGCATGTCCATTGGTTGGTGTCCTATTAATGAAATGTCCTTAGAAAATTCATTGATCCCTTTGCCTTTCTCCCCCGCCAATAAACAGGAATCCTCCCAAAATACAATCAATGCATTGGAACATACGTACACTCAACAAGACCTGTCCAAGATTATTTTTTTTATTTATATAATAGGATCCTAATGAACAGCTTTGTCACATTAGCTCACAGGTTTGAGAATCTTGTTGGCTTCCCTACATTCCAAATGCAAAAGATCTCAAGCTTGAAACTGAGCAAAATGCATTAAATTTCTCAAGGGAGACTTTCCTGTCCTTTAGATTAAAAACAAGCAAGAAAAGGCCATCAAAGGCCACAAGCTTGAATCCCACTTGAGGACAACATGTTTTTCGATCATCGAGACAGTTTTCTCCACACTTAGATTATATTAAAACTGCCAACATGTTAAGAAAGGCAAAGCAGTCAATTGCCAACCTGTCCTACATACATCGAAAACCTTACTTAAATCCACGAATTCCTCCATTGTGGAAACCACCAAATGCTCGGGACACCCATCCCTTGTCCCGTTCCCCCATTGTATCTAGAGCTAGGCATTATGTATCCTCGACATCCCGAATATATATAATAGAAATCATGCCAGCTGATGCAAAATGCTTAAGTTCATCACATGGGATCGATTAGGCTGAAATAACATCATAGTAGAAATGTCACATTATTATTGCACTAGAGTGCGATGGAAAATATAGCCAAAGCGTGATACGAAGGTACCGTTGATCATATTGAATAAATATATAGATATATATTTATATGAAAGATACTGCGAGTTTAGTTCAATGAAGATGAGTAGCCCTGCCACCAGACACACTGCTAGGTGGAGTCAATCTCATGTGCTGATCATTAGCCCTGCTTCTTTTCAAGAAAGGCTCTGGTGATGACGACACAGACGATGATGCAACAGCCCACGAATCGACTGAGCTTTCAGAGCTCAAGTAGGCGTCGATCACACCACTGGGGCTGCTCGGAATCGAGTCATGCTTGCGCTTATGGTGGTGATGTTTGCGTTTGGGATCATTGATTGCCTCCGTGACAATCTTGTGGCATTCATCAACCTTGTCCTGTTACAGTTTGTAATCCAAGAATGTCTTAATTATACATACAACTTCACCATCCAATTCAAAACCCGAGAAGCTAATAATTAAGCTAACCTTGCTAACTTTGAGAACGTCCCCAAGCCGAGCTTGATAATCGGTCGCATCACAGCCTTGTATCTCACCAATCACATGTACCATCGTCGCAGCTGCAACTACAGAAGGAAGATAATGTCCAAACCTGCAATCTGCATTCACAAATGTGCACATTCACAATTAAAACCATTCGATTCGCAACCATAATTGGTAACATCAAACAAAAAACTGATCTATCCACACACCAGTGATCACTGAGAGAATAGCACTGTGACATTTGCTCAAGAACTGCCAATGCAGATCAGTGATGAGCTCAAATCTCCTCACAATGTGGTCAATAAATGACATTGGTGTCACAGGATTCACTTTCCACCCAAGAGTCGAAAGGACAAGAAGCTCCATTCTCTGAATGGTCTTCGCCTCGAACAAGAACTTCGATTCCTCAACCTAAGCAAAAACCAACAACAAATCCAAATCAAAAACAACAATCAAAGCAAATTAGGAGTAGGGCATTGCAAAAAGTGGTTTCTTTTGGTACCTGTAAGTCCAACAAAAGGGGCACATGAGTTTCCTCGACCTTGGCAGCAATGGAAAGGCAGGCCACAGCAGTCAATTGGCTCATCCATGGCTTGTCCTTCTGGAAGCAAACAGATGCGATGAATCTGTCGTAGTAGTTTACAGCTAAAAGGGCAGTCATGGCGTTGAAGCCATAGTACCCAACCACATTCAAAATCCACTCGATGGCCTCATTTCTTGCCCTTCTCAAAGCCCCATCTGAATCTGCCATTATTACAGCAGCAGCCTCCACTCTCTCTTTATGCAAAAGGGTGCGAATCTCCTCATCTTCCCAGACAAGGTCGTGCCCCGACAGCAGCAGCCTTCCGCCGTGAATCTCGGCGAAATCCTGAATTTCCGGCAGGTTTAGGTTGTGGGACAAAAGGGCACCACCTGCATTCTCGTCGAAACAGTCCTCTTCCTCCTCCTGGCAGTAAAGGGAATCAAAGATTGGATTTTGGAGAAGGGATTCGTGGCGTTGGAAATTAGAAAACATGTTCTTCCTCTTCTTCTTCCTCGGAGAAGAAGACACAGAAGCCTCTGCTCATTATCCTCAAGACAATATGCAAAAGCAGCAAAGACTGAATCTTGGGCTCGGAAACATATCTCCTTGCCCCTTTCTTTATTGCCCTTTTACTCTAACACTCAAAAAGAAATGAAATAAGAGAGAGAGAGAGAGAGCAAGGAAATGAAGGGCTAACCAAAGCAGCTGGCAGTCGAGGGAGGGAGGGGTTTTATCTGGGAGACCTTTCACGCCTGTCCTTTTTTTTTAATCTTTTTGCTTGTGGTGACAAGATTGGTTTTTTATTTTTATTTTTTTATATCTTTAGGAAATTTTATCGAAAGAAAAGAAATTAGGCATCGAATGTTCAGAGGGGACAATAATGGCCCTGTACCCATTTTTATCTGAAATGTTATATATATTTGTGTGTATTTATTCATTCATCTACAGATAACAGATACAGTAAAATCATAAATATTTGGGCAACCCATTTAGTGTTGGTATTAATTAGTGAATGTGTCGTTCTCTCGATGTACAAGTAGAATGAATCCGTACCATTGTCGTCTCTCTCCATTATTTTCTGTGTTTTTTTGTTCTTCCATGGCTGCTTCACTTACATGGATGGATTCTTATTTCTTATTTAGCGTGGGGTTTATTTTCTTCCCTGTTTCGTTCTTTTCGCATCCCTTTTTGGCTGATTTTTGAATTTTGCGATGGATTGGTTTTCTGTATTCAATATAACTTTTTTATTCAATTTAAAGAATAAATGAAAGATTAGAAGAATGGAATGGTCAAATGTTGACCAAAAGGAATCCGGGTTTGGGTCGGGGCGTTGGGAAGTGGGTATTATTCATGATCAGATTTGGATCGGTTTTATTTATTTATTTATTTTAATAATAGTGAGAGCCACAGGACCATTATATTCAAAATAAATTATTATATAATTCTTTATAGATGATTTAAATAAGGAATGTAAATAATAATAATAATAATAATAATAATAAAGATGAAATTTGTTGAAGGAAGAGATCCATTGACTCGATTCTGTTAAATTTCACTTTTACCAATGGGTAAATGGTCAATGCCGTAAACATTCAGCACCACTTAAATACTGTAATTATTTTATATATCAACATTTTACTACATCGAATATTACCATTTTCATACCAATATATATATCATTGATATATGATAGAGAGGTGATGCAACAAACATATATATGAGTATCTATTGATTCTTCAACAAATGAGACTTCAAGTTCAGACAACGCATTATTGAACCATCCATCAATATAGTTCGGAGATAATTATTATTACAATAAAGTAAGAAAAAAACAATGAAATGTGTTATCCCTGATTAATTATTATGATATTATTTTTTTATAAAGAGCTGTCAAAATTGGTACAACAGGTTCCTCATGTTAAAGGAAAATTATGAATCCAATAGAATCTGCCACTCGTCTCACTATAAAATCCGCTAAATATTGAGTTGTGGGTTGATTCGTTCCATCCACTTATTTTGATAATTCTCTTATTATTCCAAAATTGTTTGAAAATAATTATATTAATCTTAAACATAACTAACAATACTAAAATCAATTAAGCACAAAATAAAAATGTAATATTTGATCATCTACCTATATCTTCCATTAAATAAGATTGGAGTTGATAGTAGGTTGAATTTATTGAATCAGCATTGCTTAATATAGTTAGCACTTTTAATTAAACACTTGGCTAAATTAAAAGTTAAGATTAACTTGGGCATATGCTGAATTGATATTCAATTAGCACATGATCAAATCCGGAATAAAATTATAAATATTATTGATGTGTTTTAAAAAGAATTTCAAATATCATATTGCTAAAAAAATAAAAAAATATTTGTAATGTGCACGCATGCGTAAATGTGGTCCAAGAAAACTCATTTCAATTGCTACCATATAGTGTCTATACTCAATTTATTCATGTAATAATATACTTAGATAAATAACGATTATTATGACAAAAATACTAGATAGGGGCAGCCCTATATAATTCTCTTAATGGGATCCTTCAAATAAACACAACTACTATTGAATACAATTTTATTTATTAGAAATATTATTTTTTTTAAAATAATAATAATAATAAGTGAACTAAATATGGAGGTAGGTTTTAAAATAAGCATAATTTTGTATCTAAATTGAGCTATTGAACAGCTTCTTTATGGTACATAATAAAGTTTTTGTCCTTATGTGTGTATATTGCCAAGCACATCATGTGTACCCACAAATAATAATCAAAACCCATATACAAGAATTGTGCATTATTATCATTATCATTGTTTTTAATTATTGAGACACAAGTCTTCTACACTAAACCTATTTAATTATAATATATATATATATATAGATATATACTTTGATTAACTAAAGCAAGATTAATTACGAAATCATGGGATTAATTTTGAGAATTTAGTTTAATCATTCATAGCCATGAAAAAAATAATAATGATAATAGTTGAACAATGTATCCTAAACCCCACCTAACACAACGCCAATAGTAGTTAGTAATATATATATATATATATATATTTTATTATTATTATTATTTTTTGACTATACAATCTTTACTATTGAATGAAACCCAAAAATATCATAAAGTAAAGACACCCTTATAACTGATTAAACAAATATTAAAATAAAATTTTAAATTGGAAATATTGTTATGATTCACATTGTTTGTTTTATTTTATTTGTAAAAATGATTGCATAATTCATAATATAAATTTTGTATATTTGTAAATTGAGAAGTTCTTTTGAAATTGATTGGAATTATTATTAGTGAGAATTAATGTCAATTATTGTTCATAGGGTAGCCCACTTTAATCTACCCTTACACGTTTGGACCCTTTAATGTAATTAAGTGTCTTCATTAAGAATTTGGTCTTAATTTACAGCAGCACTTGCAATAGCTATCTTGAATAATTGCAGCATACATTTTTTTTAAAAATAAAATAAAAAGAAGAAAAAAAAAAAAAAAAAGTTGTCAAAAGTACAAACATCAATACATCATAAAAATATATATATGCATGTATTCTATATAAAAGAGTGAAATTAACTAGTGCCTGAATTCTGCGTTGGCAAAAATAATTGTGTTCCAAAGTACAATTGAATATGATGACAGATTGATTTGTAATAAAGTAAATTAAAATGATTTCTAATAATTTCCATATATGGTAGGATGAAACAATATAATGATGCTCCCAGGATCCAAGCTCCTGAAATGATATTAACACGCATAAATCCTTCACCTGTGCCATTGGTGTGGGTGCTTTGCTCCCGGAGCCTCCAAGAACCAATTTCAATGATATACTCCCTCCGTCCCAAAACTATAATTTTATTGTGTTGAGTACGAGATTTAAGAAATATTGATTTTATATTAATAGTTGGTAAAAAGTAAGGACAAACGACTCTTTTGCCCCAGTGAGTATATTGGTGTAAAAAGTAGTGGCAATTGTGTAATAATAATGAAAAAGTAGGGATAATTTTACGATGATACGATTATTTATGAAAACGAAACTATTGTTTTACGATGAACAAAAATGGTAAATAAGACTATTGTATTGGGACGGATGGAGTATATTGGAACATTGTTTTTTTTTTATATATAAAAAAAATTAGTTAATATGATTTTTTTACTAAAAAAAGAATTGTTTTAGAAACTAATATATTGAATAGTTGTTCATTGCTAAAAAAAAAAAAATGATCCTAATCATATTGAATTATAATATTTTATAGTACTATTGAATAATTGTTCAATATATTTAATATTCCTTCCTTCTCAATTTGTTTACTGTTGATTTTATTTAGGGGTGTGTTGGTTTGATGGATTTGCAAGAGATTTCACTATTTATCCAAAATTTTCCCCCCAAAAACATCAAATCAAACACCTATTTTTTATTTTTTATATTATACTAAAAATCAATTTTACATTCAAAACATCACATCATCACCTATTTATATCACATCATACAACTATTCAAATTCAAAATTTTTACTATTCAAATCTCAAATCAAAATCCAAACCCCCAAACAAACACACCCCTAGATGTCTCGCAATATTTGTATACATATATATTTACTTTGTACTCTTTTTCTTTTTTTCTTTTTTTTTTTTTCTCTTTTATCCTTATAATACAATTTACAAAATCACTAAAAACAATCAATGAAAGTCAAAATAATCAAAATTATAACATATAAAAAATTTGTTCAAATACAAAAAACTAGCAATTATTTTGGGACACTAGAGATAGTATAACTAAACATATCTATTTTACGGTGCAATAGGTAAGCATCACAGCCATGCTTTATATATTTATTTTGGTTTTTTTTTTGACATGATTTGATAAATTTCATACACACTATGTAATGATTTTTTGAAATCATTTAATTTAATAATAAATCTTAGGTCGTCCAACTTAGAGAGCATAATAATTAATTAATATTGGTTGATTACTAATTTAGGTAGCATGGATAATATAAAATGGTGTACATAAACTAATATGAATATAAATTACACGACGACATTAATTGAAAGGGTAGCAGATTTCAAGAATTGATAAATAAATTCATGAATTGAAGTGAATGGCGTTAGTGATGGGCACGAAGAACCCATGACCAGTAGCAGCAGCAGTAGTAGTGATGATGATGATGATGATATATACATATAAATATATATATATATATATAGATATGTTCTGACAAGAAATAAAAGGGCAACCTCAAACATCATTTTCAGAGTGTAGTAAGTAAGACAAAGGTGGCCGCTGATCCATTGTGCACTCTGTGTCTATTTACTTTCGAGTAGCGCCTGCGGATTTTTATGTTAGAAAAAAATAATAATAAAAATAAATAAACTCAGTCAAGTCAATTGGCAATGAAACACACAATACACAACAATCAATTTCCATATACTTTTTTGTTAAATTTGATTTATTAATTTATTTAGTTAGTTGTGGCAATGCAGTTGTCATTTTCAACTGTGTTCATAGACCCAACCCAACCAAACCAATGCTCAAAAGTTTGTGGGCTAAGCACTGAATGAGTGAATTAATGAATTAATGAATTCCCATATCATATGTGAATGTAATGTAACAACCAAATTAATTAATCAGTTGAATTAATTATTGTTAACCAATCAATAAATATCATCACTCACTCCAATTTGTATTTGTATTTAATATTTGCATATAGGCCCACAATGAATGGGCCTCCCCCTCTCTTTAGGTTAATAGGCCCAAATGTGTGTTTCTCTCTCTCTCTCTCTCTCTCTCTCTCTCTCTCTCTCTCTCTCTCTCTCTCTCTCTCACTGCAACCAACACACCTTCAACCAAATTCCACTCTCTCACTACTTCAACTTTTTTTTTTTTTTTAAGCTTAAAAATATTTTGTAATATAGTTAAATTATTTGATGATATTGTTGTAATAATATGTAAAATTTAAACTTTTTGAAATTGTACAGTTTAAATATATACTCTAAAATGTGATTTTGGTTGGAAGACATCGGGTTGCCTAAAGGTCGGGACATTGGATCTGGGTCGGAATAACGGCTCTGGTTTGGCCAAAATTTACAATAGTTAATAATAATAATAATAATAATAAATTTATATTATTAAAAAATATATATATATTTAATTTTATTTTATTTAGAATACTGTTATCAAAATACGTTTAGTTATTATTTTTAAATAAAAGAAAAAGAAAATAACGACAACTCTGCTGAGGTCGTGCTTAACATCATTCACTATTAATATTGCAAATTGGCTGCTTGCTTAATGCTCTACTAACAAATATAATGGACGGTAGAGGTGACGTGGGTTTAAGAAAGGCCCATTAAAATTTGGCTACCTAATTTAACTTTTTTTCTTAATATATAGATTTAAAAGTTGATTCGATATTGAATTATAGTTTAAAAAATAAAATAAATTCATTTCGAGTTACCCAATTAAGTTCTGATGACTATAGAAATAATCCCACAACGTAACTGTACAGTACCTAAGCGTGGAAGTGTAAGAAGCGTGGAACCCGTGACCTAAAAGCGTTACACCAACAATCGATTATTAGTCATCACGCCTTTCTTTTGATTTGGACCACCATTTCCTTTATTTATTATCTTTTTTTGCTTTCTAAATCTGACTGAAACACATTGCTACTGTTCATCCTTAAATCACAAATGTGTTCTTTAACATTGCAATAACACAAAAGTCTCCAATTGTATTATTACAATTTAGATTTTGGAGAAAATAAAAAATAATATCCATCCGTTGGGCATTATTGGATAGGAGTGGAGTCTGGAGAGTAGTGGTAGTGGAGAGGTAGCCCACGCTCCCCCACTCGCAGAAGGATGTCGTGGAGTCCACGCGCAGACCCACAGTCTACGCTTTTGACGGGTCAGATTTCTTGCCTTTACTGTTTCTGCCATTTTCTTTCCCCGCATTAAAAGCTACGCTATCGATTAGCCTATCCCTACTCTTTCTTCTATATCGTAATCGGCCCGGCGGTTTTTCGCCACTATCTGGTCGGCGGCGCGTGCAACGTGTTCCCGGCGGACGGCCTGGAAATGGGTCAGGCTGCTTCCACGCAGGGCAATTGCCCCGGCGGTTCCAGTCGTTTTCGAAACCCTAATCTCGAACTTTACCAATTTCGGTGCTCAAGCAACGGCGCGGAGGAATTTCGCGTCGACTCACCGCGGGACTACACGGCGGAGATCCCGGACGAGTGTTTGGCTCTGATATTCCAATCTCTGAGCTCCGGCGATCGGAAGAGCTGCTCCTTGGTCTGCCGCAGATGGTTATCGGTGGAGGGGCAGAGTCGGTACCGCCTCGCGCTCAACGCGTCGGCCGACGTCGCCGTTCATCTGTCGAAAGTGTTTTTGCGGTTCGATTCCGTCACGAAACTCGCCCTTCGCTGCGACCGCAAGTCGGTCAGCTTAAACGACGACGATTTGTTGTTTATCTCCCTCCGTTGCCATAACCTAACCCGCCTTAAGCTCCGGGGGTGCCGCGAAATCACCGACGTCGGTATGTATTCTCTCGCCACAAACTGTAAATCTCTGCGTAAATTTTCGTGCGGATCGTGTATGTTTGGGGCCAAAGGCATGAACGCACTTCTCAATAACTGTTCCTCGTTGGAGGAGCTCTCCGTTAAGCGTTTACGCGGCATAAACGACGGGTTTGCGGCGGAACCGATTGGTCCTGGGACGGCGTCGTCGTCTCTGAAGTCAATAACGCTCAAGGAACTCTACAACGGGCAGTGCTTTGGGCCTCTGATTATCGGATCGAAGGATTTGAAAACTCTGAAGATCTTGAGGTGTTTGGGAGATTGGGATAGGTTATTGGAGACAGTTACCAAGGGGAAGAATTGCCTGACAGAGATTCACTTGGAGAGGTTGCAGGTGAGCGATTTGGGGCTAATTGCTATTTCAAAGTGCCTGAATTTGGAGGTTTTTCACTTGGTGAAGGCTCCCGATTGCTCGAATGATGGGATTTTCGCCATTGCTGAGAATTGTAAGCTGTTAAGAAAGCTTCATATCGATGGGTGGAGGACAAATAGGATGGGTGATGATGCATTGATTGCCGTTGCCCAGAACAGTATGAATCTTGTGGAATTGGTGCTGATTGGGGTGAACTTGAGCTCGGTAAGTTTGTCGGAAATGGCATCGAATTGTCAGAAGTTGGAAAGACTGGCGCTTTGTGGGAGCGAAACCATTGGTGACGATGAGATTTCGTGTGTTGCGACTAAATGCAAAGCATTGAAGAAGCTCTGTATAAAGGGGTGCCGTGTGACGGATGCTGGGATTGAGGCATTTGCTTTTGGGTGCCCGAATTTGGTGAAGATTAAAGTCAAGAAGTGCCGAGGCGTGACGAGTGATGTTGCGGACTGGTTGCGGGCGAGGAGGGTGTCGTTGTCGGTGAATTTGGATGCTGACGAGATTGAAGCGGAGGCGTTGGATTTGAGCACGAGCGACGGGGGAGTACAGGATGACGTAGCGGCGTTCCCTCCGATAGTAAGTGATTTAAGTGGTAGTATTCGAGATGTTGCTGCTGAGTTTGATGCACCATCGACGAGTAATGGTGGCCGTTTGCCTGTTAAATCGAGGTTTAGCCTTTTCACGGGGAGGAATCTAATGGCGTGTGCTTTTCGAAGGTTATCAAATGCGAATGGCAATTCAAATAACACCTTATGAAAATGGGATCTTTGATTACTTTATGAATTGCGCCATCCTTTTGTTTGAACTTTCGCTGTATTGTCTTGTGAATCGTTTCGCGTATTGGTTGAAATCAAGAATCTGCTATTTGCCTTGTTCTTTCTTGTCTTCCATTATTCGAAAAATCTACCATGGTTCCTGTGTTAAGTCTTGGTATATTTCAATGGCTGATTGACTTTGAACGAGTCTTATTCCGTCAAACATGGGACGAATCTAAGTAGGATGATCTGTGTGTTTGGACTATGTAATGTTGAACTAATTTGCTTAATCGAACATGTCCTTGATGGGTTTGCTCGAAAATGGTATCTGTGAAGCAGATATAATCTAGAGGTTCTTCTCGGCTGCTGTTGATGCGGGAATTTTAACCCGATTTGTAGTCTTGCCTGTCTTTGTCTTACATCTGCTTCTTTTGGACATTGCCGTGGTCCTTGGCTAGCTTTGAATGAATTTGTTTATGTATGTATATGTAGATTATTTGTAAATAAAATTTTATGATCATGGAAAGAAGAGGTAAATTTGCGTTGGTTTCTGGATTGATGAGGATATTATCTTCTTTCTAGATTTGATTACTTCAACTGCAACATTGTGTATTTGTATTGGAGTATTATTCTTTTGATGTCACAGAACGTGTTGTAGTGAATATATTTGTGAATTGCATGATTACGAATAAATTTGTCTTTCATCTCTTTAATGGACAATTTTATTTTTTTAGAAAAAATGCTTTTGAAGAGTACACGCACCAGCTTCTACATGTATATTTGTCATATAATTAAAAAAAAAAAAAATGATTTTTAACATTTTAATATAAAATAGTACTATTCGGTTTGGGAAAATTATGTAATTTGGTTGGATACAAAAATACTATTAGAACCTTAGAATAAGGTAGATAAAAATTTAAATGGGATATCATAGAAAATTTATTAATAAGTTGATAAAAAAAAAGATAATAGGTATAAAAAGTAGTGGTAGTAGAATCCACATGTTTAATTGACGACCAAAAAGAAGGTATAATTTTGAAGTATATGTGATTATTATTTTATATCTAAAGAATTAATTTTTTGAAATTTATAATTTGGGCTTTAATTTATGAAGATCTTTATTGAGGTCCAACTTTGTTTCCAGCCCTATGAAAAGCATAATATGGGCTTCATATAAAGAGAAGACCAACAAGAATCTACTTCGATTCTATTTTTTTATTTGAATTTAAATATAAAAGTTAAATGGAAAAAATAAAAGCAATGTCTATATATGAAACTATAAAATAAAGCTTTTGTCATTATCCTCATAGAATTAACATGAAATTGTTGAATTTCTACTAATCTTTGTTATTCTATAGGCTTTGTTTATTTCAAGATTTTTTTTTCCCCTAATTTTTTTACCATATGAAATTACGATAATTTATTGTAAAAATATATAATTATTTCTTATCGTAAAACATCTCTTTCAGCTGTATGATTATGGCCAAATGCACTATACAAAAAAGTAGGTAACAAATTGAGCGGTCGTGATGGGGAATTGATAAAAATTTGGCCGTTGAAAAGCGTTAAAGATTAAAGGGGTGGATAATTAATAAATGTATATTCTTTAATTTAAATAAAGATAGAAAGAAAAAACATTTCTTATAATGTCGAAATTAAAGTTGGGCAAGAATTAAATCCGAAGTAGATAAAGCAAAATGAATTACGTTACTTTTGTTGACTTATGGTCGGAATTTGCCAAAAGTCCGTGACTTGTCATCCACTGAATTATCTAGCTATTTAATTTAATTTAATTCAATTTTTCCCCAACATTTGTTTCATATGATAGAAATTTCCTACCCATCTATATGACTAATTTCTATCATTTAATCAACTAATTAATTAATGTCTTTAGTTAAGGACAGGTTGGAACATGGTTGAGTACTGTAAGAATTATGGTCGATAATTATTATTATCAATTATTCATGCAACCAATTACGTATCTACATGCAATAATTAAATGGGTTTGTCCAAGATTTGAGATTTCTATTTTATTTGGTTCATTCTTAAAATTGGGATAACATTTTGGTGGCCAAAAGTCTGAGAATTGGGCAAGATTTTCCCATCAAGGGTTTATTAGGAGGTATCGGGACTCCAGAACCAGATGGATATGAACCATAGATGGAGCAGATCTGAGGTGGCGGTGAGGAGGACCGGGACCTCCCGGGAATCAGAAACATGCAAAAGTCGTTCTTGCAGTTTGAAATGGCTGCCTCGAAACTGTAGGGTGATGGGAACCCATCGAATTTTGAGAACTTTCACAGAGTTTATTCTTTTGGTGAAAAAGAAAGTAACGAAAACCATGAGTGATCATATCATATCATATGATGGTGATATACAAACAAAATTTGTTTATAGTGGTTTTGATGTGTCGTGAGAAGAGTGGCCTGCAATTTTGTGGATTGCGTAGGAAAAGCTGGTTTGGATGGATGTATTGATTTAGTCAGCTCACCCCCACCCCACCCCGCCCCACCCCCCACCTTTTATTACCCTATGTATTAATAATAATACGGAGTAGTAATTTATTGGATTCCATTGGTCCCGGGACTCGCCAAGAAAAGGGAGGGAAAGGGATTGAGTCAAAGAAACTGAAAGGCAGCAAAGCAATCCTCCAAATCGATGCATGTATATATGTATATGTATATGTATGTATATAATGTGGGAAATCGGACGGCGTTGGTCCACCTGTTTGACCCCATCTTGGACGACCGATTCCACGGGTGGGGCCCTTCCCCTGAAACGGTCAATTTCAGTACGCGACAACGTTTGCCCACTTTACCCTAATTCTCCTTCAATTAATCTTCTTCTTCCTTTTTTGTCTATCTTGTGTGAAATTTCGCAGAGCCCAGAGAGAGAGAGAGAGTGGTGTGTGGTGCAGTGGGCCATTGCCATTGCTGTTGATTCTCTCGCTCTTCGCGCTCTCTCTCTCTCTCTCTCTCTCTCTCTCTCTCTCTCTCTCTCTCTCTCTCTCTCTCTCTCTCTCTCTCTCTCTCTCTCATATGCACCTAATTTTGACGAGCTAGAGAGAGAGTGGAGATGCAGATGCTCATCAGGTTAAAGTGACGGGTCAGTGACCTACTGTTTACTTTGTCTTCTCCACCTCCACCCTCTCGCTTTAACCTCCCTCCCTCCCAACTATTCTCTCTCTCTCTCTCTCTCCTCCATTATTTTTATATATTGCTGTCTGCCCGCCTCACGTTTCTCCCCTTTAGTTTCTTGACTGAGATCGATTTATGTGCTTTCTTGATTAAGATTGTCGATCAGCGATTTGTCGGTGGGGCGGCCATGGCCGTGGAGCTCATCATGGGTGGTGCTTACACCAATGGAAGCTTTGCTTCGGAAGCCAACGTGGCGCAGGAAGCAGCTTCGGGGCTACAGAGTGTGGAGAAGCTTATTAGATTGTTCTCGTCGCATCAGAAGAAGGACGGTGGTGATGATGAAATTCAGGATTCCGGCCGCCGGGAAATTGAGAAATTGGACTACGTGGCGGTGGCGGATACGGCGGTGTCGAAGTTCAAGAGAGTGATTTCTCTCCTCGGCCGGACCCGGACCGGCCACGCCCGGTTCAGGAGGGGACCGGTTTCCGTTTCGCTTTCTCTCTCGCCCGATTTGTCTTCCACTTCGCCGAATTCCGTGCTGCCGCCGAGCACGGCGGCGGCGACGGCGGAGCAGAAACGCGCTGAAGGTCTCGGCGGGGCGAAAGTCTACTGCCCCACCCCAATTCAGCAGGTGGCTCCGCCGGACTATCATCAGAAGCTGCTGGAGAATTTGAAGGAATCTGCAGGGGCGAAAACGATCAATTTCTCTTACTCGCCGGTGATTTCTCGTGCCAATTCGTTTATTTCTTCGTTGACCGGCGGCGAGCCGGAGAACAAGCAGCAGCAGCAGCAGCCGTCTTCCTCGTCGGCATTTCCGATGACGAGCAATCTTTCTCAGGTCTCCAATTACAACTCCGCCGGAAAACCCCCACTGTCGTCTTCCTCCTCCTTCAAAAGGAAATGCAATTCCTCCGATAACGCCGTCTCCGGCAAGTGCAGCGGCTCCTCCAGCCGGTGCCATTGCTCCAAAAGGAGGTATAAAGACATATATAAATATATATACAAATAGATATTGTGTATTGAATTTGTCTGAGAATAAATCTTAATTAATTTCTGCAACATTAACGTCAGCAGGAAGCTGAGGCTTAAGAGGGTAATTAGGGTTCCGGCGATCAGCATGAAAATGGCGGACATCCCGCCGGACGATTACTCCTGGAGAAAGTACGGCCAGAAGCCAATTAAGGGATCTCCACATCCACGGTAAAAACATCTTCATTCAAATTTCAACCTTCAATTATATAATATTATAAATTGAATATTCCTTCTTCAATCAATCTTTGAATTAATGTTCCTACAAATTCCATTCATAAACTGCAGTCACTTATTTTGACTACCAAATTAAAAGAATTTTCAACAGGTCGTAAAAAATCCAGTCCCAAAATCCTTTCTTTTTTATCTTCCAGAATACAATTCTAAATTGGCAATGGTCTATCTACATGTGTTAATTGACTAATGTATTGATTAATTACTACAACAGGGGTTATTACAAGTGCAGCAGTGTAAGAGGCTGCCCGGCCCGAAAGCACGTGGAGCGGGCCGTGGACGATCCGACCATGCTCATCGTCACCTACGAAGGCGATCACAACCATTCCCTCACCATTGCCGAAACCCCGAGCACCATGATCCTCGAGTCGTCCTAGATTGTTTGTTTCTGTCTAATTCATCATCATCCATCCATCCATCTTGCAATGATCTTGATCATATTAGCTAGGCTTTAGACACTAATTGGGAATGTCTAGTCTCGAAGGAGACGATCGATGATCCGCCATGGTTGGTTGATTAGTGTTGGCATTGTTCCATGCTCTGTTTGAATTTTCATGTTTCTTCTCAACATTCATTGCGTGAATTTCTTTTTTCTTAATCAAACATAGTTTTCATTGTGTGCATTTCTTACCAAGAAGAAGAAAAATGCAGTCAAGTGTGATGGCATTCGCGATGGAAAATCTCAAAAAGAAATGGAAAGAAAAAGAATAATCAATAAATGTGGGCAGTGTAAGAAAGGGACATTAATACTAATGAGGTGTAGGAGCTGACCAGAAGGAGAAGAGATTGGAAATTAAAATTGGGGAAGAAAGTCGTTGGCAGTTGGGATGTCTACAATAATTATAAGCCTAAAATTGAAGAAATGGTTGGGTTGGGTTGGGTGGTTAAAATTATTGATTTCTTGATGATGAAATGAAAGGTGTGTGTAAATTGTGTGTTTTTAATGCAGGCATGACAAGTTTGTTGTTTGGATTCTCTCCCCAAATCTGTTGTTGGATTTGGTCTGAAATTTTGTCATATACTAAGGGAATTAATTAATTCAATAATAAATAACATCCGTAGACTAGGTGATGAAGAAGAGATGGATTGATGCATGTGATTCTTGGTGTGGATTTCTTGCAAAGTCAAGAAATGCTGCAGCTGGTCTGAATCCGAATTGATTTTGATTTTAATTTCGATTTCGAGCAAGGGTAAGACAGAAGAGTAGCTGTCACTGTGTGTGAATGTTGACGACAATGGTGGGCTATTTTAAATCAATAGAACATATATATATTTTTTCAATTATTTAATTAAGTAGTAAGTAAGTGATATTACATTGTCTGCACGGAACCTGCAGCCTCCACACACGTGCGTAGAAGATGGTGTCCATTTTACTATGTATTAAATTTTCTTATTGAGTTTTGTTATTAGGGCGTAGCCCAGAAAGGTTTTGGACAATCTTTTCGAAATGTTGAACACGATATGATATATGCATATGTTTGTGTAATGGGCCTTTCTTTATGAATAGTATGGGCTTGGAGAATTATAGGCCTTCTGTAATTGGTCTTGGCCCATTAGAAACATTTTCTTTCACATTACTACATTTTATTGTCTGGAATTAAGCATGATTTCAATTCATTTTATTCAATCATTTCTAATTTTCATTAAATGAATTTTTTCATATTATTTTTTTAGGAATACATACATTTCAATTACTTCTTTTTCCTTCTTTTTATTTTTTATTTTTATATCATAAATGTTGAACCATTAATAATATGTAGTGTCTAACCTTCTTTAAAAGGATCCATTCTTGATTCTTCACGTATGACTTTGAAAATTAGTGAGAGAGAGAGAGAGTGTATGGATTGGTGAATTTAAAGCAATGCTGCAAGGTATGGACAGACCCACAACCATGTGCACAGAGTTTATCTTTATATATACATATATGTGTGTGTATTAAAGTAGTAGTAAATTGGAAGTGATCGTCCTTTAATTTAGTTGGGTTGCTACTTTAAGTGGTGACTGATGTAAGATATGGACATTTTGTTTGTGTAGATTAACGTAGCTGAAATATTATTATTGTTGTTCATTCGTGCATCAGCCCCGCAGCCGACACTACTAACGAAACTTAATTAACTAATTTAGTATCACTTTGCGCGAGGTGGCGGGGAGCCGCTGATCCCATCCCATCCCGGCGAAGACCAAGACACATGACAATAGCCTAGCTAGCTGGTAGAATTAAATGCCCACCACCTGACAAGTGAAAGTGACCCGACCCGACCCGACCCCCTGCAATATGTTTGGCGTCTCCATGCCCATGCCCTTCTTCTTCTTCTTCTTCTTCTTCTTCGCTAATGGAATGCCAATGGTGTTAAAAGTGTTGCTATTATTAATAGTGCCTCTATTGATTTGATCTCTGCCTTTTTTTATTCCTTTGCTTTCGCAGACAGCCATGGCCATGGCCATGGGCTGGGTAACTACTGCTACTACTACTGCTTGCCATTTCCTCAATCCATCCATCCATCCATTCAATGACTGGTTGATGGAGACAATTTCCCTCTTTCTCAATATACATACATATATGTATCTGATGATTTCTCCCGAGAAGAATCACAGTCACAGAGTGAATGAAACTTTAGTAATGAAGACAACACCACCACTACTACTTACTGCCATTTTACTCATCTTCCATGCTCACGCCACTTCTCCTCACCTAGACTGCGAATGTGAACCCGCTCCTCCACAACTGCCACCACCACCACCACCGCCACCTCCGCCGCCACCTCCCCCGCCACCACCGCATCCATGTCCGCCGCCAAGACCGCCGACGACACAAATATCACCGGAGCAGCAGGCCATATACGACAGAGCGGAGGCAGTCATAGAAGAATTTCGAACACAGATAACCAATGACCCCAAAGGGATCACCAAAACCTGGAAGAAAGGCCGAATATGCCGCGACTCAAACAGCTACACTGGCTTCATATGCGACAAAAACAAATTCGACAAACTAAACAGAATCGCCCTCGTCAACTTCAACGGCTACGCCCTCGAAGGCGACCCCCTCCCGCTCCCCGGCATCCTCGACAACCTCACCGACATCATCGTCTTCCACGCCAACTCCAACAACTTCTCCGGCCGCCTCCCCGCTGTCGCCGACATCGTCCCCAGCCTCTTCGAGCTCGATCTCAGCAACAACAAACTCCAAGGCCCCTTCCCCCCCACCGTCCTCAACGCCAAAAACCTCACCTTCCTCGACCTCCGATTCAACTCCCTCGCCGGAAACCTCCCCCCTCAAGCATTCAACCTTGACCTCGACGTCCTCTTCCTTAACAACAACCAATTCGACGGAAAAATCCCCGCCAATCTCGGCGACTCCGCCGCCCTCTACATCACCTTAGCCAACAACCGTTTCTCCGGCGAGATCCCCGGCAGCATTGGCAAAGCCTCCGAGACACTGCTGGAAATCCTCTTCCTCAACAATCACCTCCAAGGTTGTCTTCCTCACGAGATCGGATACCTTAAAAAGCTCACTCTTTTCGACGCCAGCATCAACAGGCTCACCGGCACCATCCCCGACTCCTTCGGCTGCCTCGTCGATCTGCAGTACTTGAACTTGGCCGACAATCTTTTCTACGGCGAAGTTTCAGAGTACCTCTGCTCGCTGAAGAATCTGGTGACCGTTAAACTGGCCGACAATTACTTCACTCAGGTCGGCCCCGAATGTCGGAAGCTGATCGCAGCTAAAGTTCTCGATGTAAGTAATAACTGCATTGTCGGAGTCCCCGGGCAGAGAAATGAAGCTGACTGCGAAAAGTTTTTTGAGATGAAGCAGTATTGCCCTGATCCAAACTCCATGAAAATGTTGCCCTGCAAGCTTCAGCGTAATACTACTACTGCTTCTGTTCCGGTGATCAGGAAACTGATGGCCATGCCACGCACTTATGCAGCTCTACAGAGACCGTAGACAGTATGTAGAAAAGATCCTTACAGGGAAGAATTTCTTGTGGGGAAGATGCTTTACAGTTCACAAATGGATGCATAAGTGTATATCGTCAAGAATGTGTGGATATGGATATATATGATGATTGTTGTTACTTAATTTGTAGCTTCTATCGTTCTTGAAGCTTTGTATAAAACTAAGCTGCAGTATCGAAGGAGGAAGGCGAAAAAACACCTTCCGGCAGCGGCATTGCCACCGACAACACGAATCGCGGCGACCATGTGGGAAACTATCCCATACTGATAGTGTGGTCCTATTATCTCATTACTCTGTCCCTACAACCTTAAATACTATGTTAATATCATTAAATTCCATGTTACCATTAATAGAATATGATCCACACACACACATATATATATATATGTAAGCCATTGTGTATGAAGAGAAAAATATCATTAGCAGAATGTTTAAGACACACATGTGCATATTGTAGAGCAGCTTCAAGTTTTCAACCACAGGAAAGCATGTAAGAGAGATTTCTACATTGCAAAGTTGTTCACTACTTTACTAACCAGATGCTTCCCATAAACAGCCCCTTGGAACTTCTTGTCGCCACCGGTCTTCTGCACACAAAAGTCCAGTGCCTCGACAGCCGCGTCAAAGTTGGTCTGATCATCAAGGGATACAGAGAAAACAATAATTTAAGATAAGCAAAATGTCCTCAAAAAGACAAATGTGCAATGCAACAAGAATAATTACCTCATAGAAGTATGCGACGCAGACGCGGTATTTGGGAGAGTTATTGAGGACCCGATGCAGAGTTGATTCATACATACCATTCGTCAAAACCTGCAATTTTCCGGTATATATTTAGCTTGTACTAACATCGGTGGGTGTATTTAATCAACGTGGCAATAAATGTAGAGAGTAATAAAACGCGTGCCTTTAACATGTCACCGATATTGCAAACAAATGTGCCAGGAATGGGTGCAGCAGATATCCATTCTCCATCAATGTTTTTCACCTTAAGTGAAAACAAAATGACTTTGGAGTAAGCCAATATTCTTACAGCTAAAAACTAAGCATGTAGATATACATACCTGCAGCGCAGTTATATCGTTGTCCTGATTAACTAACGTTAACAAACCTACAAAATTACAACAAAAGATCATCACTTTAGACAAACAAAAGCTTTTAAAACTTCACATTTCACCGAACACATAATTATATAAATAACAGTACCGTAATCTGTGTGAGCTCCACTGAATTTATTCGAGCAGCAGAGATAAGAACAAAAGAAAAGCAGAGGGACATCAGCGTATTAGAAGTTGAAAAAACCTAACAAACAAGAATTTAACAGAGCAATCTACCATCCAATATCATTTTCGACATTTGCCAATCTGCTGCCATTTGTCTGGAAGACAGCAGGATATCCGATTATTCGACACACCCAAAACGGATCTCCGGCTATGTTTCCTTCGAATGCATCCACTGGTCCACCCAGGGCTAAAGCTATCCCTCTTAATATCTTTCTAGAGAGTTCTATACAAATCAACCAATTTATTTTTTTAATTTAGGTTCTAGACATCAAATTAGATCAAAAATAAAAAAAAACTCTTGAAAAAAATTATTACTGTTTATTGTAAAGCACCTGTGCAAAGATTGATATACTCTTCCATTAAGATTTTGAACTTTGGAGGTTCGTTAGGCCTGCAAATTTGAAATGAGAACATAATACTACAAGATTATCTAAAATGAACATATTTATGATATCTTTACAGTTACCATAGATTGCATCCTTCCATTACTTCACCAAGACCTCCATACATTCCTGGTTTCACTTCACTGTAGCACTGTTTCGACTTTCGACAATCAGTACCAATAAATCATACAACAAAAGTAAAAACAACACTTACATTGAACAAAAATCAGACCACTTATTACACTACTTACATCAATAGCTTCATGTTGATCAGGCACCCCTTTCGTTACGTTCTCACCGACTCGTTGATATCCTCTGTAATAACCATAATTGTCAATTTGGGATAGTACCACACAAGCTGTCAACCTTTAAAATGCTGTAGCAGAATCATGGAGGGATGAATAGTATTTAAAATTTTAAGAATCTATACATATATAATCTATTATATATACAAATTCACAATAAAAATATAAAAAGAAAATTATAAATTAGTTTCATTATTATCATTTTTACCATTCTCACTTACTGTTATTTTTGTATGAATATTTTTCTTCATCCATTTAATAAATTCACTACAAAAAAATAATATATTTGTAACGGAATTCCGTCCCTAAAGTTCACGTAGTTAACGTAATTCCATTACTAATTCCGTGTCTAATGTCATTAGTAACGGAAAAAATAGATTTAGAGACAAAAAAGTTTTGTTACAAAAATGATTTTTTCTTGTAGTGATTTTTTCCATTATATATTATCACATTATACAATAAATTTTCTTTCTAGAGCTAAAAGTAGCTATAATATACTATAATATAATCTACATTCACCAAATAATAAATACTACAATATTATATTAAATTTAAATCTACTTGCAATAAAAATTATAATATTTTATTCAATTAAAAAGGGTTTCTCTATACTATGTTCGGCACCGTTCTACTACACAGCTATTAGCGCTATATCTACTGACAGCTATGGTAATAAGTAAATAACCATCACTGTAACTGTAAGAAGGGAATCGTATGAAACTTCAAGAGAAGAGTGAAATTCATAAACCTATATCCAGTTGCAGGAGAGAGCTTTATTTTGAGCTTTTCCTCGTAAGGCAAATCGAAAAATTTGCGAGAGATGCTTCTAATTTCTTCTATAAGTGATTCGGGAATTCCATGGCCTTTCTGCAGATAATAATAATAATAATTATATTAAATAAAAAAAAAAAACTCATCCATTGTTCACAACGATATCCCCAAAATCCAGACATATCTATGATCAATCTATCCAGTTCAGAATCTTCAGTAGGAACAAAGTGAATAATGATTATTACCACATAAAAGAATCCAGCTTCTCTGCAAGCCTTATCCAATTGTCGAGCAACTTCAGCGACGCCTCTATCTTCGGACATACTTGGATGATTCCACTTCTCCACTAGTGGACCGATATCTAATTTCATAAACATCGGTGAAGAAATTACCAGAAGTTTCTAGAATGTGCTTATTCGATAACTTTATTGAATTTACTCAAGAAAAGAAATCCTTCAGATAAAACTCCTTTACCAATAATGGGGATTGACTTGAAGTCGGTGGCCATGGCTTCTGAGCTTTTCTTCAACGGCCTGATCTGCTTCTTTTTCGGGCAGATATGAAAGAATCTGTGGAAAGGGAAAAGGACGAGGTTGTATCACGAATATTACTAGGGAAATGTTACCTGAGTATTGTTTATATATACTGTATGGATTTGGTAGATTATTATTCCACATGGATTTGGTAGGTTATGTTGGGAAAGTATCTTATTACATGAATAAGTACCGTTACAATTCTGAATGCATTATGGTAAGTTATGTTTGGGAACTATTTTATTGCATGGATTTGGTAAGTTACCGTTTTTCTTTTTCTAAAAAATATTTTGGGGATTTTTTTGGAATTAGACTTGTTTTGGAATTTCAGATAAGATTACTTGTTTAAAATGAAATTAAAGTGTATAATCATTTGTAATTTTTTCTTGATTTGTATTACGTTTTGATATAATAATTAATATTCAAATATCAACATGTAAAAATAAAAAGTTAGAGTAAGGTAGTATATATTTATTTTTTTTATATAACTTATCCAATTCTTTATGGCTCATATAAAAAAACAAAATAAAAATATTTCTTTGAACAATTTTTCTAAACAACCATAACCTATGTATTTTTTAACTTTTTGGAGTGTTTTTGAAATTTGAGTTTGTTTTGGGATTGGAGCATTTTAGAATTTTGAAAAGGAGCAAAGGTTTATTTGATTTGTGCTTTAAAATTAATAAAAATATATTGTTTTTGGTGTTTTATTTTTATTTTTTTTTGATGTGGTTTGTATAATTTTGATTTAAATATATATATATATTAAAATAATATATGATATGATATTTTACTAGAAGAAAAATCGTATAGTAGAAAGTTAAATTTTGGGATAAAGAAACGATACTTTGTTTATTAAATTAAAATATTTTTAAATTTAAATTTAATATAATATAATAATAAATATAATAGTGAATAAATAGTGAACCTACTCATTAACCTACTCATAAAAATAAATATAATATTATTTAAAATTTACTATATAAAATGTATGTTTAAATGAGATATTTGAAATTTACTATATAAAATGTATGTTTAAATGAGATTGAGGGAATACAAAATTCATTTGTTAAATATAATACTTATAGATTATTGATTTTTTTTTTCTTTCTAATTTTGTAATTTTAATTATTCAGCATTCAAATTGATATTTTGAGATTTTTTTTTTTATTTATTATTTTTTATTTAGATTTGTTTTTAGGAACATATTATTAAAATTGTGACAAATATGATATTTTAACCTGGGTTTCACAAGAATAAGTAAAATGAATTTCATTAGGTGTCATTTCATCATTTACTTACATGTGTGTTTTAATTTTGTAATACCAAATGACATATTTGATGACTAATCAGATTTTCAAAAGTCTATAAATAGGCAGAATCATTGTATTAAATAAGATTGTAGATACTATATTGATCAGACAATTCAATATAGTATTGATTTGACCAAATTTTTATAAGAGTGATTAATATTTATTTATACATATCTCATGTTGTGTTATAAATACGTTAATATATATATATATAAATATATATTGGTCACTCCTATAATATGTTTAATCTGTTCAAATCAAAATCAAGTTGACTTAACCAAATCAAAAGTTGATCTATGCCTTAAGGTGTGTTTGTTTAGAGGATTATAAAGATTGTAGCTATTCATTAATTTTTTCTTTTCACCTAAAAAATCAAATAAAATATTTATTTTTTATTTTTATATTATATTAAAAATTAATTTTATATTCAAAATATTAACACTTATTAATATTATATCATATAACTATTTCGATTCAAAATTTTTACTATTCATATTTCAAACTCAGAATCCAAACCCCTGATCGAACGCACCTAAATGAATATAATGAGACACAATTTATCACTTTCAATATCTCTATTTCTCTCTATACATACTCACTCACATATACATATACACAAATACACACATCTATACATATATATATATATATATCTTATATTCCCTTTTTTCTTTTTACAAACTAATATGTCCTACTTTCCTATTTGAAGTATTATTTCTTTTTTAAAAACACAGGTTTTACATTTTTTCTCTACAAATTTGTCAATTTATAACAAAAATATATTTATATGGCTTTTTAAGTAACTGTTTTTTTTTTTTACTTATAAATTGACAAATTTAACACTTTATTCAAAGGTAGAAGATTAAAAATGATAAATTAATAAAGAATAAAAATATAAAATTTGTATATAAAAAATAAAATAAGACAGTAGTAGTAGTTGAAAGTTCCAAATATAGGAGATTAGTTTGTAGACAGAGTGCATATGTAGATTATATGTACCGATACATTCTAAAAAGCTTAGCCCAAATTAGGCCCATAGGGTTAATTGTATGGGCTTGGACCTGTAAATTATTGGGCTGAAATAGTGGATTGTAACTAAAAAATAAATAAAAAGAAAGGCCCAACAAATTAGAAGTTGATGATAATAAATCAAGCAGCTGAAAAAAATAAATGCTCTAAAGCCTGCACCACTACCTTCAGCCCTTCAGTTCACACTACAAACACTAACAAAAAATAAATAAAAATTAAAGGCTATGGGCTTTCGTTAAAGGAAAAAAGGAAGAACAATTTTGGTAAAAGCAGGTTGGAGATCCAAAGATTTCCCCCACCTCTGTAACTCTGTTCGCTTGTTGATGCAGCAGGTCTTGATTTTGGAGGTTGTGTTTTTAACATCCTTAACAGCAGCAGCAAGCAGAGTTTGAACATGGCGGTCTGTAACAGACACCACCGCACGGCACGGACTGCTGAACCCGACCTGTAATTGCAATTGTAATTTGCAGTCTGCCTGCACCAATACCAAAACCTTCCCACTTTCACGTGCCTTTTCCCCCTCTTTCTCTCTCTCTCTCTCTCTCTCCTCTCTCACTCTTCGCCAGCTGCTCCGCAATTGAATCTTTCCCCCATCCATTCTCGCTCTTTCTTCTTCTCCACGCTCCGCCGTCAGATATGCCTTGAGCCTGTTGCCTCTCACTATGTCGTCTCCGCACCCTTTCTCCCTTGTCTTTGTAGCCTTCCTTTTTAGAGTCGCCGCCGCCGGAGATGGAAGTGGGCCGTCGGAGTCCCTGACGTCTCTTCCAGCCGACGCCGTCTCGCTCCTGGCTTTCAAGTCCGGCGCCGATTTGGACAGCAGGCTTCTCTATACGACAAACGAGCGGTTCGATTATTGCCAATGGCAGGGCGTGAAATGCGCGCAGGGTCGGGTCGTGCGCTACGTCGTTCAGAGCTTCGGCCTCCGGGGCTCCGTCGCCGCCGCCACGCTCGGCCGCCTCGACCAGCTCCGAGTCCTCAATTTGAAGAACAACTCCCTCTCCGGCGCCCTCCCCGACTTCTCCCTCCTCGTAAACCTCAAAACCCTATATTTGGACCATAACTCTTTCTCTGGAACATTCCCTCCTTCCATTTTGTCCCTCCGCCGTCTCTCCTTCCTCGATTTGTCTCGCAACAACTTCTCCGGCGAGCTTCCGGCTAATCTTATGGTCCTGGACCGGTTGTTTTATCTCCGGCTCGATTCGAACCGGTTTTCCGGGCCCATCCCGCCATTGAACCAGACGACGCTGGAAGTGTTCAACGTGTCGAGCAACAATCTGTCAGGCCCTGTCCCCGTCACTCCAACTCTCAGAAATTTCAACATTTTCTCATTTTCGCAAAATCCCAATCTTTGCGGAGAGCTTGTTAACAAGCCGTGCCGTAACTCCCCTTTCTTCAACGCTTCTTCCGCCGCCACCGCCGCCGGAAATACCCCATCGCCGTCGACGCCACTGCTGCAGAATGCGCAGTCACAGCACGGATTAAGCGACGCTCCTCCTCTGGCTAACCGTAAGCATCGCAAACACGTGGGGATGATTCTAGGGTTTGTGATTGGAGCTCTGATTTTAATGGCAGCTGTTCTGAGCCTGGTAGCTTTAATTCGAAGACGGCGAGAAGAAACTGAAGAGAGAGAACTAATCGACGAAAAACCCGCCACTAATTTCACCGAAGAAACCACCGCCGCTAAAGCTCCTAGGGACACAATTCTGTTATCCCTCCAATCTGAAAACGCCATAACCGAAAGTTCCGAGGCCAAGAAATTGAAATCTTCTCAGCAGAAAAGAGTGATCAAGAGTGGGAATTTGGTATTCTGCTCCGGGGAGGAAGAACTCTACACACTAGATCAATTAATGAGGGCATCAGCAGAGCTTCTGGGGAGGGGCACCATTGGAACAACATATAAAGCTGTAATGGCGAATCAATTAGTGGTGTCTGTGAAGAGATTGGACGCCTGCAAGACTGCTAATATCACTGGTGAGGCATTCGAGCATCACATGGAAGCTGTTGGTGTTCTTAGGCATCCCAATTTGGTCCCTGTCCGAGCATACTTTCAGGCAATGCAAGAAAGGTTAATTATTTTCGATTATCAGCCCAACGGGAGTCTCTTCGATGTCATCTACGGTATATCTTCAACCCTTAATTATATGTGGCAGCCATTAAAGCTCAGTTTGCTACAGTTCTAGTTTGCAATATGATAAGATGGTTAACAGAAGCATTGAATTTGTTTTATTATAAGCTTTTCCCAAATGTTGAATGCCACAAAAGTACTTTATTTCAGTAGCAATTTTTGGCTTTTTCTACCTCTATGTTTGTGGTGATGGGAATTAAAGTTGTTGGATTGAATAGGATGAGAAGTGTTTGATAGTGAGAGTGGCAAGAATGCTTTTCCTACATGGGGTGTGGATACAATGGCTCTATTCTTTGCATAAATTAGTGATGTCGAGACTTTCTTGGTTTTAGATATAAAAAGACGATGTCCTGTCCCCACTCCCTTTGTTCTTACCGTAAATTGTGGTGCTGGATGATGTGAATTATTTCTTGGTATTGCTTGACGCTGTAGATGGTAACATGGAATGCTTTTGTGGGGTCTTAACAGCGATTTTTCTCGACCTAAACTAGTAGACATATTAACTTGTTACTCCTCTGTGTTTTATACGTTCTTGAATTACTACTCTGATGAATTTTCAGGTTCTCGACCCGCGAGGGCGAAGCCACTTCACTGGACGTCGTGCTTAAAAACTGCCGAAGATGTGGCACAGGGACTTGCCTACATCCATCAAGCGTCGAAGTTCATTCACGGGAACCTGAAATCATCGAACGTGCTGCTGGGGTCCGATTTCGAGGCCTGTATCACCGACTACTGCCTGATTCCTGTTCTTGCAGACACCTCCACCGACGACAGTCCGGACTCTGCTTGCTACAAAGCCCCGGAGATTCGAAAGTCTGGTCGAGCAGCCACTGCCAAGTCCGACGTCTATGCTTTTGGAGTCCTCTTGTTGGAGGTGCTGACGGGCAAGCCACCGTCTCAGCACCCGTATCTTGCGCCACCCGACATGCCGGATTGGGTTCGAGCAATGAGGGATGACGACGACGATGATGTGATGAGATTGAGAATGCTGATTGAGGTGGCCAGTTTCTGCAGCTTGACGTCGCCGGAGCAGAGGCCGACGATGTGGCAAGTCTTGAAAATGATCACAAATATTAAGGAGTTCATGGATGATCCTCCACCTAGGGATGACTATTTGTGACCCTGTTTTTTCTTTTTATTTCCTCGGCCATGTTAATGAATTTCCATTTCCATTCCCAAACAGGGAAAGATTTAAACAACGAAGGAATCTACTGCGTTATAAGTTTTAACATAGTTGATTTTTTGACAGAATTATTGCATTGTGTCACGTGCTTTGCACGTGAGGGCATCCACCTAATGGCGTGGATTTAACGCTGTAGAATTGAAATTAATCACTTGAGCCCAACCCATATTTGGTATTATTATTGTTTTTAACGAGGTTCAAATCTGACCGTCCATTTTCGGCATCGCTAGATTCTGATTCGATTCTTCTATTAATCTCTATAAGAATTGATTACGGTGAAATCTTACCTCATCGACTCCTCCGTCGTCTTTTTACGAAGACTGGACTCTTTGAGTTTCTTCCCCAAAAGGGTACTACTTGCATTGCAGACAATTTCTCGAACAAGAAGCGAAGAAACAAAAATGTCCGGAGGAATTGCGCGTGGACGTCTCGCGGAGGAAAGGAAAGCCTGGAGGAAGAACCATCCTCATGTTGGATTGCGTTTGTTTTGCTGGAATTCGTTTTGCTGTTTATTTGATTCGTTTATTGCGTTTTGCGGTGTTGAATTTTGATGTGTTTTGAGTAAGTGGTTGTTTGGTTTTATTCCTGAAGGGTTTTGTGGCTAAGCCGGAGACTCTCCCTGATGGCACAGTTAATTTGATGGTGTGGCAGTGCATTATCCCTGGCAAGGCTGGGGTAAGTACTTCGAATTCTTGGATTCTGGTATTATTTTAAGTTAGGTTAACTATTGTTGATTGTGCGATGTATTTTGGGTGGTTTGAAATTGGGGAAAGGCCCTTGCAGAACCGCTTGTCATTTGTGTGTAATTGTATCGATTCGGATCTCGTTTGTTTGATTTCCTTCTGAATTCTGATACAAATTGCTGTTGCGGCAGCGAGGGCTTTTTGATCGATCTCTGGAACTCTTTAAATGTTGTGGCCCTTTACTTTCTCTTTTTATTAATTTGGATAATACTATGTTGAAAGTGCTTCTTCAATATGCTGCTAAGAATGAAAATTGTGTCTTTGATAAGCACCTTTACTGATCAGTATAATTTGCAGTTTCACCCTTCCAATGCTTAGTTCCTTATTGTGTGCATCTTGCAGTAGTATTTGATTGTTGTTATAAAGCAATAAATCACACAATCGAGCTACTGATTAATTACTTGATACTTTTGCTTTTTTAATCCACCCCCTTGCCACATCCATATCTTTCATCATCATCATCACAAAAGGAACATGACTGTTATTCCTGCGCTGCTCATCGTACTGTTTAGCTGTGATGTTTTTAGTCACTGTTGCTAATGTGGGATCATAAGAATAGGGATGAGCGTGAGTTGTTGGATGCATTTTTGGTATTTCAAAACATGAAGGAAATTTCAAAGTTTCTCCTATTTTAATCTGTGAGTATCTGTTTTTTAGTTACAATGTGTGTTTGTTTGGGGGTTTGGATTTTGAGTTGAGATTTGAATAGTAAAAATTTTGAATTTGAATAGTTGTATGATGTGATATAAATAGGTGTTGATGTGATGTTTTGAATGTAAAATTGATTTTTACTATAATATAAAAAATGAAAAATAGATGTTTGATTTGATTTTTTTTTGGGGTGAAAAAATTGGATAAATAGTGGATTGAAAATCCAATCCCCCAAACAAACACATGTTTATCAAGTTAGTTGTTGGATCCTTGATCTTATCTCTTTGTTATGATTGTTTGACAAAAATTAATCTATGGAGATCAGAGTAGAAAGTACCCCCACTTAATTGTATGTAAAGTGAACTGTACTGATATTAAGACTGTTTCAGAAGGATCGACAAAGCTGAATTTCACTTTTAGTTTCGGTAGCCCTTTTATCAGAAAAATTCTTCTAATGTCCTGTACAAATGGAATTCACTGGCATCGACATGAACTTGTTATTCTAAATACAATTCCATTCATTTTGCAGACTGATTGGGAGGGTGGTTTTTACCCTCTAACAATGCACTTTAGTGATGAGTATCCCAGCAAGCCACCGAAGTGTAAACTCCCGGGAGGTTTCTTCCACCCTAATGTATACCCTTCTGGAACAGTTTGTCTTTCAATCCTTAACGAAGATAGTGTACGTGCAATCACACTGCTGCTTTCATTTTAACTATGAACTGTTCTGTGATAAGAATCTGTCCAAATTTCCTTCATTTCGGATTCCTAGGGTTGGCGCCCGGCAATTTCAGTGAAACAGATATTGGTTGGCATTCAGGACTTGCTGGATCAGCCGAACCCTGCAGATCCAGCGCAAAATGAGGGCTACCATCTGTTTATTGAGGTAGTGACATTCCCCCGAGTTATCAGAAATTTAATTGTTGATAATCCATTTTTGTGATAATGTAGTTCGTATAGATCGAACATTGTGGTGCATCAATATGCAATGTGTTGTGTTGTATCTCAAACATCTGATTTAGGATATCTTGATCTAAAAGAATTCACATGGTGGATGCAGGATAGTGTCGAGTACAGGAAAAGAGTTCGCAGCCAAGCCAAGCAGTACCCGCCTCTTCTATAATTCGGATAATCGCCTAGTCCCGAAAGCATCAGAGGCTTTTCTTAACCCATTCTGTTCTTCTCTTCAAGTGTAAGAAAAAACACCAAATAGTAGGTATTCTTCATCTGTGTTGGATTGTGTTTCTACCTATCTCACAAAAAATATGACTTTTACTACTTTCCTAGTGTGAAAGAGAAAGGGGAATATTAGTATTTTGAATTTCAAAAACAAATCTTGGAGACATTATAATTTATTTCAATAATGTGTATAGAATAATAGTAGTACATGGGATGGGATCGAATTGGTCAAATGTTGTAGGAGAAAGGTGTGGTGAATCTTTGTTAGTTAATGATGGATGACTGACTGACTGATGGCCATTGTTTTTCTTCACCAACTTTCTGACTTTCCTCTTCTTCCTCTATTCTTTTTCCCACGATAATATCATCTCGACTTACAAGTTTTGAAATATTTGGAAATAGTAAAAATTGATCATTTTGTGTAATATTATGTATATATATATATATGTGTGTGTAACAGAGTTAAAGCTACACAGTATTTTCACTATTTGACAAGATAAATGAATAAATAAATAGAAAAGAGAGCAGCCCTAGCCCACAATAATTTTGAAAGGGATGCACAATTATTGTTAAGGAATTAATAAAAGAAAATGGAGGAGTTGTTAATGGATTATAATATCCAACGAATGCAAATCAACGCAGAGCAATGTGGACAAGAATTCATGGTGTTTCACACTCCATTTGTTGTAGTAATATGATCAGCAGTGTCAGTGAGTATATGTATAAACAGTTTTGACTTAACAGCAGATAGAATGTGATTCTCAACAATAATAATAATAATAATAATAATAATAATAATATATATGGTTTGGATCGGATTGGAATAATTTTGATAATAGAATTGGCAAGACCTGGAGGTATTTTTCATCAATCCTGTTCCTAATTCCTATGTACATACTACATAATATACATATATATATATATAGTACTGTACTGTACTGTACTGAACTGAAGTGCATGAGTAGTGTCTTGTCCTCTTGTCTTATCCATCTGACAGACAGTCTTTCATTATAGTACTATATATATAGTGAAGTCGAAGCTTGTGGTACTAAAATATGACTGACTTCTGTTAATGAGTACTATGATATCTCTCTCACACCTTCCTCAAAATACTCTACAAGGTTGGACGTTAGTCCAGAGGCAGGCCAATCATATACTAGACTATGTTTTCTTTTCTATGTAATTCTACTATTTTTTAACTTATTTAATAAAAATATATTTAGGGTGTGTTTGTTTGAAGGATTTTGGAGGATTTCCACTATTCATTTAATTTTTTCTCCCAAAAACATCAAATCAAACACCTATTTTTCATTTTTTATATTATACTAAAAATTAATTTTACATTCAAAACATCACATCAAATCCTATTTATATCACATCATACAACTATTCAAATTCAAAATTTTTACTATTCAAATCCCAATCCAAAATCCAAACCCCCAAACAAACACACCCTTATATTACATATCGTATTCAACAATTATTAAATTTAAACAATGCATATATCTAAAATAATAATAATAGTAATAAGTGTGTTTTTTTTTTTGTTTTTGAATTTGAAAAAAATTAATTTGAATTTGATATTAAAAATAATATTTGATAAGATATTTTATATAAAAAAAATACTATATATATATATATATTTTTTAAAAAAACATAGAGTTCAAATAATAAAATATGAGAAATTTAGTGTAAAGAAACATACCCTATCTCTCCGGATGGTCCTACCTTGGGGCGGGTGGGCTGCAAGCCCCCTTAGCCCATTTTATTATTATTTTTTTAATGTAAAATTGTATTTCTTATATATCTATGTTAAATTGTATTTAATTAAAAATGTTATCATTTTATTTTATCTGATAATAGTAAATTAACGATCAACCCTAGAGTTGGGGGCTGTTCAGCCACTGCTACACTTCCATTTATACCAAGTATGAGGTTCATATAATGCAATTTATAAATGAAACTATATCATGGTCAATTCCCCACCCAAAAATAGTCCTGGTTGTGTTTCTTTTCAGCAAGGAATGGGTTTGAAGATTTGGGTTCCTTAAATAATATGTAATATTATATATTGTAAAAGTATATATATTTTTGTAAGATATGTGGGGAATATAAATAATAAAAAAATTGCATAAAATTATAAATTTTATTACAATAAAAAAATTTATTGTTCATTCAACCAATATTTTTTTTTTTACAATCTTTCTAAATATTACAAAAAACATACAATATATACTATAGCTATTCATCGATAGAAAGTTAATATTATTTTTTATATTATCAATTTGATTCTTGTACTTATCATAAAAAAAATATATATATTCATCCAAAATACAAAATGGAAGGCATCCAAATTATTTCCGAAACACAACCAAACCAATTAAAAAATGTTTCTCAAATGCTATATAGTATGTGTGATGTGTTGATTTTATTGTAATTTTTTACTTTTTAATACTCCCTCCGTCCCGAAACTAAAATATCTATTTGTTTTTTTCACGTAGTTTTAAAAATATTAGTATTATATTGGAATATAGTAGGAATAAAGTAGAAATGACTAAAATAACGTGTGATATAAAGGTAATGGCATTTGTATAATATATTGTAAGTTGTAAGGGTATTTGTAATGTTAAGTAGACAGTACAGTTACTAAAAAAGAAAATGGATACTTTGTCATGGGACGGACTAAAATGGAAAAATAGATACTTTGTCATAGAACGGAGGGAGTATATTATTTTTTGAAAAAAAAATACTAAATTCAATTTTATTTTTTCATTCAAAAAATCATATATGATTTATATAAGGAACTACAAGTAATAATAATAATAATAATAATAATAAACATTATTATAGTAAACTTATATTTCTTGAATAAGGTTATAGTTTTACATTATTCTGGTTATCTTTTGCAGCATCGAAATTATTGTAGTAAACTATAAACATTATTATAATTCTGTGAAACTCATATTGAAATAAATGTATATGTGAAAAAAAAAAAAGAAAAAAAGAAAGTTATATTATATAATTTTAAAAGATCACGCATTAATATATTTGACTATAGAGTTAAAAAAAAATGTCGCAAATGTATTATTTTTTTTTTTTAAAAAAAAAAAAAAACTTAATATCATGTATGCATTTATGTACGAATTGAAATTGTAATTATGATAACTTCAGATTGAGTCCAATATTCTATTTTAGGATGGGTTCCACTCTTGTATTCACATTTTCAATCTTCAGACAAACATAAAAAAGTCAATTTTTTTTTGAATACATTCAAATCTTTGAGGTCAACAAAACTACTGTTTGATGACTCTAATTTGGTTTTGTAATTTAGCTATATATTATCCCCTCAATAATTGTCATGCAAATATTTCACTGTACAATAATTAATGCATGTAATTTCAGGTTATTTCAACATATAATATAATAATACAGCTGCTCAAAATCAAATAAAATCGATAAAAAAAAATTGAATATTTAAATTTAATGGTGACAAAAATTATAATACAGATGCAATATAAAACTATGCTACTATATGTTATGAAAATGTTTATAATAAAATATAAAATTAAATAACCTAGATATATATTATTATTTTTAACTTCCCAGACCTATTAGAATACGCATCCTTAATAAACACAGTAACTGCGGCCTGTCAGGATATAATCAAATCCTAAAGTTACTCTTTACTTACTATATAATTTGTTCCTATTTTTTATTTTCGTCTATTTTATATAATTTGTTATTTTCTTTCTTAGAAAATTAATTATACACTTTAATCATATTTTAAAATTTAAAATTTAATTTTTTTAATCTTAATTAAATTATCTAGTTATATTAATTTTAATCTATAATTATTTTTACTAAATAATAAATATTTTTACTAATATATTTCTTAATTACTTATTAATTATATTTTACCTAAATTGCTATATCTGCAATAGTAAACTTATATTATATGTGACAGAGAGAATAATTGAAAAAAAAAAAAAAATTGGAAATTAAACTAAGGAAACGGTACGGATGTCTGTACAATAATTATATACGTGTTACTGTGTTTGAGGTTGGTATTTATGTCTGGTGTCTGTCTCACACACGAACACAATCATGTTTGGATTAGAACAATAATGGATTTTTTGTAATTAAGATTTTCTTCTTTTATTTTTATTTTTAAAAAAAAGTAATAAAGAAAATAAATATATTGCCAAAACTAACTGGACAGAAAATTTAAATTCAGAAGACATTAACGAGTTGGGGTTGGGAAGTGAGTCAGTGAGTGAGTCAGCGAGTTAGTGACAAAAGAGGTTCCTATCGAATCCGCCACCGACCACCGACCACCGACCTACTCTTTGTAATAATAAATACTCCTATTGCATAATATAATTTTATTTATATATATATATATATATTTGTGTAAAAAGAATTACCTCATGAAGAGCATAGATAATGATGGCAATAATGTCAATTCATTACTATCATATATACTATCAATTTGTCTTCCCCACCACACAACTAATGACAACTACTTATTGGTAATAAACTCTCCTTTTTTAAATTTTATTTTTCGCTAAAAAATCTTTCTTTTAGTTGGTTAAATTCCACTCCAAAAGGGTTTCTTTTCTTTCTTTTTAAAAAATTGGACTTTATTTATATAAAGATTTGAAGGTTTAATGAAAATAGTACAAAATTGAATATTCACTTTGATGTTTTTGTAAGAATGAATAAGTATTTGATGTAATTTATTTTTAAAAAATACTAGTATCAATTTTTTTTTAAAATATATATAAATATAAATAGTGACCAGCTAATTGGAAAGAAAATAATAATAGGAAAATTATAAAACAAATTTGAGCCAGCTATTCTTGGCAGGCCCGGGTGCGCCACGCCCAGCAACCCGGGGAGTGAGTTTACTCAATCTGCACGGTGAGGATCTAGTTGGGACCTGAGGACCGGGACTCTGCAAAGAAAATATGGGTCGCCGCCTGCAACAAGTAGCTTAGCTATCACAATATATGGCCATGGCTGCCAACTACTCATATATATCATACACTCTTTTTTTTCTCTGTGATGTAACCCCGTACATATTTTTCCACTAATTTCCTATCATAAATAGCTATTATAACAGGGGTGATGCTATAAATACACAGAGAAATTCTAGAGAGAGAAATGAATTAAAACAGGTTCCCAATCCAATGATGGATGATGAGAGTGAGATAATTTTATATAAAAAGAGAGAGAGAGAGAGAGAGAGGAGGGGTGGGGTGGAGATGATTAACATTATTAATAATATTGGTATAGTTATTATTATTGTGGGTGTGGTGTCGGTGCATTTTGTATCTTAGTCCTTTCTCTCTCTACTCTTTCTCTCTCATAAAGCTTTCTTCTTCGGCCAACGTGTCTCTCTCTCTCTCTGCCTGCCTGCCTGCCTGCGTCTGCCTCCTCGTCGTCTTCCTCCTCTTTGTTCATCTAAATCTCAGATGACAACAAAAACCTCTGCAGAGTCCCTAACTGAAAAAGCTACAGTCCACTGCACCATGCCTGCTCCCTCTTTCTCTCTCATCCATCAAAGTAAATAAAAAACCTCCTCGCAGCTGATTACTGTACACACACCCTCCTTCGTTTTTCAGAGAAAAAAACACAGCTTCGACTATGGAGGTGAACGCCGCCGCCGCCGCGTCGGCGAGCCGCCGGAGAAACGAGAAGCCTTACAAAGGGATAAGGATGAGGAAGTGGGGGAAGTGGGTCGCGGAGATTCGGGAGCCCAACAAGCGCTCCCGTATCTGGCTGGGATCTTACTGCACCGCCGTCGCCGCCGCCAGGGCCTACGACACCGCCGTCTACTACCTCCGGGGACCCACCGCCAAGCTCAATTTTCCCGACCAAATCTCCGTCTCCGGCCTGACGGATCTCTCCGCCGCCTCCATCCGGCAGAAGGCGATTGAAGTGGGCTCCCGCGTCGACGCACTCCACAGCAGCCACAGGTCGACGCCGCCGCCGCCGCCGCCGCCGCCGCAGGAGCATGGAGGAGTCGTGGCCGCCGTCAAGCCCGAATGGCTCCATGAAGGGATCGATCTGAACAAGAAGCCCGAGCCCGAAGACCCCGCCGACCATTGGTGACCGACCCACCGACCGACCTTCCATGGCAGACCCAAAATTAAATTAAAATTATGAATAAATTATTAATTAAATTAATAAATAATTCCTCCCCCCCTATATATTATATACCTTTATTTTTATTTCTTTCAAGTATAAATCAATCCTCCTACTCTTTTGTAGCCATAATCAAAATCAATCCTGATGAGAGGTGTCGATGGTAAATCCACCTCGAAGAAATTACAAAATTTTCTAGTCCCATTAAATTCCCCGTTTCTGTCTCTGTCTGTCTCTTAATTAATTCATCAATCAATATAATCAATCAATCATCCATGGATGCAACAGTGTCGCCCTAAACACGACGATCAATTAACCAATAAAAAAGATACTGGATTTGAAAATCTAATTGAATTTGTTTTTGTTGATAAGAAAGGGCGATACACACATATATATATATATGTATATATATATAAAATTAATCGTATGTAAATGATGATGATGATGGAGAGAGGTGGGGTGGGGGGAACAGGGATGGACCTACCATAACCATACCATGGCTCGAATTTGGGGCAAGTGGCTATTCTATTTGTTGTACACAGACAGACCACAACCCACATAACAAAATTAATTTGGGTTTGGAGACCTATCTATCTTCAATTTTAAAATTAGGTTTTTCTGTGTGTGTGTGTGTGTATGGTGTTTTTCCCCCAAATTAATTTCAATAATCTCCTCAATCTCCACTGTAGTCCGCCACGGACGACGTGGGCGCCACCGCACTCAATAGGCGGCCCGCCGCCCCCGTCGCCGCGACAGAGACACTGACCACAACTGTACATTACAGATAAATATAGATTTACATACATATATACATTTATATATACATAGTATTATATTAGTATATATATATATGTTGTTACTGTCGTCTGTCTTGCTCAGTTCTTACAGCACTGTTTAACGTACGTGGGAATTAATTTCTAATAAATATGTACTAATAGTAGTAGTTGTAGTTAGTGTGTGTACGTACATCCGCATGTCTGAATGTGTACATATAGATATAGATATTAGTCTATGTATACAAATATATTTTTTTCTTCATGTGGTCATTATTAGATTTGGACAAACTAATTTTGTTTTGATGTGAACTGCATGTCCCCATTTTATGATGAATTCGACGTTAATTACCAACTGTTTTCCTGTGTATTCACATTCATATGTCAGTCTGGGTCGAGTCGAATCGAGTCCCTACAGACAAACATTGTCCATTAATTAATTAAAAATACTCTTACCCAGTAATGATACTAATTCTGATGCACCTTAAATTGAAAAAAATAAAATTTAAAATAAGGCAAATTATAATTGATGACAAAAATAGTATCAATGACAGTGTTAGACGTAATTTCAATTTTGGGTCAAAACAATGCATAGAATTCGAATTAATTGCAAACAAATACGAACCCCCCAACAACAATCAGAACAAAAAATTTATTACAAGTTGGGTGAATTTCAGACATACAAGGCATTAGATTAGATGGGACAGAAATTTAAAAATATAAATAAAAAAAAAAAAAAACCCAAGATTTTATAGGCAGTGGACCATAAATAAATTCATTTCCAGGTCAGGTCCCGACTTCACACTACACCAGAAAAAGACTACATACAGCTTTACTATAATTAATAAAGCAATTAACAACAACCTTAACCTGGATTATTACACTAATGCAGCCATGACATATCTGATGATGCAAGAGAAACCCAAGTCAACAAAAAATTAAATAAACAATAATAATAATAACAATGATAATAATTAAATGACCAATGACACTCAATCATCCATAATAACTAAATGCAATAATTCTGTAATTCAACCACCGGCCAAATTATAGGAGGATTAGAAAGAAATGCAAGAAACAGAGGCTCCACCTCACAACAAACTTATATACTCGTAGCCTCAAATCTTTTGTTATTATTTCTAGTTTCAAATGTCTATACATTTATTCCCCTCTAAATACAATTGATAAAATTATTTCAAACAAAAAGAAAAAAACCAATGAAGATTATACAACATAAATGGTCGTATCAAAACTAAAACTAGCAAAAATAATGGGAAGGAAAAAGTATTATTATTATATTATTGTTGTGTAGAATAATTAGAGACAAAGTTGTCATTAAGGGAGTTGCTAAGTCAATCTAAGCAGCTCAGGTGCAATAATTAGATAAATACAGCTATATGTTGTTGGATCAACTTGTAATTACATCATGTCATTCATTTGTCTGAATAGATAAGATGACAGATAACCAAACACAGATTCCTGGCTACATACAGGGGAGCTTTTCTTAGGTATGTTTTTAATCTAACTTCAAATGTTTAAGGCGTTCAATAAAATAAGATCAAGAAGCGAACCGTACTGTTGTCGGAGGAGAGTTCTTGGCATGCAGCATCGATGACGGCCCTGCTGATCATTCCAAACATGATAAATACTATTTTTAACAGGAACATTGTTGTAAGAATGGAATCTAACGGAATATGTGCGTGCACATGAAGATATAGTATGCCAAGTGTCTCACTAGCGTCATATTTGTCTCGAGCAGCTACCTGACAATTGACATGTTGTAATTTTTCGCTTCTTCAGCCATCACTTCATTCCGTGGAACAGGGAACCGAATGCACCAAAGTCAAGATTGGAAGGATTAATAGATTCGCATGCTGCTATTGGTGCAGTCATCGTCAAAGCGGTAACTGCCCACCTGTCGGTTGGCTCCCGTAAGCTGCTTTTGTCCTCGCGTGAATGTGCGCCGAGGTATTTATAAACAGACATAACTCTATGGGACACAATCTAAACAAGATTTTCAGTCGTCAGCACAGGATGTACGCACATGTGAGTGAGATAAAATCTGCAACAACCACTCAGAACTAGGATCGTGTTAATAGGACAATCATTTGTGTCATCAGCAATGAATCGAAGCACGCTTGAGAGTTCATTCTAGAATAGCCCCTTCAGTCGCCAATCATTATCACAGCAGATTATTTTTAAGTCAAATTATCGCTCGAGGGACAAATTAATCTAATGTCAAGTGAAAAAACAAGGAAAGGAAAAACAAGCCACAAAGATAAATGCAAGTCCATAAAGATGCAAGAGAACTTCTTCTGTCAAGAGTCAATTCTTGTACATAAAGCACAAGGATAATCCTACGAAATTGGGTGAACATCAATTTATACAAAGGTAGAAAAAATAAGTAATACATTTCATAAGAAGATAGACTTTTCAGCTCCATACTCAATAACACAAAAAAGCACTTTCCCACTTTAAGGAGCTAATGCAAGATATCCGGAAACATTGAAACATATGGCATAATGAATTCAGGCTCCTCCAAAGTGACAAAAAGGCAAAACCATTGATTACTATGTATTATATACTACTACAAGGTAAACATACCATAAGTATTAATTGGAAACAAACTAAAGGACCAGGATTGTTACCTTGTTCAGTGCTAAAAACTACCAAGTTCTTAGTACATGGGCTTGAAAAAGCTTCAAAATCATGGGGAAAACTTTATGTTTCTGAGTAACTGCAGTTTTAGAATAAAAACCCTTGATATATAAACAAACACAACAACATTGAAATCAAGACGTAAACACCGCAGAAATTTATAGATCCCTAACTTTTTACTGCTTGGAAAATTGTAAACAAGGCATCATGCACCTTCTACAGCAGCAATGTTTCAAAAAGTGATGAAAATTAGAATTATTAATAGTACACAGTAACGAAAAAGTCACTACCTCTCTACCCTTTAGTTTTAACAAATGGTCCACGGCACTTTGTGCTTTATAGAAAATTCCTAATTCCTAATGCAAATATACTTAGGGTTCAACTGTATGAGTCATTTCAGTCTCCATCCCTTTCTTCCCCATAGAGATTAGATTCTAAATTTGACTGGAAAACTTATTTAGATTTTCCAGGCCCCATGAAGACGACTTTCACATACTCATACGGCACTAATGCAGCATAAGTTGTTCAAAACTGACAAAATACATCAAAGCAATTCAGCTCATTCTTACTCAGATACCACTTGTGCTCAGAATCGGTAGCATAAGAAAACTAAATGAAGTGCAGTCCCACAGCATAAGTATGATCCAAGCACAACTGCAAGCCAGATAAGATAAACAAGAGACAGTCTCCATATGAACTTCCTAACCCTAAACCGAAAATCAAGAGACGGGGAAAGGAAACCAAAGACCTCCATTTAATTCGCTAAATAAACTTACGTATGTTCATTTCAATTGCAAAATTGCAACTTCCCTTCGAAATTCGAAATTTCAAAAAACGAGTACCAGCTCAATTCTCCTATTTCAGTTCAAGAAACAAACACAACAATTGATAAATATTTATACTACTACAGGAACCGACAGTTTCAATTTCCAGGGCAATATGAACAAAAGCAAACAAAATACAAAATACAAAAAAACATTTTATTCGCATAAATTTTCTCTTTTCAAAAGCATTATCAACGCTGTTCAATCCAAAGCAAATTAAAACATGAAAAATCAACACGAAGCCACCATCTTTCACAGTAAAATCCAACAAAAGCGAAGAACAAACCTTCAAACCCATGCGGCGGTGGTGGGATTGGCATTTGGCGGCATGCAATTCTCCTTTCCTCGCCGCAAAACCCCCCACTCGGCGGCCCAACCGACCGCCGAAGTGCTTAAGAAAACTAAAGTAAAATAAAATGTGACCCGTGGGCATGGATGAACTACAGAAACCTTAGCAAATCGTTGAGCCGAACCCCCAAAAAAAGATAAAATAAAAAGATGGAAAGAGGCCCGGGCCGGGCCGGACAAGCAACGGGACTATCTTCGCAGCCCATTAACTCAAATTATTTTCTTATATATAAATATATATAATATCTCAAGTTTCGAAAAATTCAATCCATCAATTAATAATCATCACCAAATTATGATTTAATGAGAGTAATGTACTAAACCAACTTTAGGAGTGGAGAAATTAAGGGTGTGTTTGTTTGAATGATTGGATTAGATTTATATTATTCATCCAATTTTTTTTCCCCAAAAACATCAAATCAAACATCTATTTTTCATTTTTTATATTATACTAAAAATTAATGTTACATTCAAAACATCACATCAACACCTATTTATATCACATCATATAACTATTCAAATTCAAAATTTTTACTATTCAAATCCCAACCCAAAATCCAAACCCCCAAACAAACACACCCTAAATAGCTTTTTGTAGAGTTCGTAATTTGATTTACTGATCTAATGTTTATAGCGTTGGAATTATGGAATATCCTATTTCTTAGCTTCCCCCTTTTTCATATATATATATATATATATATATATACACACACACACACATCCTAGCTAGCTAATCTATATGTAATTAGACAACAAAAGTATATACTTTGGTAATTTAAAGAACTTGAAATTGGATTTCATATATATAGTTTAACTTAATATATATTTCGTACTTGAATAATTAAATATGACAAAGAAAAAACTAGTTGCACATTAATGTTTTTCTACTTAAATATTTATTTCATATGTATACAAATCTATTATATGTTTGGTCGTAGCTAGGCATATACTAAGTTTGATTCGAGGTTTATATACTCTTGTGGTTGATGTCGTCGTCAATTTTATTTGTATATTAATAATAATAATAATAATAATAATAATAATAATTATTATTATTATTATAATTACATGCCAAGTATTATTGTTAAAGGTAGGTGAAAGAAATGGAGTGTATAGAACTAGGAATATAATAAGGTTGCTATATATATGTGTAATAATACAAGGTGAAATAAATATGCTTGGAATTATTGTAATTTATGTAAAAATAATAACACATATATGTATGTGTATATATGTATGTATATGCTTGGTTTGATTATTAATTTTGGTGCCCCAAAATAATTGCAATGTGCATTTAAATGTGACATTCAAAACATTGAATTATTCTGACTGCACATGAACGTTAACGTGTGGTGCTGTCAAGCTAGTCATACAAACAGATATATACAGATATATTGTATGTATATCCATCACACACACACACACACACACTTACTTTTATTTAATTTCTCAACAAACATATTTCTGCATGCATGCAGTTTGAATTATTCTCAGACAATTATTATTTTTCCTTGCAGGAATTATTTAGGAAGTTGGAAAAACAATTGAACTGAGGTAGTTTGAATATTTAATTTCCTTACATTCACACACACACACATATATATATATATATATGTATGTATTGACAAGCATGACAAATTTTAATGATTGATTTATTATGGTGCAATTAAATCTGGGACTTGAGTGGGAAATTTGAAGCTAAATTTAGAAGTTTGGGGGGTTCTTGTTACGATACATTATTATGAAAGTTCATAAATTTGGAATATATTTAGTTTCTCTATACATGTTAAATCTAAAACATATACTAATGTCCTATGTTAAATTTGGTGAAAAATATATCTATTTAATTAGTTTTGCTGAAAAGTTCCATGTATAGCAACTACTTTATTAAGCAAGTTTTAATTAATCTAGTCAAGAAAACTAACAAGTCAAATAATTCTCAGCTGAGTCCTTTCGATGGCTTTTCCTATACACAAATTGATTCTTATATTCCTATTAATTGTCAAACATCTGTCTAATTATTTAAAGACAAGACGAATAAATCAGGACAATAATTTCGGCTTTCGATTTTCATTGATCTGAGTTTAAATTCTTGATCTTGCCTAATTCTGATTATATTCACTATGTTGTTCGAAATTGTCACCTTAAAATGTATCCATTTTCTTCAACAATTATCAATTGATTAACTTATGTATTGTTGTGTTTTGCTAAACTAATTAATATTAAGGCCAATTAAAATATATTGATATTTAATTTGTGTTTTAAACTTTATATACAAAGAAATGCATCCCGCAAATTAAATATGTATAAAAGTATAAATCAGTATAGATGTATATCTTTTGTAAGATATATATAGGGCCGGCAAAAATTAACCCGACCGACCCGAACCTGACCTGAAATAGTTGGGTTTGGGTTGAGATTTTCGACCCAATTAATAATTTGGTCAAACCCGTTTAACCCATTTAATTAAATAGGTTAGGTTAAGGTCTACATTTTCGACCTGAAAATAACCCGTCTAACCTGTTTAATTAATATTATTTTAAATTTAAATATATTTTTAAAATTTTATCAATACAATTCAATATTTATGGCCAATTTTATAAAAATAAACAATAAAAAATAAAGGATTGTGTTATGTACTATTATGTATAGTGTTTGTTAATTCAATTCTTGAATATCGGTTTTATGATATGAATAAATAATTTTTTACTTTAATATGTATATATATTATGCATTAAAAAAATTTATTAGTATAAATTGTAATTTTAAATTAAAATTTAAAAATTTTAGATTTAAACGGGTTATATAAGTCATATTCAGGTTGACCCGGTTAATAAAAGGTCAGGTTAAAGTTGCAAATATCAACCCATTTAATTAAATGGGTCAGGTTCAGGTCAAAAGTTTTGTAACCCGTTTAAGCTGATCCGAACCTAAACCTGACCCGACCTGATCCGTTTGCCAGCCCTCTCTATATATATTTGCCAGCCCTCTCTATATATATATATATATACACTTTAGTGGAAATAGAGGTTTTATATCTGTGAGTTTGCAAGTTTATATTTTAATAGTTTTTATATGAATTGTATTGTAGTTATTGTATCTAATATTCTATAAAGAACTGAAAATTTATTATCTTATCTATATAATATATATTAAAAAATATATAATGCATTCCTCACGAAAACATATATTATTGTAAAATTAACACAATTAAAACAAGATAATGGAAGGTTTTCATGGATAGAGAATTTCTTAAGTCTATACACATTGTTATCACCATTATATTCGATATCACTAGCAAACAATGTCTTGATTTGCATTCATTTCATATTTATATATGCCAAAAAATTTTAATACATATATATATTTATTTAGAAGTTTCATTTATTTATTAGGATAACACGACCAACACCATTTTTAGAAGGGACTTTTCTTTGGTTGGAAGAAGGGGGGGGGGGGGGGGGGGGGGGGGTGGGGTTTCTCATATATATATGTGTGTTTGAATGGCTGAAAGAGACCAGGCTGTTGCTGTGGTCGAGAGTACGTATTTAATAGTTGATTGAATTTTGAACATATATACAAATACATAAATATATATATATAGCATCAGGAAAACAACAAAAGGAGGACTCCCTATGGATTTAAACCTCTTTATTACAACCATTTATTGCTCAGTTCATCACAAATACAGAAACCCAAGATTTTCCTTCTTCACCAAAACTAAATATAATTAATTTATTAATACTTTTCTCTCGATCATATATAGATATACATATATATATATATATACCTGGTGAAAAAGAATTGAAGAGCTGGCGGCACGAACATGTATGTATGATCGATAGCTAGAGGATAAAACCCTTTGAACAAATTGGGAATTAAACAGCAGCATCTTTTGAGAAATTGAAGTTGTTTAGGTTTCCTGAATAGAAACCCTCATTTTGTTATTCTGACTCACTTGTCTTGACAACCTTAGTATTAATTATTGCTTGAATTGCCGAGGCAGAGTTTCATCGAAAATATATATGGCCAATTAGGCAACCGCAAAAAGGATATCTATCTATCTATCTATACTACCGCCATAGCTACACCCCCACCCCACCCACCCCCCACTATTCACTTAGCTTAGCATACGAACTGACTGATCCAAGAAAAAGTTGCAGTAGTTCACTTTAATTATTTGGCAACAACTCCTCTCCCCTCCCTTCCCCTCTCCTGTCCTAAATTCGATTTTCGGAAATGTGGGATCTGAACACCTCGCCGGAGATAATTAATCATTCGGCCGGAGAAAATAACGGATCGGAGATCAGGCACGGCAGCGCCGACGCCAAGGGGAAGAGGGTTTTCTCAGAAGATAATTATAATCAAGAAATCATTAATGGGGAAAACGAGAGGAAGAAGATGATGATCAGGAGCAGCAGCAAGATCTTTGGCTTTTCCGTTCCTCATCATCACAGATACACTAATTCCGACGAGATTACCTCGTGCTCCTCGCCGGTGACGCGGCAGTTCTTGCCCGTCGATGACCCCCCGCCAGTTTTCGCCGCTGCACATTCAAAGATGCGATTTCCCCCCGCCGCCGCCGCCGGCGGGGTTAAATTCCATCAGCCGGAACTCCACGGCGGCAGCAGCTGTAATATCTTCGGCAACTCCAATATGCTGCAGCCTCTGAAGAAGACCCGCCGCCGTGGCCCGAGGTCCCGGAGCTCCCAGTTCCGCGGCGTCACGTTCTACCGGAGAACTGGACGTTGGGAGTCACACATATGGTATAGATATGTAAACATATATATATATGTATGGATGTATTTGTGTCTCTATATAATATAGTAGTGAAAAAATTGGATCTTTATTTCTGTCTTACACATGCAATTCCACTAATCAGTCCTTTTTTTTTTTTTTTCTTTATTAGGGATTGCGGGAAGCAAGTATATTTAGGTCACTTCTCAATTCATTCCAATATCTCTACCCATTCTATTTCTGGTAATTTCTTGATTTCATAAATAACTAGCCAAATCTTGTTTTGTTCACCAGGTGGATTCGATACAGCAGACGCAGCAGCCCGGTGAGCCCCCAAAAATTTTAAATTTAAATAATAATAATAATAAAATAAAAATTGAAACTTTACATTTTTCCTAATTCTTGGGAATGTGAATGTATTGCAGTGCATACGATAGGGCAGCCATAAAGTTTCGAGGAGTGGAAGCAGACATTAACTTCACTTTAATGGACTATAAACAAGATTTCGGCCTGGTAATAAAACATGGTTCAATTGAAAACCAAACCATGACTGAAATTCTTGCATTCCTTAACATTATATGTTCCTCAATTTTCTCAAATATATTGACAATGATCTGTGTAATATATTATGATATAATAATAATAATGCAGATGAGCAATTTAACCAAAGAGGAATTTGTTCAAGTGCTTCGTCGACAGAGCACTGGTTTTCCAAGGGGAAGTTCGAAGTATAGAGGTGTCACTTTACACAAATGTGGGAGATGGGAAGCTCGACTTGGCAGATTCTTGGGGAAAAAGTAAGAAATTGTTAACAAGCATTTGACTTTAATTTGATCCATCTGTATGAAAGTGTTGTGCTGAATTTTGGTTGTCTAATTTGCCACCTGTTTATGTTGTAATGAACTTTTTTTGTTGATGAAATAGGTACGTTTATTTGGGGCTCTTTGATACTGAAATCGAAGCTGCCAGGTGAGTGTACGTAATTAAATCGATTAGGGTTAGGGTTTTCCTGATTGATGCATTGTGCTATGACTAATCAATTTGGTGACTTCACTATTTGATTTAGGGCTTATGATAAAGCTTCCATCAGATTGAATGGAAAGGAAGCTGTCACCAATTTCGATCCGAATACTTATGTCGAAGAACTCAATGCTGCTACTGCTGCAGGTCATTTTGATCTGTCACAAGAAATTGCTAGTTTTCGATTTATTTACTTACATGTTATGATCTGCTAAAAAATTTCATGTAATATCAGAATCTTCGTACAACATTCTTGGTGCAGACCATAATCTGGATTTGAGTTTGGGTAATTCAGCAACAAAGCCAGCCATTGCCAATTCCAGGCCTAGAGATCGACATTCTTCACTGATGCAATTTCAACAAAGAGGATTAAGGCCAGAGGTACATATGAATAAATTAAAAAACAAGAAAAACCTAATTTGAGAAGAATTCTTTAGTTCTTTTTTTTTTTGGGGAAGGTTAATGTTATGCAATTTGGCACTGGTAATCATCCATGGAGGAGGACGGCGGCGGCGGCGGCAACCACCTACCGCGGCGGCGCAGACACCCGATTGCTGCTTCAAAACCAAACAAATCACCATTATTATTCGTCTCCAGGACCCTCCAAGATGAACAATGAAATGCTCAGATTTGGACAGGTGGAGACCACAATTGAACCCTACATGTTTCAAAAAATAAACCCTCCATTTACCTCATAACAGTTTCTTTCGTTCGTCTTGTCGTCAGGTAATGATAAGAACTGATGATCGATCAAATTACTTACTTTTATTATATATGTTGGGACATACATTAATTGTTTTATTTTTCTGGCTTCTCTGAATTATCTGAATTGTGAACAAACCTAAATCATGACAGACTTATCAATTTAGTCAGGAAAGCATGCAGCAATATTATTGGTCACACACACATATATATGTATAGATATACACACACAGGTTTCTGTCTCTGGAAAATGGACAGCAATAATGATATGATCAGATCTATCCCATATATTCATGTGATTGTGGTTTGCTTTGGAAAATTGCTATTAAGAAATATATATATATATATATATATGTGTGTGTGTGTGTTTGTGTGTGGATATTTATGCATATAGTGATGAATTAAATTGAAGAAATGTGGATACTGTTATGAGATTCAACCTGTTATATATGTAGCTTAGAAAATGTTCTTTTCATGATAGAATTGTAAACCCTTTTGTTTGAAATTGATGATTTTATAAATAGTACTTAAAAATATAACAAGTTGGAAATTTGCATGTATACGAAGAAAATTTACAAAAATTTTGGGACATGCAATTTAAAATTTAAAATAATAGGAAAAGATCTACCATAGATGAATATTTATATAAATACAAATTATACATTTGATTTCATAGAGATTGTGAGATTAAGCGTTGCTTAGCACAATTATAACATGACAGTACATAGGCTATGACAGATAAATTGATAGCACAAGATATATAAATTGATAGCACAAGATATATATCAATATAATTCAAATAAATTACATGATAACATACACAATACATACTATAATTAATCTCTATAATTGATCTTGGAACACAATATATATTCACAACATATGTATAAACTAGAACATACAATATATGTTAACTATCCATACTACATGTGTTGTCTAGTGTATTTCTATGTATTGTCTGCTATATTTTCGTGTAACACATTGCTACCAACTTATAAAATAATCAAAACAAAATACTAGCATTGAACAAATTGAATGTAAACAACCTTAATTGGCTAGTAGCCTTCATGAGGATATGATCCAAAAATAGAACAATATATTGAGAGTTTTCCCATATGGGGTTTTATTAACTTATTAGATTTCTTGAAAATAATTAGTTCCTATGAGCAAATAATTGACAAATCTGATGTTACACGACCTGTATATATTTGTTCCCCTCTAATTGGCATGTCTATATTGGCAGCTAGCAATAGCATACATTAATTATTAATCACATGTTGACATCAAAATTATCAATCTTGTACTCATATGTTTTCAAATAAGCAAGTTATATAACAATAATATCAACATTTAAAAAAAAAAAAAAAAAAGGGCAATTAATCATCAATCATGCTAATAGCTTTTATTTTAACATATTGAAGAATACCTCATTGGTGCTCTAGCTAAGATCCAAACCACTTTTTTTGCAATCATTATTATATTATTTGAAAGTTTAATTTATGATGAATGGCTATAAGATTATCATCATTTTGAAGACATGCATATAAATATATATGCAAGTCTCAATGAAAATGCATAATTTTATGGTTCTAGAATTACATACACTGTAATCTAGCTATACCACAGCAGCCAACCTCAGAAAAACAAAAACTTGTCTCTTCTGTATGGACTCGTCTGTTTCTTCTCTAAAACTGTATTCCAATCTTTCAATCTTCTTTCTCTTAATCTGCCTCTCTCTATATATATAAATATATTATCTGTATGTATATATGTATCAGCAATTGCACCTCTTGACAAGTTCCACCCTCAGTCTGCAGAAGCAAAAAGGAACAGCAGAGATCGATATATCAATATCAATATATCAGGAAATCCAGAATTCAAAAAGGAGAGAGGAAGGAGCTAATGAAACAAATGAAGAAGAATAGATGATGATGATGATGATGATGATGATATGAAGAGCTCCTACCTGGAAGTTGGGTTAGAACTTAGATGCAGAGTGCACCCATGTCAGGCGGCGCTCCTCCGTCGGATTGAATGGAGCTCGAGCTCGAAGTTGTGGATCCACCTTTTCCACCTTTCTTTCGATCTTTCCTACTCTTCCCATAGTCAACTGTTTGGTTACTGTCAGCATAATACCATTGTGTTATAAAGAAGCAAAACAAACAGAGTATTACCACAGATTTAATGCTCCAGAAGAACATGAAGTTTCGACATAAAATGGCATACTTTTATAGCAACCAATATTCTAGGAACTTATAGACAATAAATACACACAATCAACAGTGCTTATTGCATTTCATGATTGTAATAAGCCTCCAAACGAACTTCAAATGGTGATATATATATATATATATATATATACACTTCAAAGCCAGAAGCATTAACATAATCCATTTCATTAACCAAAAAATTCCATTAACAAACTGTATAACTGTGGGATTTCTAGATTTCCGAAAAAGAAAGAAAATATCATAAAGGGTGTTTTTAAGAAGCATACACTGGAAGTTTGGAGGAAGATTTCTTGGCTGTGCCGCAGCATGACTTATACTTCTTTCTTGAGCCACAGGGGCAAGCCTTGTTTCTTGAAATTTTCTGAAGAGGCATAGAAACACAGTTTATAACAAATCAGTTCATAAACAAACAAGAGACTAACAACATTTGATTGTAAGGTGTATGAATGATAACAACCTTTTCATCTGATTGCTGATTTTTCTTGTTGGAAGATGCATCGCCACTGTTTCCAGAAACGTTGAGTTTGTATGTCCGCTCTTCAACTTTCTCGCCATCCTTCTCAGAGTTCACTACTTGATGTTCATCTGTACAAGCCAAAAGATGAGAAGTTACTAACAGAGGAGCATTATCAAAATAGCCACTCAAGGATGACAGCAGAGTGCAGTAGAGTATGCAGAACATTAATTGACATTAGGATCCTTTGAATCAATTATATTCGATCAAAGCTGATTAAAGCAAGAGGCTAGAATAAGAAACTTCAATTCTCATTATAATGATGTTAATACCTTATCAGTGATGGAAAATAACAGGACAAAAGTATAATGATCACAAATAGCTCAATAAAGCCGTCTAAATGATAACAACCCTGATGAGTGATGAGAAGGAAAATTAATCACATGCATATGCACTTGCAACATTTAGAAAAACAACCTTCACTTAGCTGACACAATGTGTACTACATTAATTAAACTTTAAATGGGTAACTACAAAATAAAAATCAGCTATGGATCACATTTTCAAAGAAATGAAAAAGACCTAAATCAAAATCCTGAGAAAGAGGAGCAATAGATTTTGTCTTAGCATTTCTTGAAATGCGAAACTCATCATATAGTCATTAATTGTAATCAATGAATCATCACGGAAAAAAAGCCTAAATATAAATAGAGTATAGCGTGCGCAAGATACTATTCACATAAAGCAGTATAAACAATGAATAGATATTGGAAACCCAAAATAGAAGCCCAATGCCATATGAATGCTTTAGTGAATAACATGGATTCACCTTCAGCAGCCTTCTGATCTTCTATTCCCTGTACAGCAATAAGGAATTCTATTGCCGATTCAACATCACCACCAACTTGATGTAAAACCTAAAGTCACATTAAGAAAAGTAAAGAAAGGAGCACTTTAATCATCAAAACACATACATAAAAATTGTATACCGCAATTAATCAGGCCTCTTGAAAAAGAAAAATAATTTCACCATGGGGGGTTGGGAGGGGGGGGGGGGGGGGGGGGGGGGGGGGGCGGGGGGGAAGGGAGGCATTAGGTTTGTTTGGGACAATTAAGTAAGCCATTAACTAACAATAACCTCTTCAACTTTTGCAGTATCTTCACATCCACTTCCAGCCTTTACCAATTTAATGTATTCCCCAGGAACAGCATTCCTTCCACCTTCCTCCCTTGAGCTTGCAGTTGAGTTTGCTTTGCTTGATTTAGCAACAACATCAGCATCTCCCTTTTCGATGTAGTTAAAAAGTTGTCAGATTGAAGATCAAAAAAAGGTAAAATAGGACTGTTAATTTATTCTACAGCCATCCAAAACAAATGAGAGAAACCTTTATAACAATTGGCCTAGCTGGTCCAGAACAAGTGTCTTCCTTCAACCGAACGCTGTTGTAATGTTCCCCATCATGATAAGAACTGAAAAAAAGGTAATCAAGTAGAGAAAAAATAAATGAATGTGACAACTGCCAAAAAGCCTTTTGTACAATTTTCTTCTTTTGAATAGTAGAAAAAAGAATAAGAACATGAACTTCTAAAAGTTAGCAAAGCATAATCGAACAATTGTTGAAACATTAAGAAGGTTGAAAATCAAATTCCTCACTGCACCAATGTGGCTTCATAGAATTGGGTGTGGTTAGAAATATTTATAACCCTTATCTCAAAAAGTATATACCTCGAAAGATCAACCATTTTATTAGGAAAGTAAAGACTGCCTCAACTATAAACACGTGGCAGATCCAAACGTAACAACTAAAAAATCCACGACAAAAGTACAAGTACGCATGCATTTATTACAAGAGTTAATGAGAATGAATTTGGATTATGCGAATAACTTAAATATACGTTAAAAGGAACATAGAACATTCCATCATTGATTACCCTGCATAAGGTAAACTAAAAGTGAAGTCAGACAAAGCAAGAACAATTCCCAATTTTGTGTCAAACAGGGATATGTCAAGCTAAAAGAATCTACATCAGACTGCAGTACATGAAGTCTAGCTCACGTTAAAATATGCAACAAGGGTATTTAGGCCACGGAGCATCGAAATGTGGAATTAAGCCAGAGCGTTAGTGAGAAAAACAGGTTACAAATTTTGCATGATGGTAATTCAATTACAAGACCTGTTTGCAGTATAGAACATAATTTCCCATAATGGAGCAGCTGAATTTATTATTTCGTGAGCTTCATTGCTTATCACATTAAAGTTTATAAATGATTTAGTGAAGTTCAATTGACAAGTATACAACTGGCGAAATTTGTTATCTAGAAAGGTAAGTCGTAATGAAGAAGTGGACGTTATAAGCAGTTAATGTTTTGGAATGATTTTCACCTTTTACGGAAGGAGACAAAAAGAAAAAGACAAACTGAAAAAGAATGTCGGTCGGTGTGATCTTAAATATATTCTGGAAGGATAATTGCGCAAAAAATAAGCACTTTCAAGTGCACACACATGTATGTAGGAGCACTTACAGATGAATCATCCGAACTTCATTGTCGTTGAAATTCCTAATGTACAATCGCGGCAACATAGGCTGCACAAACAAGTTAACAAATGTCCTAATTGATCCACAAAATCTGAGACAATATCACTGAAATAACTTCGCATAAAAAGCCATTGCTTTAGTTTAAACAATAAGTTTGGATAAGTCTGCATAACTAACAATAACGACAACTACAACAAATCATGAGACAGTTTAACTAATGATTCAGAAAAAGAAAAAAAGCAGAATATCATACACTGTGAATGCAAATGTTGCAGCGTGTGACAAGCGAAGCCGCTTGCAACTCCAAGTTCCCCGCCCAAGTGCCATTTTTTGCCATGGATTCACAGTATTTGTTGAAGGGGACCTCATCCTCAACAAACGGTTGAAACATCATCGGATTCTCCTATCAAACGAAACATGTCGGTCAAATGGAAAAGCTCAGCCAAAAGCAACAAAATCTAGGTTTCGAAAACACTACGGAACATATTTTCACTTCCCACATCGGTTTTCCAACTGAAACATACTTCATTTTCAAACAAGACAATAACATAAGCTAAAAGGACTGCAAAGTAATTGATCGATGATCGCCGCAATCATAACTATCATCATAATCGATCGCCGCAATCATAACTATCCTCATAATCACTATGATACAGACAAAACTATAATCTACAACATTATACCAAATATGCCCAAAATCTACAATGCTGTAAGATCAGTGTCAAGAACACCATATATCAATTCTTCAAACTATTCACCTTTAGACATTTTACCGCCATTTTTCTGTACTTTTCGTGCTCGTCCTCGTCACCTTCTATCTGATCTGCGAGTGCCCTATTACAGAAAAATATAAATTGAATAAACACCAACAGCAGTGATGCCCAGATTAAATTCATTGCTTGAAACTGCAGACAGAGGAACCTGAACAGGCAATTCCCGTCTGCTGTGACTGTGATTATCTTCAATCCCATACAATCGAGTTGGCTCCGCAACTCGCAGGCATTGTTCTGTTTACCTCCACGTTTTTTGATCTGCCGACAACACAAAACACGTCAAAAACCGAAACCCCCCAAAACCAAAACGAAAGATATAATGATGTCGCAATCAGTGAGAGTAAGATTTACGAAGGTCGGTTTTGTTTCTCTGCTTGAATTGAGCTTTTGATGCTTTGCTTTAGCCATTGCTCCGTCCTCCTGTAGCCGTTAAAAGGGAATTATTCGTGAGAAACCCGTTAAAAAAAAATTAAGGGTTTGGAATTGGGCAAAGAGCTGGGGCGGGGACGGGGCGGACCTCCTGAACCCCGATTGTCTCTTCAGTTTTTTTTTTTTTTTTTTTTTTTCCGATTTTTTTTCGAGAAAAATCCGATACCCACACTTGCTCTGGTTGACTGAATTAATGGCGAAAAAACTAGTCCCAAATATATGCTGAACCTATTTTTAAAAAAATATGCTATTTGGGAGACACAGACAAGACAGAAAATGATGGATGGGGAAGAAAGTGTATCTGGGGACTGAAATTGGAAATCTTTCGAAAATCTGGACGCTCATCAGCCACGCACACAATCACACAGAGATAAACATATACAAATGAAATCTTGACCTCGGAATTGGCGGCTATAACATTAGCACTGCAGCGTTTGCTCCTCCTCGTATCCACCATTTTTATTGTCCTCGACGACGTCGAAATTCAGCGCAGTCAATTGCTGTGATGGATATGTGCCTCAGCGCAGTCAATTGCCAATGCCAATTGCTGCTATAAAAAGGGTGGAGGATATGCGCTCCATGCAATTTACTTGCCAATTATAATTAAGTTGTGTTCACACTTGTTTTAGTATTCCTTGGGGAGGGGTATTTTGAAATCCAGATTTTATTTCTTTTCTTTATTAAAAAAATGAGATATTATAAATATGGTTTGTTTAAAAGAATAAATAATAATGTCAATCTCTTTATTACTACTAATTAAACCAACAGACTCTTAATTGTGTTTGGTTGTAGGGTTTCTAAAAGATTCTGTTATTCATTAAAAAAAATAAAAAATAAATAAATAACCAAAAATTATTAAATTAAATATAGACTTTTCAATTTTTATATTATAACAATTTACATATTTTTTACTTGTGTCGAACTTATAAAAATTGATATTTTTTTACACATATAAACTCACTAAATTGAAACATACTTTACAAATATAAATTAATATAATTAATTATACATATTCAAAACCTCATTAATTTTATTTTTTAAAAATAAAAATAAATATTTTTATTTACATTTAAAACCTCGTATCTTTTATAAAATTAATTTATATTAATAAAAATAAATAAAAGTATTTTTATTTACTTATAAAAAAAATTATTCAATATGAAAAATATTTATATTACATATATTTTGTTGTGGTATAATTTCTAAAATATATAAATTCATATTCTAATTTTTTTCAATCATATATAATAAATTTATTTTCAAACTATAAATATTATTATTAATTACATAAAATAGTAATAAAATAACATCATAAGTCACTATTATTAACTAACTAAACATTAATTTTTTTAAATATTATGTCACTAATAAAATAGGTCAATTATCTTGGGACAAACAAGTATTAAAAATTTTAATTTTATATTTAAAATATAATATCAATATATATTTATATAATATTAACTTCAATTTTAAATTTTTTTATATTTAAAAAAGCAAATTCCACTAATAAAAGGTTTTGATTTGAAATTAGAATTGCGATAAGTTTTTGTTTAAATACTATTTTAATATAATTTTTTAAAAATTAATAATGGATATTTAAAAGAATACTAATATATGAACCGTGACAATTTTTACTTGAAATCAAAAGATAAAACTTTTTTTTTAATTATTTTTTTAAAAATTTTAATGCGTGTTTACATAAAAATATATTTTTTAATTCAAATTCAATAATAATTATTATAAGGACATTTTTGCTATATCGATTACAAAAAATTGTTTGATGTTAATATTGCATAATATTCACATTGTTCTCAATGTAATTACCTTTGTACCTATTATCAATGGTTAATAAATTATTATAATCATTGTATTTATTTAATTCGGGTTTTATATTAATTTTTGTATTCCTTAAATTGCATTATAGATATATACATATATATAATAGTGTTCACTTATAATATGAGCCGGGCTCTTACAATAGTCGAATAATTAATTATTAAAAAAGTGTAATCTAGGAACAAAATCGAGATAACATAATAGGGAACGTGCGTTTTAAAATAGACATATAACCCATTTCCTATTAGGGTGAGTTTGTTTGGTGGTTTGGATTTGAATTTGAATTGTAATATTTGTATAATATGATATAAATAGACATTGATGTGATACTATGTATATAAAATTAATTTTTTAGTACAATATAAAAAAATAAAAAATAAATATTTGATTTAATATTTAAAAAAAATAAAATAAAATTGATGAATAATATAATTTTGAAGATTTCCCCCAAACAAACACATCCTTAATAAATAAATAACTCATTACTTATTTATTATGTCAATATTATATGTATTTTATGAATAGCATGTAATAACATTACAATCATATGTATAAATATTATTCTTATAATATAAAATATTATTTGGAATTTTATTGTTATTATATATTGCAATATTTTTTAAAAAATAATAATATTCACATTTTAAATATTTTGTTTCACAAATCATAAAAATAGTAAGAAATTTTATTCTACCGAAACAATATTACAATTCTCGAGAACACTTTCACTATTCCAATAACTAATTATAAAAATTACACTATTTCTAGAATGCAAAAGCAATATTGTTTGTGGAATTTGAAATTTGAATTTAAATTTTAAATTAAAATAATTATTTAATATTGTATAAATAAATATCGATGTGAAATTTTAAGTGTAAAATTAAATTTTAATTTAATATACGAAAATAAAAAATAAATATTTGATTTCAGATTAGTCCTTTTTTATATACAATTATTCAAAATTCAAACTTCCAAACAAACACATATTTTCTCATTTTTATCTGTCTCAAAAAATAATTTTGTTTCAATTTTTCTTTTAACCAGCTCCCCACCTTTTTAAAAAAGCATCCCTATTTTTTCACTAAAATATTTTTACATCAAATATCAATATAATACTAATATTTTTTAATTATCGTGTTCATCATAAATGTCCATAATATTATTTTTGGACATATGGAGTAACATAATATTCTATGTCCCTGAACAAGGTATTTATTTGTCATTTACGTCATGGTATTTAATATTTAAAATATTATTACATTTGTATACAAATATAAATTTATATAATAGAACATTAATAAAGGTACTATTATTTTTAATTTTAATTTGTATTACGTATAAATATCATACTAATATTTAAATTCAACATTCAAAAATTAATAAGATATATAGTTAGGGAATAGAGATAGTATAATTTTATTAAAAATAATGATAAATATTGAATAGTGATAAATTTTAGATCAAAAAACTAAATCAAAAATACTTTTGATATATTTTAATATAGTCTATTATTACTCTAGGAAAAACGTATGTAATGTTTGTAATATTGTAACATAATATGTTTACAAAAGTATTACTCCCCTCTCCAATTCAAAATAGTTATTTTTATTATTTTTCGTCATTCTAATTTCAGATGGTCTATCTTCTATTTTACTAAAGTAATTATACACTAATATTAAAATATTATTAATTTATATTTAAATTAAAAATATGTTGTTATACACATTAGCAAAAATGTTAAAATCTCTATATTTTCACATAAATTACTATTATTTATTAATTGACTAAAAACTTAAAGAGTTAGTTTCAATTGAGACGAACGGAGTATTAAATAACAAATAAATATTAACTACAAAAAGTTAGAATGTATTGTATACTAATATAATTTAAATAAAATTAATTATATGAAACATTGCAGTATAATAAATAAATGTATTTCATAAAATTAAATATAAATATATAAAAATAAAAATACATGTATATATATATATTTTTTATATCATTAATAATTATTGGTTTTTTTATATAATTATTAATAACTAATTATTAGAAGAAAAAAAAAAAAAAACATCAAAAAAACCATAGCAGTTGAAGCGCAGTTCATTTATATCAAAGTGGGAAGCCTCAAGCCCATTAGGGGCCCAACCAATTGGGACGTGATTTTTTGTATCTTTCTAGGGTTTAAGAACGCTCCGGTTTTGAATGAGTTGCCAGAAATGACGTCCGAATGTGCAAGGGATCTCTCTCAACGATCTTATAGTTCAGCGAGGCCTTGATGCGTAGCGGCCAGTCATTGTATTCCATTGCTATCGCACCATAGAATGGATGGGGTAGCAACCTCGTGTTCCGTCTCTCGTCTCGCCACCGCCTTTTCGTCTCATCAAGGTTCATCGGAACATGCTTTCCGATTAATTTGTTCGAAAATTACTTGTAACGTCGGTAAATAATACTGCTTTGGATATTTGAATGTTTAGGGTGTAGTGGGGCTAGGGTGCGGCCTGCGGAGAATCGTTGATGCTCCTGTATTCAATTAGTGCGCCGGGATTGCTACGGTCAATGCTCGCCGCCAAGGTCGGATCCGGAGTTATCTTTCTGAAGGTAGCTAAATTTTTCGCCGTATCCTGTTTTCTCTGATTTGGTTTCGTTCCACTATCATTTGTCCTCTTAAATGGTTTTGCATCTCTATGTTCGGGTTTTAAATCGAAGCAGTAGAATTTTTTGGTTTCTTACTTGATTAATTTGTAAAGTTTGTTGGTCGACGTTTGACGCTGCCTTTTCAAATTTCAACGGTTCATGACATCGGTTGCCGAAATTTATAACATCTGCATTAGCTATGATATGTTGCATCGGTTTTTTCACGTTCAGTCCTTGATAAATGCCATGATAAACCTTGTTATAGAATTTATAGATAATAATCATGGCATGTTTAAAGTTTGAATGATGGAATGTAGTTCTTTTATTTTTTATTTTTTTTACTTATCTCAGGTTTAGCAACGAAACTATAGCAGGACCTTGTGAAATTCTGGAATACTGAGGTGCTGAGGAAGATAGACCATCTTGACAATTCAATTTAAATAATAATAAATTAAAAACAAAATGATTACATTGTTAGTAGAACACGGTCTTGTTCTCTACTTCTTGCATAAAACTATTGTGAGGCTGTTTATCTTATTTAAGTGATGCAATAGTCTGCTGCTATGTTGCTATATCTGAATCAGCCAGGCAGTTTTACAGATCTTTTGTAGGCAGATCTCTGTTTACAATTTATGTTTTAGGTTCCACGTGACACCATCCATTTGAAACATTCATCACGTATGGCCTGTTTGTTTTCTCCGCATTTGATTTACCATAAACACGAACTGTTTAACTACATCGATTGGCTACTCATGGGTTATTTGAACTTGTACAGTTACCACTCATCACAAAGGCTGCTTGCTGATGATCCGGCTTTCTCCAAACTCCAAACAACTACAGAAAATCCAGTAGCTGCACATTCCTACTATCAAATTAACCAAGATTTGTGCGCTTTTGTGATGTTGTCTTTCTGGTAATTCACTGGAGCCTAGATGCGTTTTCACTCGGCTTTTGTTTACAATGCTTTGCGAATGGCATCTCCTTTGAAGGTGGTTATGATATGCTTGGATTAACAAAATAATAAATTAGAACTACTGGTTATGATTTGTTTACAGCGGCCATTGCTGGGGGAATACTTTTTGATGTCCTGCTATCATACGAGGCTGCATTGTGATGGGTTCTAGTTTCCGCAATTTCCATGTTTGGTGGTTGAATTTGAGGTGTGTCATCACCTGCACAGCTTGCTGAAACCTTGCAATAAGAAAGTGCTCCACACAGTAAGTTCCTCTTTGTTAGACGATAATATGAAAATGCCCCTAAATCATTTTTATATAGGAATATGCTTTGGTATACTTATTTGCCTATATGAATATCCTTTGTTATACTTAAATCATTTGCCTATATGACATCACTTGCCCATTTTTTAGAAAACAATTTAATGATTCTATTGACTGAATAATTATGTGATGTAATTATGCAAGTTTAGAGTATTGTGGAGACATTTGATGTCATTAATTGGGAGTTTTGTTAATATTTTTTATATTTTTTTTTTGTTAAATGTGAAACACGGTTTGCTGGTGTAGGATTTACTTATATATAAATATATTAATTATATATTTATATACTAGAACTAACTTTAATAAAATAACTTTAAAAAGAAAAAAAAAAATCTGGATTATTATTATTATTTTTTTTAATTATTATTGTTACATGTGTCAAATCCTGATAGAAGGGTGATTTTGTACATGTTCTTTTGTTCACACATAGATACGTTATGCTTTCAAAATTTACATCAACCATTTTATGGATTTTGTACATATTTCTTTTGGCCATCAATGATTATGCTTTCGGGTGGAGTATTGAATTTGGGGATTGAATTGATAGTTGCAATTGACTGTGAAAAAAGCTTGTTAATGGTCATTTGTCCAGGTATTTCACTAATGCAATATCTTGTTTTATGTGTAGTTTATTGTCTATTTTTGTTGTTTCTTCAATTCTGTATTGTAAATTTTTGTCTGCCAGGTGTGTTTCTAATTATATTTGTATCTTCACTATGTTGATACATACTCAAGACATTACTGTAATAATATTTAAGCTAATAGATAAATAATATAAATGATTACCTATTAATAATATTTAATAATATGAATTTTAAAATGTCAACTGAAAGTACTCGCATTTACAATGATTGGGGAGATAGCATGTAGCCCAAACGGATTGGTTCGGGAGAACGTAACGATCGTGCAGATTGGGCTGAAACAGAAACGTATTGGCCCGGCTGCTCAATGGCCAACAGCACGTGGCTTGGTCAGTGGTTTGGGTAGGCAGCACGTGCTCTTGTCGATCAGAATTTGGGCCTGTCCGATGTGCTTGTAATGGCATTGCACTGGGCTGTATGCGATTGGACCTGTAGGATTGCCCTTCTATAAAGCCGAATTAGACCGGACTAGCTTGACAAGAATGCTCACGGGCCTACTGGGCTTTGACACGCTTTGCTAGCTTTTGGGGAACAGCCATTGGGCCTGTCGAATGGGCCTTGACCTAGCATGTGTATCTGTCGGCTTTGGGGCAACAGCCGTTGGGCCTAGTGAATGGGCCTTCTATTGAGTCGAATTGGGCCAGAATGGCATTATGGACCCAATGGGCCTTAGACATGCATGTGCTTTTGTCGGCTTTGGGGGAACAACTATTAGGCCTGTCGGATGGGCCTTTTAAAAAGCCGAATTGGGTCAAAACGGCTTGACAATAATAATTATGGGCCCAATGGGCCTCTCAATGCACTATTGTCGGCTTTGGGGGAACAACAATTGGGCGTTTGTTGGGCCTTGACCAAGCACATGATTTTGCCAGCTTTGGGGCAACAAACGTTGGGCCTGTAAAATGGGCCTTCTAAAAAGCATAATTGGGCCGGAGAGGTTTGACAAGAATGATTATGGGCTCAATGGGCCTAGCAGTACAAGTGCTTTTGTCGACTTTGGGGTAACAGCCATTGGGCCTGTCGGATGGTCCTTGACCAAGCATGTGCTTTTGTCGACGTTGGGGTAACAACCATTGGGCCTGTCGGATGGGCCTTGCCAAGCACGTGCGTTTGTCGGCTTTGGGGCAACAGGCGTTGGGCCTGTCGAATAGGCCTTCTATGAAGCCGAATTGGGCTGGAGAGGCTTAACAAGAATGATTATGGGCCCAGTGGGCCTTGTCGATCCACATGATTTTGTCGGTTATGGGGGAACAGAAATTGGGCCTGTCGAACGGACCTTAACGAAGCACGTGCTTTTGTCAGTTTTGGGGCAATAGCCATTGGGCCTGTCGGATAGGCTTTCCAAAAAGCCAAAATGGGCTGAAATGACTACAAAAGAATGATAATGGGCCCAATGAGCCTTAGCTTTTGTCGGAATTGGGGGAACAGCCCAAAATGGGCTGAAATGTCTATACAAGAATGATAATGGGCCCAATGAGCCTTAGCTTTTGTCGGCATTGGGGGAACAGCCATTGGGCCTGTCGGATAGGCATTCCATAAAGTCAAATTGGACTTGTAAGACTAAACAAGATTGATAATGGGCCTCTTGGCCCTTGACAATCCACATGCTTTTGTCAGCTTTGGGAGAATATCTGTTGGTCCTGTCGGCCGGGCCTTGACATACCACGTGCTATTGTCGGCTTTGGGGATACAGCCGTTGGGCCTGTCAGATAGACCTTCTAGAAAGCCAAATTGGGCCGAAATGGCTTGATGTCCTTGACCACTGCATGAGCTGTTGTCGGCTTTTGGGCAGCAGTGACTGGCCCGGTCGGATGGGCCTTTCATGACGCAGAATTGGGCCTTAGTGGCTTCGTTAGAAAGAATGCTGGGCAGATGGGCCTTCACAACTGTACATGGATCTGTCTGCCTCTCTATATGCAGGACGTGCTCCTGTCCGGTTTGGTAAGACAGCAGATGGGCTTGTCATATGGGCCTAAAATTATTATGGGCCGAGCTTGAGTGGAAACTAGTTTGTCCACCTGTCGGCCCTTGTGCGACAATAGTTGAGTCCAATTTGCTTGATTATAATGTTTGACAGTTGTACGTTGGCCTGTTGGGCTCTTGGCAGGCAGCAACTGCCCCTGTCGGTAAGCAATAGAGCCTATCAAATGGCACAATTTATAATATATTGGGCCTCATTGGCTGCTGGACCGCTACAAGTGGACCTATCCGGCTCTTGAGAGACAGCACGTGCACATGTTGGCTGTCGGGCGACATCTCTCAAGTCTGAGAAATGGGCTCTAGTAAACATTATGAGCCTTTGCCCCGACATGGTCCATGTTGCTCTTGTCAGACAATCCGTGCTCATGTTGTCCATTTTGTAACAGATATTGGGCCTCGTCACGTTTCCAATCCGGTCTGTGCCTAGCAGCGTAGCAATATCTGATTGGCCTGAGCGACCACAACATTTGGCCTGTGAGTTGACGTCATGGGCCTTTATCGACTACACATAAAGTTCGTTACTTGGTACTCCAAAAGGCTAATAACAGAGCTCTTCTGCAAGTAGTCTATACAGATTTTCAAAAGCAGGCCAGCACCGGGCAGACGTATCTTCTCGTCACTTCCTAACAGGGCTAAAAATGGACAAAAAGTTCCCAGAACTGGCTGCAATCAAACCAACCCAATGCATTTCCCACAGCAGACTATGATAGTAATTAGTCGACCCAGGTACCCTTGTACAAGAAAAAATCATAAAATCAAATAGATAAATACTGACTAAGCATAGAAGCTTACTTATCCATTGCAGTTTAATGCAACACAGGAGGGGCATTGAAAAGAACATCTCGTAATCTGTCTAACAGTTTGCTTTACACCTGCAATAACGGGAAAATTTAGTAACATGAAAAGGCAATGAAAAGCACAACTGCTCAATTCTCTGTGCATTTGAGTTACAGATGATAAAAGGATTGAACCTCCCACATGATTGAAAGACAGCTCCTTCGTTGAAACAAATGAAACTACACCAAGCACATCAATTATAATGAACTTCCCCAATTATGATTCCATTCAGGTATGCAATGTACTACACCAGCAGCCGGTACATAAATACAGCAAAACCAGTTGCAATATTTACCATGCACAAATTGACAAACCAGCTGATTGTATACACCACACCATTTAACTATTTACAGGATTATGGCTAAACTTGAATTGTAAATGCAAGTGAATTCAGTTTTTACATGTTAAAATTCATATAATTAACTTAAAGATTAGCAAAATAATTATCAGGAAAACTTAACCTATAATCCATGAAGAAAAATTAAAAAAGGAATAAAAGTTTTACCATGTGATGGAAGTCTCTTTTTATACCTATGCTTAACAAATTTCTCCCCCATAAGCCCTGGGCACCAAATGGAACACATTAAGCAAATATGGCACACCAGCAATATACATGGCAGCCACCATATCCACCACGCACCTCCATATAATTGTCTTCACAAGTGTTGTCAATGCCCTAATATGAAGAAAAGTGATTAAACTCGATTAATCGAAAGAAAAAACCAATCTGATTGCAAATCAAAGTGACATACAACATGCCAATAAAAATCAGCTTAACTATTTATCATATATACAACAATAATATATTCTTAACTGAGACATTGGCCAAGACAACTATACACACTCCAAATCCATTGAAAAATAAAAACACCTTGTGCAAGATCTTTCTACGGGATCACCCTTAAAAGATATATCAAACGGATGCAGAGAAAGGAAAACTATGCAGCCAAAGATTTAAGTTCTCATATATAGCACTAATAAATTCTTTGAATTTGTGGTTTCTGATTTGTGGGCAGGTAATTATTCTTCCAACTTCTAAGCATGCTACAAATAAAGTCAAGTGTTAATTGTGAATAGTTGTTTTTGTCCTGATTCGTTAATATTGCAGTTTTACTTTTGTTGAACTGCATATGTTGAAACATTGATTTTATATATTCCATAGACTTCTTGGCAAATGGTCACAATGGGATTGATGTTCACAGGTATGTTGTTTCGATAGCTTGAATCATAATGCTTCACAGACTAGTTTTAACGGAGTTGTTGTTAAAACATCATTTAGATTTCTTCACATCTGTTTTTACATCATTTAGATTTCTCTACATCTGCGATTTCATGGTTGTGTATCATTTAGGATTGATTTCTTAGAATAACCACAAGTTCGAAATGCAATCCTTATTCGCTCTTATGAACATTTCCACAAAGAAAAGCCGTGAACGATCACAATCATAACTAAAAGCTTTCATCTCTGAAAAAAACCAGTAAAACCTGCAGAAAATGCAATGTTTACTCATGAAATTTTTAATGGCATAACAAGCAATTCCTTCACGGTAGCCGCCACACATTAGTGAATTTTAAATAGTTCCAGACTTGAGCAACCAAAAATGCTTCGTTTGGTAAATTTACATGAGGTTACCTGCGCCGTGAGGTTCCTGTACTTTCACGTCAGGGTCGACGTTTTTAATTTTCAACTGCAACAAAAATGGCGGCCGGACAGGGGCAGACGAAGGCGACAAGTGGAGCCATGGAGGAGGCTGCGACGGCGACGGTTCCCGAAGTCGTAGACGAAGGCGACGGCTGCGTTTTCTTTCGCCCATGACTGCGAACGCGGGGGAAGCCGCTCCAAAAAAAAACAGAACAATTATTGAAAGAAGATCTCACCGTGGGGAACGGAAGCACCGGAGGAGGAAAAGAGAAAAGCAAGGAAGAACGAAGAAGGAAGAATAAGGGGAGAGGAGGAGAAGAAAAGAGTGAAGAAGAGAGAGGGTTGTACAAATGGCGGTTGTGCTTAGGGTTTTATTAGGGTTTTGTCGTTCATCCTTTTCTTATCGGGAATTAAAAAACGAGGGATGACGTTTCTTCTTCGAAATTTAAAGGAGAAAAAGTAGGGTGTGTTTGTTCAGGGGAGGTAAGGTAAAGTTAAGATTAAGTTTGGTTTTTATTTGAATTTTGAAATATGTTTGAATTTTGTTGTTTTTTTTTTAAAAAATTTAATTGGGATTTGGAGAATTTTGATGTGTATTGATTCGATGATAATGAATAAAATAATATAAATATATATTAAATTTAATTGATAAAATTTATATTGCATAATTTGATTATGAATTTATATTATACCTAACATATATATATATTTAAATTTTTATTTATTTGTATTATATAAAATTTTATTTTCTACAAATGACATATATATTATATATATTTTGTTACCATATAATTATTATAAATATTAAATAAATATAATATTTTGAAAAAAAATATTTAAAAAAAAAAGTGGCAACTTTTTGTTGCCATTTCTGCAGGAAATGTCGGGGGAGGGAGGGGCGTTCGGTTTGGAGAATTTTTTCTTCCAAACTGAACCAAAAGAAACAGACCCTAAAAAATCATATTTAGTTATACATATACTATGTTGAATTGAACCTGTAAATATATCTATATATATTTCATGACGTGAGAATTCGCTGTTCGAAAGTATATATTGGGGTAAACCCCCGATCGAATTTAATATCCTACAAACTAGATCATCTTTTACCGGACATAAAAATATATCTTTCGAGAATATAAACATATAATTCTTTGAATTTAAAGTTCCATCCCGAATTTAAAATATATTTTTTTTAATTTATTTTAATTTTACTTTAAAATATTTTTTTCGATTTTCTATAAAAATAATTATATATTAATATTAAAATCTTCTAACTTTTACCTAAATTACAAATCTATTATTTCCTTATGTCTATTTCAAATTGGTCATTTCTTTAGGTCTAATTCAAATGGGTATTGGAGATTTCCTAATAAATTAATAAATGATAATATTTTAATATTACAGTGTATAATTATATTTTTGTAATTTAAGTAAAAATAAAAATATTTTAATATTAATATTATTATTTTTTATAAGAATATTTTAATATTAATATTATTTTACTTTTTTAAATATAAAAGAAATATTATGAAGAGAGACAGTAATGAGAGAAATGATACTTTAAGGGTGCGTTTGTTTGAGGGTTTGGATTTTGAGATGAGATTTGAATAGTAAAAATTTTGAATTTGAATAATGGTATGATGTGATATAAATAGGTGTTGATGTGATATTTTGAATGTAAAATTGATTTTTAGTATAATATAAAAAATAAAAATAAGTGTTTGATTTGATATTTTTAGTGGAAAAAATTGGATGAATAGTGGAATTAAAATCCAATCCCCAAACAAACACACCCTGAGACTATTAAAGTACAATTATTTTATATATAAAAATATTATAACTATTAGTACTAATCTACTCCAAGTTCTATAGTAATAGTTTGAATTACGACACAAAGTATCATTTATATATATAAAAATATAAAAACTATTACAATAATGGTAAAAATGATAGTATTTGGGATGAAAATATATATATATTTTAATTTGAAATTGAATACAAAAATTGAAAATAATAATAATTAATTAATTAAAATAATATTTAATAAAATATAAATGGGTATTTGATATATTGTTTTAGGTGAAAAATAATCTTTTCATTAATATATATTGGGAAAAAATCACTTTTAATTATAGTCCAAATATAAAAATATTATCAATTTTAGTCCACATATAACCAAAATTCATCATCTCAATATAATCAAAACTCATCATTTTTTGTTCAAATATAAAATTTTTATCAATTTTAGTCTCAATATAACAAAAACTTATTATTTTTTGGTGCCAATAAAATTAAACCATATCTTTTTTTGTCCCACCGTCAACTTGATTGACATAAAATACTGACATGAAAAGAAATCAAACTTTATATTTGTATTTGAAGAAATTGCACAATCTTGCAAGTCCACGTCAGCATTACGATGAGTTTTGATTATATTGGGATTAAAATTGATAAAAAATTTATATTATGACAAAAAAAAAAAATTATATTGGAATCAAAATTGATAAAATTTTATTTTTAGGCCAAAATTAATAAATCTTGGTTATATTGTCACAAAAAATAATTTTTTCCTTGTATATATTACATGAAAATAATTATTTGGTAGAAAACAAATGATAATAAATAGTGCGAGAGCCTTTTCAATCTTAGAGAAACAATAATTTAACGGTGAGGATTCGTTCCAGCTTTTGGGCGATGGGGTCGATTTGCTTAAAGTCTTTTATGCATGTAATTTAAGAATGAAAGTGGAGTAGGAGAAGTGAAGGAGCAACTGATGCCATCTTTTCTGTCTGTTAATGGAATTCAATTATATCATTAATTGCACTTTAGTTGGTTCATGACAACATACACGACCAATAATCACTCTACCATTCCTTAATTAATTACCAAATGTCATAACCCTCCCTCCCACTCATTAATACTACTAATTAACTGTCCATTCCAAGAAATAAATAAAATATTTATTTGAATTATTATATAATGATTTTATTTTAATTTTATACCATTCAACCATATTTGGGATCCTATTATATTGATAATCACTCATTTCATTTATATTATTTTCTTGCTTGAATATAACTCCAAAATTTAATCTTGGTTTCTACAATTTTACAAGATGTCACGCTCATGCACCTAATTTGAAGACATATATTACTTTCCAGTATTATCCATTTTATTACCAAATTTAATCGAATCCATCAGTTTAAATTATTTTTTTAACAATAATAAATTTAGAGAAAAAAATAAAATGTATTTAATTAGTCTCTTTTTGTAATTTCTCATTGGTTAGGTTAAGAAATAGACACAGGCGCATCGGATACACATGAATCATCATATAAATGGACAGCGACGCCCGCCCCTCCACCGTCGGATCAAAGCAACCCGCCCGATTATTGACCCGACCCGGACACCCAGCTTTAATAACTACCCGTTCACTTCGCACTCCGCATTCCATCGCACACAGATATACACACATACAGGGGATTACAGTGGCAGTCGAAAAGTTGTCCCTCTGCTTTCTACGATCGCGACGGAGTCCGGCGATGTAAGATTATTAGTGTTTTCGATTAACTAATTTGTCTGAATGTGAGAATTATTTGCAATTGTTCTAGTATCAGGAAGATTGGTCGGTTAAGGCTGCCGTTTTGTCTGCATGGAAATTTCGCGTGCGCGTGTGGTATATGCACATTGATGATTGATTTTAATTAGGATTTCTGAAAATCAAATTAATTAATTAGCTGATCGACGAGTTTCAGGACAGTGGTTAATCTGAGGTTGATTCTCTGTGTTCGAACAGTCATTCGCATGTGTGTGTGTGATTGTCTGATTTGTTTTTCTTTTTTCTCTAGTTTTGCACGAGGTGGAGGATAGATGATGCCGTCGAAGAAGATGGATGAGAAGCCATGCCTATGGAATAAAAAAGTTACTGAGAAGACGTTAGCAGCTGATCAAGGAAATGGAACTGAGGTTTCCTGTCTTCAATTACATGCTCTATTTAGTATCTTGTCCAGATTTCTTACATCGTGACGAAAAAGTGACTTCATTTGTAATTTCTCGAGGTGCAGGAATTTATGACACTGAAAGGAGATCTAGAAAGAAATCTTGCCAAGAAACAAGAGAAAATTGCGCAAGAAGCTATTGCAGGTGGTGATCTATGTAATATTCTTTCTCGCCTTTTCTCCGACCAGATTTAGGAATCCTTAAATACTGTGAATTTAACATGTGTATAATAATATCCTCTTACATAGGCTGGGAAAAAGCCAAGATCGAAGCTGTTTCTTCCAAGAAAGATCTCGTCCATGTTCAACAACAGAGAGCTGCTTCAGAGGAGGAGCGATCAGCACGATTGGAAGCGGCATTGAATGATTGTACGCAGCAGTTACATTTTGTCCGAGAGGATCAGGAGAAGAGAATCCAGACAGCCGTGGTAAAAGCATTGGAAGAACTAGACAAAACACGGTTAGCTTTAGAGCAAAGACTAGCCGAGGCTGGTAAGAGGATTGTGAAACTAGATTCAGACAATACACAGCTGAAGAAAGCCGTGTCCGGAAAGGACAAAGTGATCCAAGACTTAAGCGAATACAGGTCTCAGGTGGAAGCTGATTTCAACGCACTTACAGTGAGGATCGATTCGACCGAGAAAGAAAACTCTTCACTCAAATACGAGGTTCGTGTTCTCGAGAAGGAGCTCGACATCAGGAATGAGGAAGCAGACTTCAACCGTCGAGCAGCCGATGTGGCTCAGAAGAAGTACAAGGATAGTCTACAAAAAGTCGCAAGCCTCGAATCCGAATGTCAGAAGCTGCGTAGCCTTGTCCAAAAACGGTTGCCTGGCCCTGCTGCCTTGACAAGGATGAAGAACGAGGTCGAAATCCTCGGCAGGGACCACATCGGATCAATAAGGAAAAAGACTACCTCCTTGTGTGGCTCGCCGGACTTCTCTGCCGATGCGCCAAGCAAAGGGATCGGTTTTCTTACCGAGCAGTTGCAAGCTGTCGAAGAGGAAAACCGAACTCTTCGACATGCACTCACTAAAAGGTCGACCGAACTACAAGCTTCTAGAAGCATGTACGTTCGCGCCGCCTCCAGGTTCTCGAGAGGTGACGAATCAGTAAAAAGTTTCTTACAGGATCGCTCTGTGACAACTCTATCTGATGCAGGCAGTGAAGACAAAGCCAGCTGTGCAGAGTCATGGGCTTCGGCTTTAATCTCGGAGCTCGACAACTTCAAGAATGAGAAACAGTTAGGCTCGTCGCCGTCTCATGGAAACATGGGAGGTTCAGAAATGTACCTAATGGATGACTTCGCCGAGATGGAAAAGTTTGCTGTGGATTTGGTCGGAAGCTCCCATGATTCGTCTGAAGAAGGTAATCCGGTTATTGGCTTGTCCAGTGAAACAACAGGGAAGTCTCAGAATTCTGCTGCATATGATGCAAGAAACAACGGCGATATCTCATCCATGTCGATAAACAAAGTTGTGAAGATCCTTGAAGGACTAAGTAAGTGTGTGGCCGAGTCTTTATCAGACAAGGATGATGGCGGCGAGGTTTTATCTTGTAAGAATCTGGAAGCTGGGTTGGAAGGCTACTTTGTTCGAGTTGTCAGATGGAAAGCGGATGAGCTTTCGGACATTCTGCAGCAATCTGTTCGGACTTGCAATGAATTGTTGAATGGAGAGGCTGAAGTCCCACAGTTTGCTGAGCTTGTGGCTTACATTTTGGATTGGGCTGTGAATCACTGCTTTTCCTTACAGGATTTTTTGAGCATGGACAAAAAATCGAGCATCAAAACTGATGTAGACAATGCTGATCTCTCCAGACATACAGAAAGAGAAGAAATGTCATGTACAATGAAGGAAGCTACAAGATTGTCTGTTGCGCCGCCGAGCAATATGGAGCCTCCTGTTACCGATTCAAATGGTCTGCTTCGACCGGGAGATGGCTGGAACGAATTCGAATCCTTGAAAGACATAACCGAGAAGTTGGAATCAGTGAGGCAATGTGAATTTGAGGCGGATCAAATTGAAAACCAGACATCAGCTAAAGATGACCTTCTTCTGAGTGTCCCATGTAGTAATAACCAAAACATTCATACAAGGTGTGCTTTGCACTAATCTTTCACTACCAAACATTTGATGCTTTCTGTGTTCTAAGCTTTCGATTTCATGCCAGCATGACGATCACCAAAGCTCTCGGAGATGGACAAACCTCGGAAGATCCACTTCAAAATGTAAGCATTGCACCCGCCCCGGGCCATTATTACCATACATCGATCAGCTTCTCATTCGTGTTCGACCTTGCAGGATCAGGAGATAAATGCAGCTTCAAGAAAGTTAGCTGAGTGCCAAGAAACCATCCTAAATCTCGAGAAGCAATTTAAGGCCCTGGCTTCGCCCAACGGCTTTAAAAAGGATGCATTGATTTCTATTGCTAACCCGACGACTCCTCGGAGAAGCAGCAGCAGCCAGCGTTTGTCCCTTCTGGACAACATGTTAGCCGAAGATAATAAACAGACAAGCTTAGAGTGTTCAAGAAAATTCACAAAGGATCCGAAGGAGGTCGACAGTGATGTGGGGAGCACGGCCCCTTCCGGGGCCATAGTCCCTGTCAAGAAAAATGGAGGCAAAGGTTTCTTGAAGAAGTTGTTTAGGTGGCATAAGAAAGGTAAGAGCAAGAAGACACTCCCATTTTCTTGACAAGGGACAATGGTGGTGTGGTATTAGTACATCAAATAAACTTGTATCATTGATTATATGATATTTTGTTTGATTCTATATTTTATCATTGAGTTGCAATTATATGGGAAAATGGAAGAAGTCACACGTTTACTTGTGGTTAAATTACTCTCATTTGTTTATTTTTTTTCCTTTTTTTGTATCACTTCTAATTGAATTAGCTTTATTTCTCTTATTTTCTCTTACAACACAACACAAACTTAGGTAAAAGAAAAGTGAAAAAGAAATTGTACCGATGGCTGAAGTGGAAACTTATCTTGTAATCGTGAGATCATATTTTGAATTCAAGTTATACAGGTCCGTTACGCATGATTTGGTTCGTGCAGTATGACTTAAATAAGATTCGATTGATTATTGATAAAAAAAAAAAAGTGAAAAAGAAATTGGACCAACGGTCCAACCCACACCTAAAATTCACCAAACAGAGAGGAAAAAGCGAGACGCTCCAAATCCCGAACTCAAATTTTAAGTATAAAAAAGTGAAAGGCCTCGTCTGCCGAGGGCCGGAGCACGGGAAAAAGCGCTGTCTTTTGGACCCTCCCCCCCGGCAACCCTCGCACTCCGATCCCCCATTTCTAGGGTTTTCAAATTCCTGCCGCCAATTCGAAATTGCATGACTCGGATCTGTAATCCGACCTCCATTGCCGGATCGAGTGCTGCGTTGACCTATCAACTCCTCCACCGGCAATGTCCGCGCCCAAAGCTTCTCCCGCCGCCTCCGAAGCGTGTCCTACGGTAATTTCTTACAATCTTCCGGCTGTTCTGGGGCTTTTTTATGCTTAGGATATCCCTTGGTTGAATAATAGTTGTTTCTTTTGTTAGTTCGTTGTAAGTGAGAGAGTTTGGGATTGGTGGGGATTCTGTAGTTTGGGTATTGAACGGGAAGGTACATTGTGGATTTATTGCTGAGAGTGGGGTTCGTAATTGCTCTTGTATTGAGTTTGTGCGAAGTGAGTTCCGGTGGGTGACTTCTAGGGGTTTGCACGGGCTTATTTTATTTTGTGTGTTTTTGTAGTATGTCTTTAATGGTGATGTGTAGGTTTAGAAGGATATGACGAGTAAAGTTGTGATCTTTTGTGTAATTTCACTGGTGCAAGTGGATATTACTTCAATTTGTTGGACTTGCACTTGAGTTTCAGTTTGCTTTTAATGCTTCAGTTTGTATTTTGTTCCCTTCCTTCATTCTGAATTATGCTTTTCAGTATGCAAAAGGTTTCTACTGGTACACATGTCAACTTCTCTCACCTGATGACAAACTCTTTGTTTTGTCTTTTATCAGATTTCCGGACACGAAGAATCAAGTTTATCCCCACGGGATGTCGTAACCGTAATTGATTCTCTAAAGAAGCAAGTCGCATCGTCCCGCACTTTATACGTAAAGGTGCATTCATATGATCATAGTCTCTAGTAAATGATCGTGTCAGATTCCTGATAATATGTTTAAACCCGGATTTTATTTATTTTATTTATTTTGACAGAAACGTGTGGAAGAAAATTCTGAGAAGGTCCTCGATGTTACAACAAATCTGTATAAGCTTTCGATGGAAAGGAGAAACTTTAAAATTGGTTGCAGTGAGGGAGATGTTGACTTGCTTGCAAAAAGGCAAAAAGATGCGATTGATCTGCATAATGGTATTGGTTCCAGTAATGGAGACAATGAGAGCAGTAGCTCCCAAGAAGATGGATATGCCCCCTCTGCAATTCTTTTAGGATCTAGTATTGCAGTCAAGAATGCTGTCCGCCCAATTAAGCTTCCGGAAGTGAAAAAGTTACCACCTTATACTACATGGATCTTTTTGGATAGGTACGTCAAGAATGTGCTGCACATAGCTGATGCATCGTATCTTAATATACCTATGCTTCTTAGGCGAATAGTGATTTTTCACTTTTGTTACCTGACAATAAACACTTTGTTCTGCTGACTTTGATTCTGCAGTAGTCTAACCAAGGCACTAAAAATTGTAAAATATTTATAGATGGTGTAAATCTAATTTGATGTGAATTTCAGTGAAGTCAGAAATCTTATTTGATTTTAATAGATCGAAGTTCAAAATTAAAATTGTGTTTAGAAAAACTTATATGAAAAGACAAATGAGCAGGCCCAGAGATTTAGAAAAAAACAAAATATTTATGCTCTCATATCTCAACTTTGACTCATTAATTTCCCCATTAATTGTCCATGTAAAAGAAGTTGAATGTTTTTAACGTCTTAGGACCAACGTCCCATAATTATTAGTTTGAAGATTTGCAGTGTTGACTCTACTAGAATGTAGTTGCACATAATAAATTTGTATAATTTGGTTGTCAAAGTTCAATTAAAATGCTTGGATAACCTTGCCTTCTATAACAGGATCGCATAATAATTATTGGTCATTTTATTCCGCCCATCTGCGTTCTCGTTCTTTTCTGCAGTTGGAGATCGCTACATGCTAACAAATAGATTTATGCTTTGAGTGTCATATTACCGACAACAACATTTGCTATAGCAAATTGAAAATTTTATCATTGATTTATTTTATGGATTTGACTTGCCATAAGCTTCATCTGAATACGGTTGTGGTTTTCTTACCTTAAGATATTTTTTCTAGAGCAATTGCTCTATAAGGGCATTGTTAGTCTTCGTATGTTGTGACGTCTTTGCTTTTATCTTCTCTTACTGTCATCTTACCACATATTGTAGTTCATACTCATGAGTATCTTGATTTTTAAAATCCAACATTTTATATTCTCTTTTCCTTTCATGCATTATCTTATTTTATTTATTTTTTTGTTTAGAAATCAGAGAATGACTGAGGATCAGTCTGTGGTTGGTCGAAGACGAATTTATTATGATCAGACCGGTGGAGAAGCTCTAATCTGTAGTGACAGTGAAGAAGAAGCTGGTGAAGATGAAGAAGAGAAGAAAGAGTTTTTAGAATCTGAAAACTATATTCTGCGGTCGGTATATCTGGTGCTTGGATTTAGTCTTTTTTTTTTTTTAATATTTCTAATTTTATCATTTCTTGTCCAGAATCAAAAGTTTTCTCTGAAATAGCATGCTTGTTGTTAGTTGCTATGAAGTTTCTCTGGCTATTTTGAAATTAGTCATTATATCCGTGTGTATCATTGTTTGTCTTCTGTTCCGTCCAATTCAACGTGAATAGTTATACTTTTGGGCTTTGTTTGTTAACTTTATTCTTGGCTAGATTTAATCTTCTTGGTTAATCGTTATATAGAGTTCCCCAGCTGTACGGTACTTGTGGTTCAGGGAATTAACAGAATTCATTTGTATTTTTATTATTCAGAACGACCATCGAAAAAGTGGGTCTTTCTGATATGACGTTGGATTTATTGGCCCAATGTCTAAGTAGAAAACCTTGTGAAATTAAGGTATTACTTGAACTGCTCATTTTACTTCATGTGTTTATTATAATTTTTCCTTCTCAATATTTGTACCCCTTGTCATGATTTTTAAAAAAATGATAATGAATTGAACTGGTCATGGTGAGAACTTTGGTCCAGCCGTTTCCCATTTGTGTTTTGCTGATTTTACAGAGATAAACCACCATCAAACATCTTATACAGGCAAGATATGAAGATCTTATGAAGGATAATAGTGCCACATGTGATACGAAGAATGGAAATGCTGAAGGTTTTGTGAACCCGTATATTGATAAAGATCTTGATGGTGCTCTGGATTCATTCGACAATCTTTTCTGTCGTCGTTGTTTAGTAAGCTTGAAATATTACTTTGTATTTATTGTTTCTTTAAACATTCAATATGCCTTTTATTTATTTCAATATTTTCCACACATTTTCTCCCATTCTAAGAGTAGTTTCATTTTCTATGGCTCTATGGCAGGTTTTTGACTGTAGGCTACATGGATGTTCCCAGGATCTTGTCTTTCCTGTAAGTTGATTAATACACAGAATATCAATGAAAGATCTGAAGAATGGATTTTATTTTATATTATTTTTTGTGAATATGCTACTCATGACATGTATATATTATTTTCTATAGGCTGATAAGCAGTTGCAATCATCTTGTACAGATGTTGAGAAGGATCCTTGCGGTCCAAATTGCTACCGACGGGTATACTGGATTTTCTATTGTTAGGCTGTGACGATGCATTGCATCTTTCGTACAAATTACTAGATGCTTATTTGAATGTTTCTCTGCTTGCTTATTGCCAGCTGTGTCTTATCTGGGTCTCATTACTGTTCTTAAATGTGTCAGATCCTTCACTCAGTGGCTAACGGCGCCTTGAGCTCCAGAGAGGCAAATCATCAAGAAAAGGACACCCCTGCATCTAATTCTTCTGCTATGCAAATTCCAAAGAGGATGAAACGAGGAAAGAAGTTGAGGTCTGTCCAAAGTGAGAGTGCTTCTTCCTCGGAGATCAAACCTATCAATGATGCCACTTCATCAGTGAAGAGTTCATCTGCTGGGAAATCCGGTGGTGATAAGAGAAGTAGCAAGAGGATTGCTGAAAATGCCCTAGTTGCCAAGAAGAAAAGGCAGAAGAACATGGAACCTTCTGATTCTGATTCTGTTGCTGCTGGGGACCACAGTATAAAAGAGTTGAATTCTTGGATGAATCCATGTCAAGAGAACGAAGATACTAATTCGCAGAAAGTGAAACCTGTAAATTCTAGAAGGCCCAGAAGGAAAGAATCCTTAGTTCCTGAAAATAACAAATCTTTTCAGGTGGAAGCTGTCAGTGGAGCATCAAATGAGAGTGAGAGCAAGGCTATAACTAGCAGCGGAGACACATTGAAAAAAGAAGAGCATGTTGACGAAAATGAAAATGTGTATAAACAGGAAGTGAATGGTGGGTGTTGGAAACCATTTGAAAAATCACTTTATGAGAAGGGTTTGCAGATGTTTGGCCCCAACAGGTTAGACTCATTTTTTGATTGCTTGTTTACAATGGCTAGTATTTTCATTGTACGTCTGAAAGCAACATTTATCATTCTTGCTGTTTGTATGTTTCACCCACATGCGAATATCCACCACAACAGTGTTGTGTGAGATTATAGCTGTCAGAATTACAGAATAGCAATTTATGTTCAATAATATGTTTGGTTGCTGGACTTGCTCATTAATGTTATATCCTTGATGCTGGTTTTTAATATTTTTTCCCCAAACTTTGGCTGGGTTTATAGTAAATGTCAATACAATGCTCTGAGGTTTGATTAATGTGTCTTGCAGCTGTTTGATTGCTAGAAACCTTTTGAGTGGCTTAAAGAACTGTTCAGAGATCTTCAAATACATGCATGATTCTGATAAGCAGATATTCGATCAAGATGGTAATGAGATAGTTCTTCTTGATGGCTGGCTAAAAGCTGATGGTAAAGAAACTGTGGTAAGTCAAGTACATCCTTATATAATGACACTATGCCATGCATATATGTGTGTTAATTTTTGTGTAAAATAGGGTGGTGGTGCTCAAAGAAGATCAAAATTTTTGCGAAGAAAGGGAAGAGTTCGTCGTTTGAAGTACACATGGAAAGCTGCGGGATACCAATCATTTAGGAAACGGATTTCTGAGAGAAAGGACCAACCTTGTCGCCAGTACAATCCATGTGGATGCCAATCTGCTTGTGGAAAATCATGCCCATGTCTTGTTAATGGCACTGGCTGTGAAAAATATTGCGGGTGAGCTGTCTTTGTTTTCTCATAATTGGGTATTGTAACTTGTGAAAGTTATTTTAACTAAACACTCAACGTTCATGTTATTCTTTCTTTCTTCTTTTTCAGTTCACAATTTGTTGGTGTTATGCTGGCCATCTAGTTTAACATTATTATCTAATTCTCTTTCACCATATCAGATGTCCGAAGAGTTGCAAAAATCGATTCAGAGGTTGTCATTGTGCCAAGAGTCAGTGTCGAAGTCGACAATGTCCATGCTTTGCTGCTGATAGGGAATGTGATCCAGATGTCTGCCGAAATTGCTGGATAAGGTGAGACTTCATACATTGTTTGGATATTTGGAGCATTACTCTGGAATGCCTATAAGATATGCAGAGATTGATTTTTTGTTCATGTTAGAAAGTCTACACAACTCTGGACCATCCTATTCATAGATGAGTTTTCCTTGTTCATTCTGTTTACATGGTTGTATCAAATTTGGTTTGACAGCTGCGGTGATGGCACTCTTGGGGTGCCTTTTCAAAGAGGCGACAATTATGAGTGCAGGAATATGAAGCTTCTTTTAAAACAACAACAGAAGGTAATTATATCTCGACTCATCTTTACTTTATTGTATCTGATACTTCACTATTCTTGGATTTAAGAATCACAACTCAATTTTTTCTGAGCTGCATTAGACCAAGGATTGAACTCGAGCAGTCTCTAAAATCACTTTCACCCTGCTTCTTGAGAAGGCTATCGAATTATTGAATGGATACCACCAAGTTGTACATTATGTGGTGAAGATTACATTTTCGATCTTAATTAATAGTTATGCATTTTGAGCCCATTTCTAGGTTTTACTGGGAAGATCTGACATTTCGGGATGGGGGGCTTTCTTGAAGGTAATTTCATGAACCATTGTTTAGTTTCGAAAATGTTTTTAAATGCATCAAAGCTCGCTCACCTTTACATGATTGACAGAATACTGTTGGCAAGCATGAATACCTTGGAGAATACACTGGCGAGCTGATTTCACACCGCGAAGCTGACAAGCGAGGAAAGATTTATGATCGGGAGAATTCTTCATTTCTATTTAATCTTAATGATCAGGCGAGTCGTAAACCTTTTTCGCATCTCATTATTTCAATTTGTGAAACTCTTTTATCGAGGATATATGGCTAAACGACGATTCTTTATACATGCTTTAGTTTGTGCTGGATGCTTATCGAAAGGGTGACAAACTGAAGTTCGCTAACCATTCCCCCGATCCAAATTGCTATGCTAAGGTACAACTTTTGAAATGTTCTTTATCTAGTACCTATTTCTTATATGCTCTTCGATGCTACTTCCTTTGTGCCCTTCATATATTGCTACTAATTCTCTTCACCGATCACATGACGCTACAGGTTATTATGGTGGCTGGAGATCACCGAGTGGGCATATACGCCAAAGAGCGAATTTGTGCTGGTGAAGAACTATTTTACGACTATCGCTATGAGCCAGACAGAGCTCCGGCCTGGGCCAAAAAGCCGGAGGCTCCAGGCACCAAGAGAGATGACGGCGCCCCATCAAATGGTCGCGCCAAGAAGCATATTTAACTGCACATTCGGATCCTCAGCTAGATTTTCCCTCTTCATATGCTGATACAACACCGGATAGATTTCTTTCGTTCCTGAATCGACGGCACCCGATGCCGCCGGAATCTTCAGAGTAACCCAACCCATTCTTTTTGCTTGTGGCTGCAATGCTGCACATTATTGCTCTCCATACCAACGGCAGTAAAGAATCGAATTCTTCTTATTCAAAATGCACAATTCTTTTCAGTAAAAACACATTTGAATACACTCCCATTTTTAACCGTCTGTAATTTCATCTTAACCTTAAATTATTCATCAATTTCGGACCCCAGTAATTTCGTCTATTTCCTTCACACCCGTCCATAATTATAGATATTATATATATATATATATAATCAAGCACACTTCAAGCTAATCTGATATCACAATTGAGTACTAAATTGACTGCATTTATTAATGTGGGCAATTATTTAATTAAGATTAGGTCAACCCGCGACAGTTGGCGGTTAATACTCACCGGGCGTCAACAGCGGTCGCCACTCTGAACTAACCCGCTGCAATAATTAAAGGCTAAATCTTTTCGAGAATGTGCCATGCCCACATAAGTCTAGCCCCAAAGATTCAGTAATATCTCCAAAAAGCAAGATTAGGTAGATGATAGGATCCCCAATTTTAATTTAAAAAGAAAAGAAAAAAAGAAGCAATCTTGAAATAGGAAAACAACAGTCGTGTGTGGTGCCATATGTTGTAGTGACTGCATTATCCTTCTTTGTCCCCTTTCCCTTTTCCCCTTTTCTTAACTCTCTTGTTTGGGGTTTCTGGGGAAGAAGAAGAAGAAGAAGAGTAAAGCAAGAACGTATGATCTTACCAATAAGGCGTGTCTTGATTTTGAAAAATCTTCGCTAACTGTAAATCATTCTTTCCTTGTTGAGCATGGAGCCATTTAAAAGACTCGGGATTCTGATTGGGCGGTGTACGTATTTAATTCTAGTTTTGGCATTCCTTTTCGCTCAATTTCTCGTTCCCACCTTCGCTGCCTGCTCCAATGGCGGTTGTCAGGTCTCTCTGCTAAATTACTCTCTGCAGATCTCTACTTTCATTTCCATCTTTTTTTTCCCCCAATTTTGAGCTGAATCGTTGCTAGGATTCTCGCAGCTTCGGCAATCGTGCTCGACGCCGACCGACTGCGGCGCCGGACTTTACTGTGGAAATTGCCCTGCTCTACAGGAAAACGATCCTTTCTGCGTCAGAGGCCAGGCGACAATACCGACTTCCATTGTAACGTCTTCTCATTTAATTTCTCTCAGTTCGATTCGATTGTTTTTTAATTTGAATTCGGCTGTCCTGTTCTTCGCTTCGACGCCATAGATCAGCGGGCTGCCTTTCAACAAGTACTCCTGGCTGGTGACTCACAACGCCTTCTCCATTGTTGATGCGCCATTGTTGACTGGTGCGCAGAGAGTCACTTTCTACAATCAGGAAGACAGTGTTACTAATCAGCTTAGGGTATGGGGGGAAAAAAAAAAAGTCTGTTCTTCACAATTTTAAGCACATTGCATATGATCATTTTGATTTATATCGATTCAATTTGTGATTGAATTTGTTTGTAGAATGGAGTGAGAGGATTGATGCTGGATATGTACGATTTCGAGAATGACATATGGCTCTGCCATTCTTTCCGCGGCCAATGCTACAACTTCACTGCCTTCGTAATTGGCTTAATCCGACTCCACTTTGGCGATCATCATCGTCTATAGTTAGTTGTTCGATTGGTTTAATTTACAAAAGATTTGTTTCTATGGTTTTAGGAGCCTGCAGTTAATACATTGAAGGAAGTGGAGGCATTCTTGGAACAAAATCCTTCGGAGATAATCACGATCATAATCGAAGATTATGTTCATACGCCGAAAGGGCTGACTAAGGTTTTCGGTGAAGCTGGCCTCGACAAGTATATGTATCCAATTTCGAAGATGCCGAAGAAAGGTGAGGATTGGCCAACTGTCAACACCATGGTGACGAACAATTATCGATTATTGGTTTTCACGTCTGATTCTTCAAAAGAGGCGTCGGAAGGAATTGCGTATCAGTGGAAGTACATGGTGGAAAATGAACGTAAGTGTACTGAATTCGTAAGGAATGCTGTTGGCTCGAATTCTAGATAAAATCATTTATATAATACACCGTTTGTTCCAGCTGGAGATCCCGGAATCGGTTCGTGCCACAACAGAAAGGAGTCGAAGCCACTCAATTCAAGAAGTGCATCTCTGTTCTTGATGAACTACTTCCCGACAATTCCGGTTCAAAATGAAGCGTGCAAAGAGCATTCGACGCCGCTTGCAAATATGATCTCCGCCTGTTACAAATCTTCCGGAGGTCTTATGCCCAATTTTTTAGCCGTGAACTTTTACATGGTATAAAAACTTAAAACCTCAATCCGAACACGCATTCTTGTTGTCTTAGTATCGTAAAAATTTTGATTTTTCATACAGAGAAGCGATGGAGGAGGCATTTTCAATGATTTGGATCGAATGAACGGCCAGACATTATGCGGGTGTAGTAGTATCTCAGCTTGCCAGGTTCGTCCATAAGTGTCTTCTTGTTCGTAAATTTATTACAATAACTCTCAAGATCGAATCCATCTTATTGACGAGCAGATGTAAATGAGTGAAGCATATACTTAAGAATTTTCGTTGCTTATCTCAGGCAGGAGCACCGTTCGGGAGCTGCAAAGCCATTGCTGCATTGAACTCATCTGCTACGACTCCGGACTCTTCCGGAAGCTTCTCAGGGTCGGTTCAGTTAACAGGAGATGCTCCGGCAATCAAAGTTTCTGCATCATTCGCACTCTGCGTGATGCCATTCCTTGTAAGCTTATTTATATATTAATCCGAGAACTGAACAAGGAAGTCTAAGTTTCCCTTGCACCTTTACATTGTAGTCATTGGAAGTTTTCACGATATATATTTTATATAGTTTACGCAATTCTGTCTGGGTTCGAAGTTATCAACATTTGTACGACATAGGAGTTTTGCATAAAGTGTAACGAAATCGAAGAGTTCAAGTGTAAGTTAGTCCATGTTTACCATTGTATCCTGAAATTTGGCTTTAGCCATTGTTTATTACTTGCTTTTGGATGCATCCCTCATTCTCCATGATCGAACTCGTGGGCTTATTTCTGAATCTAACGATATTTTTAGTTGAAAAGTTGATATGTACGCAGGAGATCTCGACCATCGGATTCAGGTAATACGCCGGCACAATGTGATTCCATCCCCAACCGAGAGCTGGCAAATCTCGACCCTTGGATCGCACGCCAACATCTTGTTGAACTCGATCAAATAGCCGCGGCTGTTCAAAATGTAGCTCTTGTAGGGTGTATCTAATGGCGCAGCCACGGATCCGTTCCACAAGGTATTATCATATCCGATAACTCCTCCAACTTTCACAAGCTCGATCAACCTCTTGTGGTAGTTCTTGTAGTTGTCCTTGTCAGCGTCTACAAACACAAAATCGAATGCTCGGCGATGCTCTCCCTACAGATTGCAGGAAATAACTTCAGGTATTATTTCAAAATTTGGAATGAGAATTAGCTTAGATCATCAAACTTTTCTTGCTTACATCTTCAATGAAGCTGTCAAGAATAGGGAGTGCTTTACTTTCCCTGAAATCGATCTTGTGTTCGACGCCGGCCTTTCGAATTATCGGTAATCCTATTTCATAGCACTCCCTGTTTGGATCTATTGCCAAAATCTGCAAGACCATACAAAATTACTTTTCCATTAGTCATAGAAATTTGTTTTCCGTGATTTCGACTTCGATCTATTCCCTACCTTGCCATTCTCCGGCATGGCAAGGGCAGTGGCGAGCAGCGAGTAGCCGGTGTAAACTCCAATCTCGATTGTGTTCTTGGCATCGATGAGCTTAACTATCATGCTCAGCAGCTGCACTCCATCATCCGACGAGGCCATCAAATTCCTGTTACATAATCGACAAGAACTCTAACAAGAACGAATGAAACAACGATGAATTAATGTACATTGATGCCGAAACAGATCGACACACCATGGATGCTTTTCTGTAACCTCGCGAAGTTCTTTCAACAACGGATGCTCCTTCGGATACACGCTGGTTTCGAGTATATACTTCAAAGAGAACACACACACACACATATATATATATATATATAATTAATGGAGTTCAAGAATCAATCGTTCTTGATCGAGTAATTGATGTGTAGTAGCACCTACTTGATGAAGAGCATCAGTTTGCAGGAGATGCTTGTGCCCAATTTGTCCATGCTGAGTCTTGCCTTGATTCTGATCATTTTCGCCATTGCTGCTTGCCATTGTCACCTGTCTGTGTTTTCTTACTGTTGTTGGAGAAGACAAATGTGTAGGTACAGTTTCTGTTGTATACCTCCATAAATGTGGAGATAGAAAGGACAGTGGTGTGATCATCATCAATGGATAGGGTTAAGCTAATTATAGTAAAGCTAATGAATTAGTATAATATGCTGCGGTTTCCTATAACTACACCATCGATTTCGATTTTTGATCGACCAGTAAGGGAGTAAGAAGCTTTTGTTTTGCCCGAGTTGCCAAAAAAAAACAAAAAAACCAGATAGCGACCGCCGTGGTTTGAATTTCTTGACGTAATTTCTATCAACGATTTCAAGTTTTACTAAAACAAGGGAAAGTACAAAATGATGAGGATATTTTTATTACAATAATAATAATAATAATGAACAGGTAGGATTTGCGTTGCTCACCTTCGCAATGGCAATGACAATGCCAATGGAGACGGAGGGTCGCAGGTTGGATGGGCCCTGCGCCAGCCCAGGCCCGTTTCTAATGTCGTGGATTTGAATTTAAAGTTGGTTCTTTTTATTTATACCTTTTATTATTAATTACTTCTATATATTTTCAACAATATTACATGATGGTTTATATCATTAAGCAAATGTATTATAATGCTTTAACAAAGCAACTTTATAAAAAGGGTATCTATTAGTCTATTACTACATTAATTGAATTAATAAATAGCACTAATACTCTAATACTGACAAGAAACTAATAGAGACAACTCCCAACGCACCCTTTTGTTTATATATTCACCATAACACAACAAAACTGCATTCCAATCTTCTCAAATTTTGTGTAAATTTGAATCATTGACATCTATTATATGTACAAGAACATAGTAACACAACATCCCGTTTTCAAGTTAAACATCCAAAGTAAGGCCTTTTAGCTGAATCCATCCATAAGCACATCTGTCACGAATTTTCTGCACTGTGGACAACGCCGTTTCAACCAGAGGCCGGATCCTGACAAGTTCTTTCTCCACCAGTAATCGTTTGTCTCCCTCTATCTGAAAATTTGAAGGTAGCTGCTAATTAGTGATTCCAGTTTTCTGTGAAAGCAAAATGATGGATTTCCAGGAAAGTGGTGTCAAGAACTCATAACTAACCTTGTCAATGCAGCGTACTGTATCTAAAATGTAACAGAAATATGACAGTTGTCTGTATAGATCTGCTTCAGTGTACTGATGGGAAAATTAAGTAAAGATTATTAGAGCATTATAGATGTTAGATTAAAAAGGTCATCAATGGTGCAGAGGAGATACCTTTCTTATAAGGTGTCCATTACAGCGGGGATAGTTTGGACAAGTAGTTCCTCGTTCTGAATCCCCCACTATTCGAAGATTCACACTGCGTGTAGTGTAATTGCAAGTTTCATCGTCGCACTGGAACAAATGAAAGTCACAGGAAATTAAATGCTGAATCTTGTATAGATAGTTAATCTGATAAGGAATAACTAATGTAAATACCATCATGTGGCCTTTGTAATATGTTGATACAAATCCTTCAGCTTGTCGTTTGACCTGATGAAGAAGACATCAAAATGAAAAATTTCACTTGTTCATAGTAGCATCAAGTGAAATATGATGTACGTTCATAGTTCTTGGTTTGGATGGTAATTTAGATGTAATAAAATTACCTGGTTTGCTATGATAGCAGGAGATATTCTCTTCTCTCCCTCATCTACGCATTTTGGACAGCTTAATCTTTGCCAGAAATCAACAGTTGATCCAGTTTGCGTGTCTACTGACTTTGTATTTAGCATTGCACAGATTGAGCTCAATACAGGCGAGCAGTGGAAGGTTTCAGAGCAGCTGGGGCACGACAAAACTAAAGGTTCGCAACCCCGGTACCTGCATTTCAAGAATAACATAAATCCCAACAAAACATATTTGTACCCGAAGATGGAGGGAATAAAAAAAATATATAGAAGAAAGATAATGTGTAGTTTCTACAAGAACAATACATTATAGTCTGATAATAATCGGGACAATGAATCAACAAGTACCTCTCCTCATCATCTAATGCAAATGACAAAAGGCAGGATGGATCATTGGCAACAGAATCACTAGACTTATTCTGGAACTGAGAAATAAATGTTTCGACTGTCAGTTATACATTGTATGACAAGACAGCAACTGAATCAGCTAAAACAATATACAGCTGTACAAGTTAATGTATATATGCAAGAACTGATGGTTTTTACCTTTGATGAATCAAGCCCCAAACAATCAGCCAACCTCGCTGGACTTGTACCTTGAATTGATGCACATAGACGTGATATAACGGGATGAATCTGTAACACAAAACATGGAAGTTTTGAGCAAAAAAAGTGGAAGACAATGGGTGGGTGAAAGAACCAAAACATTAGCTTCTGTGTTTGCAGGGCACATAGTCATACCTGTTGTGCAAGGTAATAGTCAATGTCAATAATCCAGTTTTCATTTCCTGTTTTCAATTCCTCAGGATGCCTTGCCCGCTGGGCAATTCCAACGGAAGTAACTGAACCCTGCCCCTGTTAATTCAGATTCAATAAATTACTCCATGCAGAATTGCATGAAAAGATTATGAGCAGCAAACGGATTTTGGTAGAATTATCTAGAAGCATAATACAAACAAAGAATATATACACACACAGACACCTGCTCGCAGCAAATAATATAAGGTACTGCATCTCCAGCAGAAAATCCGGTCACATAACCATTCCTCTTCATTCTTAGTGCTACCTGATAACCATGACAGAAACAGGAATCTAATAAGTGAAAACCAGAAAACTCTCATATGTATGAATAGCTGCAATCTCCACTTACTTCAACATGAGGCTGACTCCTAGCATCTGGGTATGCTTCAGGTGGTTTAGTCAGGGTCTTTGTAATCACATACTTTTCCAGCGGTATTTCTCCATTCCTCATTTCTTCTTGCACCTACAATCGCATAAATCCAATTTACAGAAGGCTATCTTCTATACGACTGTTTCAGTTTATACCAAATATAGGAGTTAGCATTTACACATGGAAATTCATACACCTCAATTTCCCCCAACTACATATTTTAAATATATATATATATGACAAAATCATTGCTAATGACTAATCATCATTCAACAAGTGCCTTTTTAATTTAGAATATCATGAACATGTCTAATCACAAAACCAAATTACAGCAAAAACAATAAATAATCTGTCTTTCCTCTTGGACCAGAAAATATGCAAAGGCTTATATAAAGTACCTTCACTAAAGAACTGTGTATTGCTTCAACAACATCCTCGCATGACCTGAAAGCATCAAAACCTTTGAATAGTATACTCACAAAGAAGATTCAATATAAGCAAGCAGATATATAGTCAAGTCAGCTGAATATAGTCAGGCAATAGGCAATAAGCAAAGGGAGTACGAACCCTCCGGATAATATTTGACTGAGGCAATAATCACCACGTTCCTTAGACAGCAAGCTCCAGTCACGCCGAACCATATCAAGACCTTTCCGCTCAATGACCTGAAATAAAGTCAACATAATAAGTCATTGAATTCAGTAAGATCTCTGTAAAGTATATAAGAATATACCTCATAAGATGTACCATCCTTAAATTGCATCTTGACAGCCGCATATTTCTTCTTCTTGAGCAATAACATTCTCTTGTACAAACCATCCAGATCAATCTCCAAACACCTGTATTTCTTGTTAACCTAGCATAACAAAAGAGACTCTATGGATTATCTATGGTAGATCATCAGATTAGATGTCCTAGGATGTCCACTGCAATTCGAGAAAATTTTAACGCTAAGAAATGTGCATTTTAATGGACACGGCCTAGACCGAACAAAAATCATCAGCAACTGGAGTTTCCCAACTATTGTTTTAGGTAAGTTTCAATATCAAGAGAAACTTGATAATTGCAGATGTTCAGATTTACTGAGTTTTTAATTTCAATAGTTCAATCACCATATTGCTCTCCTGAACTAGGCTCATGCAGTTTTCAAAGAAATTAATCAACAATGAAAGTGATTTTCATAGCGAAACTGGTGTAATATAATGGAGTGCAGAATGCAGATGCCAAACAAACCTCTTGAATGACCTTTCCCGCTATTGATTTAGCTTTTCCAATATCATCAAGGCCACTGTATATCATTATGGAATCTGTGTCACCATAAATAACCTGCTTGGAATAAAGAACAAAATCTTAAGTGATCCGTGAGCAGATAAGAGAGAACCAAGAAAATGCTAGAAAATCATGTGTCACAGACCTCCAAGTTTAGATTATTTTGAACAAGAGCAACAGTGCTCTGTAAAATCTCTCTTCCCTGAAAAATATAGAAATGTTCATAGCTTTGTCTGTAGTTAGTATATACAAAAGTTCGTTGATCAGTTTTCACTAAATATCTTACTTGTAATGTTATAAGTTCAGCAAGAGGTTTTGCATAAAATCTGGAGTTGGAGAATCCCAGGCATCCATACATGCTGCTCAAGACAATTTTGGAAATAGATCAAAATCAAGGAATACATGGAAGTGACACAAATTTAAGGAGAAAGAAAGCACAAACCTATTTGCCGTAAGCTTTAGAGCTTGTTGCTGTATATCAAGCTGCTGAACTTTGAGGCCAGATGCAGTTTTTAACCAGGATTTTACCATTCTCCTTCTCTCCACCAAATTTTTAAGCAACTATACAGATGTAGTTATTCATTACAAGGCCATATGTGAGAAAGAGAAACAATATGAAAGTGCATTTAAATAGATCTATTAAGCTATCTAGCTGGCACAAAAAAAATTATTTTCAGCAAATGATGCTTTGCATTGCTACTGAAGACATTATTCCAGCATACGGAAGCAGTAATGTTTTATACATAGAGAAAAGATTATGAACATTAAAGTTGGTGTATGTTTGACTTGATTTTTTATATTATAATAAAGCAGGAGTATATTTCGAAGAATAAAATCAGATTGTCTGTTGAGATGGTCACCTCTGGCAAAACTCCTGTCCTTTTGCTAGATGGCAAACGAGGAATTGATTCCTCAGAAGATCTTTCAACAGTAGTGAAGCAAATATTGAATTCCTGCAAAGCATTTAGAGATTAAAAATAAATAACAGTGACCACATAATACTTTGTAGTGAAAGTTGAGGGGAAAGGATTGAAAGAGTGTAAGAGCATGGAATTTATCTAACCTGAATAATGGAAGGGTAAAGACTGTTGAAATCAAGTAGTAGTACATATTTGTCATACAGTCCCTTCTTGGGCTCCAGCACTAATCCACCAGAATAGGAAGGACCTTTTTTACTTTTCCCTTGATAATTCTCCAGAGGCCCATCATCAAAATTTGCATCATCTGGAGCAATATCTTTGCTCTCTACACCACTATCAACTTTCCGTTTTATTGTCCGTGCCTCCTTTGATTGAGCAAAGAACTTGTCTGGGACAATAAATTTTTTGGCATGGAATGCATGTAACAAGAGATACTCAACTCGTTGAGCCCTAGCACCCTGATATTAGATAAAATATACAGTTTCTAAGTGTTGTATTCTTAAGCAGGTATGTATAACATTATACATCATCTATGCTTGCTACAATACTTTCACCTGTAGAGTTTTATGCCAGAGATTGCCACTAATATTAGTCAGTTGGCGTGTAAGAGGAAGAATACTCAAATGGAACATGAGCTCCATTGATAACCATGCATCTGTTTCCCCATATTCCACCTGCAGTGAATAAAATTGAAAAAACGTTTCATCAGATAACAAAGAAACTTCAGGTGATACATCAGAAATTGATCTTCAAAATGAAGACAAGGGTTTCAACTGCCCTCCAGAAAGATTAACTAAGCGTTAAAGGTTCACAACTGTAACGGAAGCAAGATATTGTTTGCATTTCCAAATCATACTGGAAACTTCCATTTCCATGACTAGAAATTCAGATAAAGTAGGGTGTGCATAATAAGTAATGGATCTATATACCATTACACCAGATTTGTTTAGTGTGTGCATAATAAGTAATGTATCTATAAACCATTACAACGGATTTGTTTACTTTGGGGGCTCCAACCTACTAGACGATAGGCGCATACAGTAAACACTAATCACACAAAGATAGGCAGCTTCAATTGAACTCTAATGTCAGCATGCATGAAATCTGATCACCTTGTAACATGAAAATATTCAAGAAAAAAATCTTGGCAATTAGCTTAAGAAATGCAAAACTCAATAACATAAAGAATGCAGGGGCTTACAAGTAGCATGAGTGATTCAGAATGTTGAAACATTTGAGGAATATCATGTGGAGTAACTTCTTTACGATCCTTGTTCAGCTGTGTCTTTGCTAGTTGCGTCAAGGAATAGCTAACCTGAAAAGGGGGAAATTGATAAGGGATAAAAACAATCACCAAATACATGCAACATTGATAGATGACTGACCTCCTTTAGTAGATCACGTGAGCAAATATATGTATCACATAAGAGACGGCCTGCAATACAGGACATGATGCCTGAACTTGCCCCTGAACCAAATACTGAGCTTCCTTTATTAAGTTTAGGCATGGTGGAGCGTTTGAGACGGCCAATTTTTGACCACATACTGCTGGGCACCCTACAAGCCTGAAAAATGGAAGTGTGAAACCCTCAGGAAATTAACTCTTCCATGGCTAGCAATGAAAATTAGGTGACAAAATTGAGCTCAATAGCACCATATACTGTGAGAACTGTCAGTTAATGCAGGAAATGTGATAACTTATTTGATTTCATGATTAAACCACTGAGCAAAGAAAGCTGTTCCAAATAAGATGAATTACTGGAACTTTATCCCAAGAATCAATAGTGCTGCACTTAGGCTAACATGTATAGTTCAAACAACAAATTTATTGGAAAATGATATATAAATACCTGGACTCTATGAAGGAGGACATCCAGGTCAAATCCAGATATATTGTGCCCAACCAAAACATCACTATCCAATTTGTGCAGCTCTATCATCAACCGGTTCAACAAAGCCCTCTCACTAAGATGTAAATCATGAATTTTAGATATAATGCTAGTAAAATTAGGAAGTACAAAAGAAAATGAAACATACAATCCCCCCCTCCCCCCCCAACACACACAAGCAGAAATAAAAATAAAGTAAATTTTGAACCATCGACAGAAATGGCAATAAGGGACTTGCCTACTTTCATAACATATAACATTTGACCCAGCCTTTGAATTTTTATCTGCAGCCTCCTTTGTAAATCCCATAGGAAATATGCCTCCCTCAAGCTTACGCAGAACAGTAAAGTGAGTAAGCATGCCAGGGCGAGTCCATTCCGAAGCTAGCATGGGTGTATCTATCTGAAAGATTCTTCACTAATTAGGTATATGTTGATGGTACAAACAAACCAGTTTCATAACCAACAATGACTTTGATCTTTTTTGTTATAGGAACTGAACCTTTGTTCAAAAAATTAATGTTGACAGGAAAGTTTGGAAATCAATACTTCAAATTAAGAAGCAAGATTTTGTAGGATAAAATACAATTGGCTAATGTAATGCATGGAATAGGAAATTCAAACAACACACCTTAGCCCTGTGGCAGCAAATGACAGAGGCAGAGACAATCTCGTTAACATTCTGTTTCTCATTTATGATTGTTTTGAAATTGATTGCAGTAACGATTACTGGTGGAATCTCTGAAATTTTCTTTGACAAAGTTGAAACTTGAATATCCTTTGGGAAATCAACAGTAATCTCAAACTTACACCAGCTCACCTGTTCAAAAAGTTCAGAAATATAATATGGATGTCAAATGTTGTCTAACCATGTAGTAAAATAACCAAAAGAGCCTCACATGTTGAGAAGCTGAGCCGCTAGTGAATTTTGAGATTGATAACCAAGATGGTCCTTTGATTTTCCTTTTAATCAAGAAATGCTCCAAGGCACTGCATGCAACGTCAGTTTTTAGAATCACTCCATTAACTTAAAGAGAATAGGTTGGTTTTCAGGTTGAGCATTTGGTTATTCATAGTGTAAAATAACAAATATTGCTGAAAAATTGATATCAGAATCACAAAGATAAGTCAAAATGCAAAAACTATCATATACAGAACTGTTAAGATTGCAAAAATTAATAACTTTCAAAATTGCAGGATATGGTCCTACAGGGATTTTTCCATTAACATAACCAGCAGGAGCATATTTGATTGTACCTGTTATGTGTTCCGAGCAAAGCACAGAAATGGTTTCCCTTGAGATCTGACGGAAGTGGTGGATCCTGAAGACCAAAATCAATTAATCAAGAAGTGGTTCTTCGAAATAGGCAAAAAGATCAAACCCCCTGTTTCCTACATGCTGCATTAATCCCTCCCATTAAATTTCAAACTTCACCTTTTATCACTGCTGAAAGCATTGGAAAAAATGAACAGACATATGAAGCTAACTTAACCTTAAAGGGATAGCTAATCTTGAGGACGTAATTCTCTCCATGAGGTATGTCCGATCTCTCAAATGCATAATTTCTCTGAAAGTAACAGATGTACATGTAACAAATTTGAAGTTTTGATAACATAATTAGAAATACCATAGTAAAGAAAAAATAAAGCATAAGACAAATTACTCAAAGCATTATTACCAACCTTAACAGGTGTCATGCTGAAGTTTGAAACATTCCTATCAAGCAATTCTTTTGTTATTTCTGTCTTCAAGTTTGAGGCCAGCTCCTGCCAACAAAAATTGTTCAATCAAGAACAATGAAGATAAATAATATAAAAAACTATAATAATGATCTTAATACATGTAGGTGGGTGTATAGTGCTGTCTGAGACTCCTTGAAGTCTTTCTCTAGCTTCAAATTTGAGTCCTTCAAATCTTTTGCTGATATTCGAGATTTTTCACTATCTCTCCCATGTTTTGCAGTTGTGCCTTTATGTGCCACAAGGGACATTTTAACCTCTTCAACAGATCTATCCAACTCCATGATTTTTCTGCTGTGCATAAAAGAAACAGTTGGTATTGCATATACACATCTCTGCATGTTTTTGACAACCACACAGCAGCTGTGGTATGTGCCTCCCGATTTGACCTTAACACCAAAGAACCATTATTAGATATCAACTTCAGAAATTTCCAACTGCAATATCCATTAAACCAGAAATAGTAAATCACATACTAAAGTTGTTTGAGATCAAGAATTAGATTGTAAGACCATATTTCCAGCAATCATTAATTAACTTCATAACATCAAGACATTTCTACCCTTAGCTATAAATTCGCTGATAACCACGGACTCATAGGAATGCACAATCAAGAACTGAAACGCACTGCTACAACAATATACCTTCCCAAAGAGATATATGTTCCCAGCATTGGCACCATAAATCTCTTCATGAGCATCAAGTATGTAGAAAGACAATGACCCATCAGACTCCACTTCAAAATCCATTTTTTCCTCACTGCTTTTGCCAGGATTCACTCCTGGCCCAGGAATACTGCTATCAGCTGCTACATTTTGCCCTGCAATCCTCACTGCTTGCCACCCTGCAGTTGCACTTAAAGCTGAATCTCTTGGTTCTTCAATTTTAGCATTGAGAGAAAACACTTTTTTCTCCACTTCTTTGGATTCAGCCTCTTGATGCAAATCTTCATTATTCTCATGTTCCAGAGCTTCATTAGTTCCCTTTGTTTCCTCACTCTGTAATACTTTGGAAGAATTATCTCCTCTTTCAGTGACAGGCAAACCATTTTGTTCACTATTGACGTTTTCAGCCTCCTGTGAACATTCGTTACCTATTGCGCTTTTTATATCACAATGCCTGTCACCAATCTTTGCAATTTCGTTCGAAACATCTAATGTAATGACACTAGCAGCAGGATTCTCAATTTTCACTGCTAAAACCCCAGACGAATTCGGCACCTTATTGTTAGCATTACTTAAACCCAAATTGCTCAAAGTGGCTCTCCTTCTCCTCTCCCTATCACTCTCATCGGGTGCAAATTCAGCAATCACGTCGTCGACAATACTATCACAGGACAAATTCTTCTGTATGTCCTTCTTGAATACAGACGACGTAAACATATTAGAAATTCTTTGCTTACCCATCAAGGCGGCTGCGGACGCCAAAGCCGATGGCTTCTTCACAACCTTCTTCTCCTTAGTTTCCGAATTCGAATTATTTTTCCTCCTCTTCGACCTCTCAGTTTCTTCATCAGATTCTCCCGAAGACAATGCGACACCAGCAAGCGACCAATCTTCTTCCTGGCCTTCATCGCCGTACCCGAGACCATCGTCATCGACGATAAACCCTTTGACCTCCTCGCGGCGCTTGGCGACAAGAGCTTCGTACTGGTCGTCATCCACCGTGTCGTAAATTGGCTCCTCCATCTTAATCTGGAACCCGCCAGCATCCATTTCACGGCGCCCGCCCCGTCGGAGTGCCTTCAGACGCTCGAGGGCTTCCGAACGGGCCGTCGCCGCCGCGCCACGCGTCCGCCGCCTCCCCGCCGCCTCTGGCTGCTCATCAGACATCTCTCCACTTCCCATCACTTTTCGTTCCTCTACTCAGAGTGAAATGCAAGCAGCAACAGCACAGTCCGCCCTTACCGTAATCAGATCTGATGAATGAAAGAATACCTACCCATGAAGAAATGGCGGGAACACAAAACATGGCGGGAATATTATATGGGCCTTTACATCCACATTTCCAGCCCCAAAAGCCCACAAGTAATTATGGCTCATATTAAAATGCTCTTAAATATAAGTTCCATGACAGCCATAACAATAACAAAGAAGCTCTTCATCAAGTGACATCAATATTACACAAACATCTCTGCAAATTTCTTTTTACCTTAAAACTGATATCTTCATTAAAATTTCAGAAAAAAACAGCTTATGCCATACATCCATTTGATAGATACATAAATACATACATTTACCAACGAGGTAATGTTGTTTAGATCACTGAACAGGCTCATATTTACTATACTTATTAAAAACAAATTGAGGATCAATTTCTTCCATCTCCCATAGTATGACCATCACCTGCACAAACCTCCAAGATTTCTTGATCCCTTCAATTGGGTTCTCCAACATAACCTTAGCTAACAAACTCATCGCGTTGTCGCCCAGCGCTGCGCCGGATTTCTGAGGCGATTTGAGAATAGACTATTTGTTTGTAATGAACAAGGTTATTGTGGTTCCTTGTTTTCGGCCCATGACCACCGAATGACTTTTTATAAGGAGTTCGGGTGAAGCTAATTTCACGCCAAGTTCATGACAAGGTTACGCGATCCGAATTGTTTTCTCATCACTTGGCAAGAATTGTAGCTCACTTTTCATGCCTAATACATGAATTGGAAAGAATTTGTAGTTGTAATGACTTAGAGAACTCACAGCCTCAGGTGTCTTATGTGTGTGTAGTAAGAAAGTTTTTAGGAAGTGGCAAGAATTTGAGGTATACATTGTGCTGATTGATGATTTGTTTGGACCAAAACACGGAGCCTTGATCAAAGAAAATAATTTTCATAACTTATTGGAATTATTGGACATAAAAAAGGGGCTTTCTTTGATGAAATTTTGAGGAAAATTTCAAGAAAATCTTTCATTTTATAAAGCTTGGCTGTACACTATTTTTAACTGTCGTATTGGTCACTTCACTGTCTAGATAAAATAAAAGTGAAGATTGAAATCCTACGGGAAAAGGGCATCTGCAAAAAAATGTAATTATGTGGTTGTTTAACTATGGTTGAATTGACTGACGGACGGAATATTCTGCTTCCGTCACCGGACGGTGAGCCAGTCATCGGCGACGGACCAATCGGGAATTTGTTTGCTGACAATCCCGCGCAGCCGCTCCGCGGCGGAGATGGAAAACGGCCGGTCATTCCATAAGTAGGGTTCTGGATGATTCACCGGCGATGGGAATGATGTGGCAGAGCACGTCGCCGGCGACGGCAGGTCGGAGAATTCGAAGGGGCCTCTCGGGGAAAACGACGCCGTATAGTGTTCTACGTCTTTCGTTGCGGTGACGTTGTCTTCTTCGAAATCCTGGCCGTCGATGAAGCGGTGACGCAGCAGCATTTCAGCCGTCCATCTTTTGCGGGGATCTTTGACGAAACATTTCTCGAGAAAATCCCTTCCTTGCTCCGATAAAATTCTGGGAATCTCCGGCGCCTCCTCGCCGGCTCCGATTCTCAACAGAAGCCCCGCCACGTCGCCGGAGCATCTCCACGCCGGCGACCCCGCGATCATCTCCGACACGGCGCACCCCATCGCCCAAACATCCGCCGGAGCCTCCTGCTCCCCGCCTGCAACCATCTCCGGCGACATGTACAGCGGCGTCCCCCTCAACTCGCACCCCGCCGGCGCCGGCGCCGCTTCCACGCCGGCGTGCTTCGCCAATCCGAAGTCGGCGATCTTCACCCCGCCGGCGGAATCCAACAGAACGTTCTGAAGCTTGATGTCGCAGTGAACGTAGCCCAGCTTGTGGATATAGCAAAGGCCTTTCACCAAATCCCTAACGTATCGCCGGACTTCAAATTCCGGCAACCCCCGGCGGCCGGAAATCCTCACTCTATCCGCCAAACTCCCGCCGGCAGCATACTCCAACAGCACATTGTACAACTCCTCGCCATTCTCGTACGAAAATCCATCCCCTAAGCACCGTATGATTTCTGGACAATCTTGCAGCTCCGCAAGAATCAATTTCTCGTTCGCCAGAGCCGACCACCGGGAAGCGCCGCAGGACTTCACCGCCATTAATGGAGCTTTAAAATCGGCGCCGCCCTTAGCCACCGCCAAGCTTACCGTCGCAAAGCTCCCGTGGCCCAATCGATCGCCGCGAATCCAATCCATTGCCAGAAGTCAAAAAACCTTCGATTGCTCGAATTTTACTCCAAAGTTTCGATCTTTCCAATTCCTTGAAGATGAATTAAAGGAAATGCGAAACACAGGCCTCATTAAATTCAGTATCGATTATATATATATATATAATCTCTGCAATTTGTGTGGGCGGAGACAGTGTGAAATCATTGAAGTGTAAGAACGACGAAACGTGCGTGGGGAGAGTTAGTTGTAAGAATAAAAAATCACGTGGTGGGAAAGATATTAGGAGACAAATAGAAACGTGGCCGAAAACAATAATGTTCCAAAAATCTTTAATTCAGATTTTCATGTATATACTATTTGTTTTGTTGTTTTATTTCATTTTATTTTCTTAAATATCAATGGAGGTGTCCATAATTAGGCTTGTTCGAATCTTGTTTTAAATGGACATGTGAGAAATTCCATAACTTAAAAATCACGAAACTTGAGAGAATATAAAAATTAGGGTGACGAGTGAAAATAGATCACAAAAAGGATTTACTTGGCAAAATTAGTGATGGGATTTTGATGAGACACGTGATTAGAAGATTTCTTAAACGTGATTGATATAGGCTAATTAATAATAATAGGCTAATAGCATTATTGAGCTTTTAATAATATACTGTAGTATATTAATTGAATGGAATAATGGATGGCTGGGGACCTTTGATTGGATTGGTCAACTATACAACATAATTTATTGCCAATTTCTTCCATTCTTCTCAGCTGCCTTTCAAAAAATATCGTTTGGCTTTCTTTATTTCTAGATTTTCTTTGAAAAACATAATCAAGTAATGGTTTTTTTTTTTTTTTAATAAAAAATACTAGTATTACAATTCAACTTTTATTTAAATAAATAAATAATGATCGGATAAACACGCTTTTTTTTTTTTTTTTTTTTCATGCATGGCTCGTTCAGTTATATTATTCATGATTATGTCTTCTTTTCACTTTACTTCTATTACTATTAATAGTCATCCCTGAAAATAATAAAACGTTTTTTTTTTCTTTTTTAAGTAATTATACATGTAAGATATAGATTGAAATCACACGTTCACATATTGCATTTTCATATTTTTTAAAGAATAAAAGTTTTATATCTATTTTTTAAAAAGTTTATAATATGAACATTAATCACTGAAATGCGGCCGGAGACAAATTCCAGATTCCAGGCAAAAGTTGTTTGGAATAACATGCCAGTCCATATTAATTAATGAAATATGTTTTATGCATTTAAAGCTTTTTTTCCATGAAACCATCATATTAATGGACATTATCACGACAGGCAGTCACTTGAAACTCGGAGCTGTTTGTTGAATTTCACATACATGTCGGGGATTCAGGAGTTTGGATTTCCTAATTTCACATGCTTCATTTCTACTTATAAATTAAATTCTAATTATTAGCCACTTTTGGCCAAAATAATTTCCAATCTCAATAAAGTTAGCATCTTCAATAATCAAATCAAGTTACAATGCCAGCCCTGTCTCATTGGTCCAAATTACAAATTCCATTGTAATACTACTGACAAAGTCACAATCCACTTCAAAACGACAAGCAATATTAAAAAAATTGAACTCGTGTTTTATTTTATTCTACTTATAATGAACTGCTCAATCCAAATTTCCTTCCAATATTTATTTATTTATTTAATTATATATAGGGAACAGACAGACAGAGAGACAGATGCATATGAAAAGTGCTGGGTGTACCCTACAGTTCCGTGTCATCAATTAAACTCCCACGCACACGTTTTCAATACAAATTGTAAAATACCGTATGAAATGTAACGGGAGGGGCACAAGCCCGACTCTCCGGACGCCGTTGGTGTCGCTATCGCGACTCTGTGACTATAAGTCGCATGTTTCACGGCTGCGATTTAAATATTCAGGCACGCTACAACACAACAGCACCGTACAGATTAATTGATTAGAAATGGAAGAGTCGTCTGAAAATATCAGCCGTCACGGACGAGCCACGTGACCTGACCGGCTCTGGACAGGATTAGCCGTATATGGTCTGGTCCGTTCTGTGCTGTGGAGTGGTTTGGGAGTCCTTTTCAGCTAAACATTTTAGACAAAACAAAAAAATATAAATAATATTTATTGGTAAGAAAATGATGGGCTGGACCATTTGGATATTGGGCCAACTAAAAAATTATAACAAAACACGCCCAGTGGGACTCGAACCCACAATCGCCTGATTAGAAGTCAGGCGCCTTATCCATTAGGCCATGGGCGCTTATTTGATGGTTTTACATAATAACATGTAATTAAACAAAATATTACTGTGGAGTTGGGTCTAAACTATAGGAGGGTAAAAATCGTGTTCTGATGGTAGAGCGTTATTAGGTATTTATTCAGAAAGTCGCAATCTGAATCTGGGCTGGCAAATCAGGTGATATATATTGCAGACACAGAGATTGAGGTGGGTGTGGATGTGGGCTGGGTGGAGCGGAAGCTGAGCGGCGCGAAGAGAGGAGAGCTAGGGAGGGACGAGAGAGTGGAGAGCCCGAGCGGTGCAGAGCGGAGCGATTTAGGGTTTTGAAATTCCAATCGAGATCTAAGGTCAGTCGGGCAGCGAGGGTCGGAAATTGTGCTGCTGTAATTTATCGCATCTCATGAATTGTGTTCCTTTTACCTCTTAGGTATTTTTCATTCCGTTAGAATTCTGAGGAGAAAATAAAAGAAAACAAAAAAATGGTGGACCTGCTATGGTATGTGTTGTTGATGATCGCGCTGGTAATTGTGTGTTGTGAGAAAGAGGTGTGGCTGTTGTTGTGTGCAGGAAGAGTGCGTGAGCGATTGAGAGTTGGTGAGAGAAAAGAGAGGTGGGAAGGTCGAGAGCGCTTCCAATATATTACCTGTTTTGTAAATCGCTCAATCGTCTCTCGTCATGTCGGACCGAAAGCTTGTTGTAAGTTTCAAGAATTCCTATTTATTTACCTGCTTCGATGAGAAAGACAGTTTCATAAATAAAGGAATATAAGTTTCAAGAATTCCTATTTATTTACCTGTTTCGATGAGAAAGGCAGTTTTATAAATAAAGAAATACAAATTTATTGTTTATCATTCGCCTAATTGGCAAAATTTATGTGCTTTAGGTTTTGGGAATCCCATGGGATGTGGATACTGAAGGTTTGAGGGAATACATGACCAAATTCGGGGAATTGGAGGACTGCATTGTAATGAAGGTTTACTATTGTTTATTTGTTCGTGAAGACTGCACATAAATATTAAAAGAATACATAATAGTAAAACATGCCTGTTGTAGCTTATTTCCAGTCCTTTGTGGTGGTATTGCTTGGATGGCAGAGGCAAAAGTCCCGGCTTTCTATCCCCATCCTTGACCAGACTAAAAAAGAGTTGAGAATTTTTATAAAGAGACCCAGAATTTGTATATGCCAACTTTGGTGTCTGGAGTATTTTTTATCTTTTGTTGTGAAAGTAATTTGAGTTATTTATAGCTCAACTAATTTCCTTCTACTGGCTATCATATGCTTATGTTCTTTTTTGTTATTTTTGAGTTGGATGCTTGACCGCATAATAGGTTAAATATTTGTGTTGTAGTTATTATCCTTTGAGATGCTTAGAATAGTATTATAGTTATTTTTTCCCTTCTGAATTTCTACTTTGGACTCTTATTAAATTATATAGACTCGGTTATCTACAGTACATGAATGGAAATGAAAATGGTGAGGGCTCCTACTATTCAACAAAAAGGGGGCACAACATAGTGATACGTTTATGTTTTCCATCTTGTTTCAAAATGAATTTTCAACCTTCTCCTTTCATAGCATGAAAATACATCTGGATGAAATGCCAAAAATTAATGATTGTTGCCTATTTCCTTTGTTATGCGATTCTAGGAACGCAATACTGGTCGTTCTCGTGGTTTTGGATACGTAACATTTGTGACAGTTGAGGATGCAAAGGTTAGAATCTTTGCAGTCATTGTTTGCTCCTGTTTATTTGGCATTTCAGTTGGCAATATGCATTTTAAGATTTGCCAATATTTGCATTTGGCAGGCTGCATTATCAAGTGATCATGTTCTTGGCAATAGAATGCTTGAAGTCAAAATAGCCACACCAAAGGTTAACTTCTTTATTATTTTTAACATGTGTTTTCATATTCATGCTCTAGTCGGTTGCTTTATATGTTACCTTGTTTTGCTTCTTGATCTTGCTACTATACTACACTTGACATTTATTGGATGCTTAGAAGCTTCTTTACACAATTTACTCTTTTATAATTATACACTTACAGCTATTCTATTTTCTCAGGAGGAAATGAGAACATCTTCAAAGAAAGTTACTAGGATCTTTGTGGCAAGGATTCCACCATCTGTAACTGAAGCTGCTTTCAGAAGGTTGCCTTTGATTGTGCCTTCAAATTTCTGCAATAATAGTTAATATATATTTGTCTGTGTGTGTTTGGTGTTAATTCATACACTGGTAACATCTGAGTACTATCTATTATTTTCTTATGCAGTCATTTTGAGAAGTATGGCGACATAACAGATCTGTACATGCCAAAGGTTCAGATATTTTTCTATCCTGTTTGGCATCCACACAGTCTTGAGCTATTTTCCCAAAATCATTTAACACATTTACGCAGGATCCAAGCACCAAAGGCCATCGTGGAATTGGTTTTATAACATTTGCAAGTGCTGGTAGTGTTCTTAATAACTTTGGCCAACATCTTGTTTCTGTTAGTTTGTTCCACCTGTTTGCCTAGCTGCATTGTATTTGAAGTTTGCATACAACTCATTTGGGATAGCTGCCCTTAGGCCTTAATGTGTAGATATGAAACATCCACACCTTAATTGGCAGAATTTGATTTGATTATTCGTGAAGATCTTTTCTTTTTTTGGAGAATGTGCAACTAAAGACTACTGCTGCATCTATGGTTTTATATGTGGATATATATATATATATATTTTTTCGTTTGATTTTGATACAAGTGGATGTGGCTAATTATGTATCCTGTGCATGTATCTCTGAATAATTAATGATCTGTCTTTACTAAGGGGAAATTCTTATACTACGGGGGAGCCCTGAAATGTTAAATCTTTTTATTTTGTAACATGTTTGATTGGAAGGTAACACTTGTGCTCGGTTGCAGTTTCATGAAATTGGATATTGTGTGGTAATACAATTTGTCTTTTATAATCTGTTTGCAGAGGCTGTGGATGATCTGATGGGTGATACTCATGAATTGGGAGGTTCACAGGTGGTCGTCGATAGGGCTACACCAAAGGTAGCTCTCAGCGTTGCCTATGTTTAATTTTTAAAATATGCTAAAGTTGTATTACTGCATCTATGGTCATTTAGTGCTGGAAATTGGAATGCCATTATGTGCATCCCAGAGATCTGGCCTCCTGGGGCAGGCTGTGTCAGAATTCCCTCCTTAAAATTGTAGTAAATGGAAATATAAGGCATCTTATAACAGTTTCTCAGATTTTGTCATATTGATAGTTTGACACTACACTTGTGATGGTTTCGTGTCCACCCTCAATTCACTTCCCACCAGCCACAGGGGATAATTTTTTCTTCAATATTTTAATTTTTCTAAAGTTACTTGAAACTAATGTTATGTAAAATCTCTTCTGCTATAGGAGGAAGAATTTAAGCCAGTTAGTCGAATGGCCCCCCAACCCCATGGTGGTGGTGGATATGGTGCTTATAATGCTTATATTACTGCTGCCACTAGATATGCTGCATTTGGTGCACCTACCATGTATGATCATCCTGCTCCAATGTATGGAAGTAAGTTATTCTCTGAGAGCTTACCTCAGTAATCTTTACAAAGATAGGTAATCGATCTCAGTTTGATGACATTGTTGATTTAATTAGGAGAGATTCCTCGTGGAATGGGCAAAAAAATCTTTGTTGGTAGGCTTCCTCAGGAGGCAAGTGTGGATGACCTTCGCCAGTACTTCGGGAGATTTGGTCGTATTTTAGATGTTTATGTTCCAAAGGTAAGAACACATGTTCATTCCATCTACCAAATGAAAAGTTCTAATGATTTTCATCATACTCTTGTAGGATCCCAAGAGAACTGGTCATCGGGGATTTGGTTTTATAACTTTCGCTGATGATGGTGTTGCAGACCGTGTAGCTCGAAGATCTCATGAAATATGTGGACACAAGGTTTCACATCCTCCTTTTTATTCACTTCTTCAATTTATTATCGACACTAGGTGGTTATCCTTACGTTATTTCAAGTGTTTGCTTGATGTAACATGATCTGAGCTAAGGTCTCGACATTACCAAATGCTGCTCAAGATGATAATATTGTTTGTTTCAAGTTCTTACTAGTTACACTCCAGTCAAATATGTAGTGATGGACCAACTACCGGAAGTAATTATTTCTTGCACTTGTTTAGGTTGCAATTGATTCAGCTACTCCAATCGATGATGCTGGCCCTAGCAATAATTTTGTGATGAATAATTCTGAGCCATTTGGATATGGTGGACCTATGCGTGCATATGGCCGAATGTATGGGAGCTTAGACTTCGATGATGTGAGTACATCATATATAAATTGTTAACTGTTCCTGACAAGAGAAGAAGTCTCACATTATTTCTGCTTTCTGCATCGTGAGGCATGCAATACTTTGCCCTCTACCTCATCCTTTTTCCTTGTCACTATAGTTTAAAAATAAAGACGGTTTATTTATTTATTTATTTATCCCTGCCGTAATATTACTAACTGTTCCCATGTATCATTTTGGTCAGTGGGGCTATGGTGTTGGTGGCAGTATGGGCGGCGGTGGGAGACCTTCACGTGGTGATTTCAGATACAGACCTTATTAAAGATAGAAGGGCGTTTGCAGGCTCATCCAATGAATTAATTTCCTTACAATATGTGCGTGTTCTCATCTATGGAAACCAAGGAAAGTCAATGAGTCAGTTGTCACATAACTTTCGCTGCATTGAAGTGGTTTATTAGTTGGTAAGAAGGGTGTCTTCTTATGAAGACGCACATTGCCTTGTGTTTGCTTTTCACCGTATGAGATTTGTAGGCACTTCTAAACTTGTGATTGTATGTTTGAACGATCCATGCTATTATCTGATCTATGTTTCTTGTTCAGCCTACATGCTCAATGCAGTTCATTATGTATTGTAAAAGACGTTGCCGTTGCCCTATCGACGATTATGCTCATGCCTGTGGTGGGATTTTCTGGGTCGAAATTTTGATAGGCTAGGATTTGGATTAGTTTAGCAGAATTTGGACAGCAGCTTCTGAAGTCAGAACCTTTCTGGCCTCTCTTTGTTTGGATTTTCATCTTCTTCTGGTCTTGATTTGGACACGTTTATTTTACTAACAACATAGAAAGAAGACCACGGAACAATCAGTTACAAACAGATTCTTTCTTCAAAATAGGCGCCATGTTCCAATTAATGTCTCATAATTGGATATTCTCCAGTTTAATTTCGTGTCGTTAATATCCTGGTGCCTTCATTACACAGCAAGGCTAAATGTACTATGGCTACTACCTTCATTACAATCCAATTTAGGCACGACTTTCCCTCTTTTGTTCAGTTCTTGATGAAAAAATTGGGAATTTCCGCAGCCATAAAGACGAAAGAGATATTTTCCGGGCAGCTGGGCAATACCCACGTGCCACGTGTTACCTATGCCTCCACCACCACTCTCTGCTGCATATGTTTGGATTGGCTCCCATTATTTGGTGCCCCACTGCTACAACGTCAACGTCCTTTCTCCGGCAACACTCGCCTCGTTATTCTAAGCTGAAAAGGGCGGAGAAAATCGAAGTGAGAGCTGACGAATACAGGTATTATTGATTCAACTGAAGAGGGTAAATAGTTCTCTTCAATTCTCCGACGGTTGTTGCGAGTGTCGGTAATAATTGAGGATGAGTATGGCGGTGCTCTACAATCCCGTCAATCCATCAATCGGTGTATATTCGCGAACTCATTTTCCGTTTCTGGTCTGCCCCTCTCTGACGTCAAAACCACTGTTGAGAAGCCAGGAGGTAGGCGGTTTGAGGAAACCTATCAGAGCAGGAACCGGCGGCGGAGCTGAATCTCATAAAACGGAAACAGTCGGAAACTCGCGGCCGCCGTCGCAAGGGAAGAAGCTGAGGATTCTGGTGGCCGGCGGCGGAATTGGAGGTCTGGTTTTCGCGCTGGCGGCGCAGAAGAAAGGTTTCGAAGTTGTAGTGTTCGAGAAGGATCTGAGCGCAATAAGAGGGGAGGGGCAGTACAGAGGTCCGATCCAGATTCAGAGCAATGCGTTGGCTGCTTTGGAAGCCATTGACATGGACGTTGCCGAAGAGATTATTAACGCTGGATGCATCACCGGCGATCGGATTAATGGCTTGGTGGATGGTATTTCCGGCACTTGGTAAGCTTCACTGCTCTGCAATTACTTGCTTGCTGTATATATATATAGTTAGAGGTCCTATTTGGTTATTGTATGCATAAAATGATGCAGTTGATCAAAATCAGGTATGTCAAGTTTGATACCTTCACTCCGGCGGCGGAGCGGGGACTTCCGGTGACGCGAGTCATTAGTCGAATGACTTTGCAACAAATCCTTGCCCGCGCAGTCGGATCCAACGCCATTATGAACGAATGCAATGTAATCGACTTCGAGGATCATGGAGAAAAGGTATCCATATATGATATATGTCTATAGGATTTCCATGAATGTCTGTATATGCTAAAGATGGTGATTTTAGAGGAGCTTATATGTAGATGATGCAACTTTAGGTAACTGTGAGGCTCGAAAATGGGGAGACTTATGAAGGCGACCTACTTGTTGGCGCAGACGGGATATGGTCGAAGGTGCCTCTTAGTTTCAACCATGGTGAAATAACATTAGATAAACCTACAAGCGAAAATTCAACAAGTTTGATGATTTTTAATATAGGTTAGGAAGAATTTGTTCGGAGCGGCCGATGCAATTTACTCTGGCTACACTTGCTACACTGGAATCGCGGATTTTGTTCCCGCTGACATCGAGACAGTTGGGTGTGTATATCCTCAACCATATTGATGAAAGAGTTCATTGTTTTTTTTCTATGAAAGGTTTTTATCTGAGTATACATGTTTTTTCAAAGGTACCGCGTATTCTTGGGGCATAAGCAGTACTTTGTGTCCTCTGATGTCGGAGGCGGCAAGATGCAGTGGTATGCATTTCACAATGAATCACCGGGTGGTGTCGATGCTCCAGGAGGTGATCTTCTATCAAATCTTTTTTTGGTGCCTCAAGATCCAACTCGAATATGGTTTGGTCACTGATGGTTTCATGTTTTCCTATTCAGGTAAAAAGGAGAGGTTGCTTAAGCTGTTCGAGGGCTGGTGCGACAATGTTATAGATCTGTTGCTCGCCACGGATGAAGATGCCATTCTTCGGCGCGACATTTATGACAGGTCTCCGATTTTCTCATGGGGGAAGGGCCGCGTGACATTGCTTGGCGATTCGGTCCATGCAATGCAGCCAAACTTGGGTCAAGGAGGATGCATGGCCATCGAGGTAGGTTAAATCTTTTTCGGTGGGGTTCGTAATCAATGAAGATTGCTATTATCGAAACTTTTGTTTGACGATTGTAGGATGCATATCAACTAGCACTCGAGCTCGATAAAGCATGGATGGAAAGCAGCAAGTCTGGAAACCCCGTCGATGTAGTCCCTTCTCTACGGAGGCAAGATCCCGATCATTCCTCCCATTCTGTGCTCGTTAGATCTACATCTACTGAATTATTAACATCATTCGCAGCTTTTTTACTTTGCTCTCTTCAGATATGAGAATGCTCGAAAACTACGCGTTGCTGTTATTCACGGCCTAGCAAGAATGGCTGCAATAATGGCGTCGACTTACAAGGCTTATCTCGGTGTAGGACTTGGTCCATTGTCGGTAAGGAGAAGTGATTGGTAGAATGGAATGCTGTCCGTGGTTTTAAATTTGATGGATAGATATCTGTTCTTTTGTGTAGTTTTTGACGAAATTTAGAATCCCACATCCCGGGCGAGTTGGTGGGAGGTTGTTTATTGACATAGGCATGCCGTTGATGCTGAGTTGGGTTCTCGGTGGTAATGGGTGAGATTTTGCGCCTCGTTTGCTTGTTTCCGTGAAGCTTTTACTTCGAAAACACTTGAAACTTTTTGCTCTCTGCAGTTCGAAGCTTGAAGGGAGAGCCCTGCAGTGTCGACTATCAGACAAAGTACGATGTTTCAAACTTGCAACTGCTATTAATAGAAGCAACATGGTTGTCGATATGTTTGCTTAGTACTTTTTATTTCATGAAGGCGAGCGATGATCTTCGAAGATGGTTTACAGACGACGATGCTCTTGAGCGAGCTCTAGATGCAGAGTGAGCATATGATCATACACTCGCAACAGATTGTATATGCCCCATAGTTAATAAAGCTCAACTCTGAACTTTCGTTTTTGCAGTTGGTTCCTGTTTTCGATTGGAGACTCGACTGAAGCGCCTGAAAGCATTTCCCTGAGTCGAGACGAGAAGAACCCCTACTTAATCGGGTATGCGCGTTTTTTACCGAATTCCATTTCCATGTCACAATAGATGTCTAAACTTTCATTTTTCTCAGGAGTGTAGCACATCCCAACTTCCCCGGAGTCTCGATTGCTATCCCTTCGCCTCAGGTGAGCCTCGACCCGTCCTTCTTTCTTCGTCGAAGCCAAGTTTATTCCCTTTTTTCGAAAGGTATTCACTACAATCCCTCAGGTTTCCAACATGCACGCTCGGATAAGCTACAAAGACGGAGCGTTTTATGTGACTGACTTAAGGAGCGAACACGGCACATGGATTTCAGAGTAAGCTATACATTCCATATCTCGTTATGGCCCGTCTATCCATAGTGAGAATGGTAGTCTAATCGAAGATGATCGATCTTGCAGCATCGAAGGCAGGCGATACCGTATTTCCCCCAATGTTCAGACTCGCTTCCGCCCCACTGATGCGATCGAGTTTGGTTCAGATAAAAAGGTTAGATCTTTGATACTCGTGTAATTCGGTTCACTCATTCGCAACAATGTTGGACGATGTTCTGCTTTTTATTGTTCGCAGGCGGCTTTTCGGGTTAAGGCACTGAAAAATCCCCCGAAGACGATGACGAAGAAGGCGAAGGACGACGACCAAGTTCTGCAGGCAGTGTAGAGAAGGAAGTTACAAACTCCAAGAAACCCAAGGTAAGAAACCTGTACAGGATCGATTCATTGCTGCTGCATTTTGTTAGCTGCGGAAGTATACATCTCTCTCTCTCTCTCTATATATATATATATTTATATATTTATACATACAATACATGAAAATGGTTAAGGCCAACCTCCCGCTAATGGAGGATAAACTGTATATGAAGATATTTATTGTCTCCTTGATCTAATTTGGGAAGAAAATTTCTATCTACTGTGGAAATTGGCTTTGGCACGTGACGGCAGGGAAGGCGCCAACGGTCGGATTATAATTTGACCGTTACCTTAAGGCAAGTAATCATTTAGTCAGTCAGTTTCATGGATACCCTCTGGGATATTGGAAGGCCCATGGAGTACAGATCCGGGTGAATCCATACCGTTGGATTTCTTATCGTGAGCATCGGTCGTCGGATGGATTAATTGGTTATAGCTACTTGCCAGCTTTAAATTTTGGGGGGGAAATGCACAAAACAAGAGGAAAGAAACAGTTTTACAACTTTCTAGGATACTAGGAAAGTGAAATATTTTGGAAAATACAGAAAGACAGCAACTTTGGAAAGAAATAGGATTAAAGCGACTTGAAACAAGAATTTATCATCATGATTCAAACACCCAAAACTTGAGAATAAAAATCATAACTTGGGTGCACAAAACATAGATAAAAGATATATGTTGAACAAATGATTGTGAGAAATGCTTCTCTCTCAAGCAAGAAATTACCAAAACAAACAAACAAACACTCATAATGATGAGTGTGTTCAATATATCAAATTTTTTTTAAAAAAGGGTTTGCAAAAATGCCATTGCCAATGATTATCACACACATTAAACCACTCTGACACCCTTTTTACTGCCACAGAAAATTTGCTTCTTTTACAGCATACACATATTTCTGTGTGCTGTTTCTCCATGCTGTCTTCTGCTTGAAAACTCCACTAATGTTTTAGGGAATTTTAATTTCTGAAAAGGGCAAAGAAAAGAGCAAAGGGAGGAACAAACATTCAGTACGACGTCGTATCAGATCAAGAACTCGATCGTTGTAATTTTTTGGATTGGGAACAAAACGACGCCGTCGCGACGGGGTCAGTTCAGTTTTGTTTACTATGTCAAGTGCATGCGCTCCTAATGAAAAGATAAATTTAATTAATTAATTGTAGATATGATTAATGAGGCTTTAGAACTTGATTTGTTTAAAAATTAATTTCAAGTATCTTCCGCATGCATACACTGATACACGTGCAAATAATGACTTTTTTCTTTTCTTTTTGCGTTGATATTTGTATTGTTTGTATGTTTGTCTGTAGACAGGTTAAGAACAATTACAGCAGTAAATAAATAGATTAAATTCATGTAATTCTTTATATTGAAAATATGTGCCTTTCCTAAATTATATATATTGTTTTCTTTTCCCGATTCCTAAAACGAAAAAGGAAAAAGCAAACCCGAGGCTTCGAATACTGAAATGGAACATCCCAAAATTAAATAAATTATCAGTAATAACGGTGACTACCGGTTGACCGACTTGGCCAGTTTCCCAAGCTTGTCAGCCAACTCGGGTGGCAGCTCTTTTGCCGGTTTCTTCCCCTTCTCCAGTCTGAAATCGAACCCGAGTGCCTCCGAGACGTCTTCGGAGCTCCAACCCGCCTTTCGGAGCGTATCCGAATACCGAACCGCTTTCAATAGCAGGGCGTCCAGCACCGCTTGATTGTCGAGGATCACCATCTCACCGTCGAACATTCCGGATGCTGACACGTGTACGATCTCAGAGACGTCGGATTCTGCCCACCCGCTTTCTCTCAGAACCGACCCGATTCGGGTGACGTAGTTATCCACCCATTTAGGCGGTATGGATTTCGGCGGCATGTCGATGTACCGATCCGGCGACGACGACGACGACGAAGACGAATTTGATTGCCTGCGGCGGCGATCGACAGCCGCGTCGCTCCAGAACTCCACCCATCGCGGCGCCCGCTTTCCGGCGGGGACTGCGTCCAGACTCCTCCTCCGGGAGAAATTGTCCTCCGGCGATGACGTGGCAGATTTCTCGTTCACGGACCGCTGCTTCGACAGAATGTTAGGACACGGATCCTGATGAAATCCGGTGGACTCGCGATCGAAGAAGTCGGACAAATCGAAGCCGCAGCAGAAAACACAGTTCTCGTCGACGTAAAAAATGGGATTTCCGGCGAGGCAAGGCTTACAGGGAATGTAACAATGGTTGAAAACCGGAATCAGATGCGGCGCCCGTTTCAGAGCGGTTCGGGCTATCCTCAGCGCCTTCTCCGGCTCGACCGGACGCGGGCCCCACGACTTGGACCAGAGGGAATTCCGAGCTATGTGGAACGAAATCGAAGCAACGGGGAGGTCAATAGAGGCGCGGAGCTGCTGGCGCGCCGCGCCGGAGGAGCGCCAGTCGGGGAAGCCGGGGCCCAGCGGAAGTCCGGCGGACAGAACGGCTTTCAGGTCCGGCGGGAAGTAGAAGCCGAACTCGGCTTCAGCAAAGTCGAACTCCGGCTCGGTCAAACCGGGTTCGACTCGGATGCCGGAATTTTTCAAATGGGAAATGAGTTTGTCTGCCAGGGACGCGAAAGACAGCTGGCCGTTCCGCGGCGGGATCGGCGTGGACGGAGCCGACGCCGCTGCCCGCGCGGAGAACCGGCGGAGACCGGCGGCGTGGGCCGGGTTCAAACCGGACATCCTCCGGTCGACGTCCACCATTATATATATTTTTTGTTGCTTTTGATTTTGAATCTTCGCAAACTTTGTGGAAATGACAAATTCTTCACTTTAGGCAAATCTGAGCAAAATAAATTGGATGGGAAAGGGAAAATTACAGACGGGACGAAGCTAGCAGCTGACTGAAATGGCGAAAAGAGTGAGGAGTGAGTGAGTGCATTTATTACAGGAGGGGCGGCGAGGTCCGGGCCCACCGTGGATCAGATTTTGATGGAATTAGAAACCTCAAAAAATTAATTAATGGTAACTTACAGCATTTATGTCCTTTAGTAGTAATTTAATCAAAATCGTGTTAGTGGTGTGTGTGCGCACAATAAAACAATTTTATTGTCTTTAAATGTAATCTTTTTTCCCAATACAAACACCCAACCCGAAATATGGATAAATTATTTTTAAATATATATGAACAATTTTCTTACTATGTCGTACGTGTGTGTGGCTGGGCACGTGCGATGTCTGTGACAGGGTTTGAATAGTTCGACATAAAACCCCACCAAATAAAAGAGATGGATATGGATTTGTCTATGCGTAGGATCACATCACAAATTTAGGTATGTCCAAATACAAATTAAATTGAAATCCAAATCCAAATCCAAATCCACCTCATTAAGGCTGGCTTCTCCAATAATGGATGATCAGTACATGAATTATTACATATATACTTTCCCCCTTGAGGATATATTGCTCAAAACTGATCATTAATCAGTTGATGTCTCGTTAATTTGGCTGTCTTTGTCTCTATTGTGCAAAATGTATATGTCAAAGCTAGAAAAGAGACATGGTGGGCTGGCTTCAATTCCCAAATTAGGACAAAGAAATTGATTAGATGTTGTAGGAGAGAGAGAGAGAGAGAGAGAGAGAGAGAGAGAGAGAGAGAGAGAGAGAGAGAGAGAGAGAGAGAGAGAGAGAGAGAGAGAGAGAGAGAGAGAGAGAGAGAGAGAGAGAGAGAGAGTAAAATTAGAACATGGGCCTATATGTTGCCTCAACCACCAAGCAGCAGCAACGCCGCCGCGACGGGTGGCGGCACAGCCGCTGAACCACCAGACACGGCGGGGTTGCAAATTGCAAGTGCATCATTACGTGTATATAATAGTTATTGTGTGTTCATGAACCTAAACCTAATTGACGACCGGATCGAACCATGCATGTGTGTGCTATTTATTTCATGCAATTGTTTCTTTTGGTCTTATTATATATTTATAATAATAAATTATTGCATATTTTATTTATTTTTTATTGAATCGTTGAAATGACATGACAGATGAGTTACTGTATTCATTCCTGTCCATCAAACTCAATCATCTCGCAGATGAGTTATTTATTTTTTTATTGAATTGTTAAAACCAACTAAGAGATATCCCAATTTCAGTTCATGTCAAAATATGTATGGAGTTCTATGTTAATGATCAAATAGCATCAGGGCTGCTGTTTATGGAAGCTTTCTTTTCTAATAGGATCTACACTACTACACATCTATTACCCTATATTTATGTTATACCGTGGAACTTTAAACACACGTTAGTGAAGTTTTTCATATTGGGATTCAGATGTAATACATGTGTTGTCGCAAATAAACTGTTATTGATGTTTACAAGAGTATTATATATATCTCAAAATTGTTAAAAACATAATAATAATAATAATAATAATAATAATAATAATAATAATAATAATAATAATAATAATAATAATAATAATAATTTCACAAGGCATAGACATGGTTTTCCCTCACAAGTAGATTGACATGGAGCACGCACAAGAAACAGAAATATGACAATTTCGTAATTTTCCCATTTCCCATTTACCCTACTCACAAGAAATAGAAAAAGAGCAATTTCGTAATTTTTGCTTTCTCGTTTACCCTATTTACAAACAAAACTTTGAAAGTGTAGTAAATATCTTAAAGAAGGAAAATATAAGTATGAAACACAAAATAGTTTAATAGTTTATTTCTACTATATATATATGTATATATATTTTCTTTCTCGTTTAATTATTGTGTTTTTTTTTTTTTTGTAGTACTGACTGCACAGATAGTTTGGGAACGAATGGATGATAATGAGAAACTGTGGCTAGAAGAGAAGAAGAAGAAGGAGGAGGAGAAGTGGGAGAAATCGTCGCCAGAAGAGGTCCAAAATTACGTGGTGAAAGAAAAATATTTTTTTACTACAGCTTCTCTGGTTTATATGCTCGTTCCCTATTAGTTTGCATCGTTTGCTAGTATTTGATTGCAACTGTATGATTGTGAAATAGATGTTTGCAGATATCCTGGGAAAAGCACTAGCAATTAGGTGGTTATTAGGGGCATCCGGAAAATGCCCGGGTTGAAATTCTGACACTTATGAAGAGAATAATGGAAATTGATCTATAGAAACTTAAGAGGATGCACACATTATCTTTCTTCCATATCCAGACTCTTGTTATTTATTTTCTCGTACTTGCAGGTGACCCTTAGTTGATTTTGTTGAATTTTATGCATTGTATAATGCTTGATTTTGTATCCGTTTTATTTGATGTCTCATAGGGATTTTTGTTATGTTTACAGTGTTTGTGTTTGGAGGATGACGTCTCTCTTGATTATTTGTTTCCTGAAAATTTTGTTTTAGGGAAAACAATTCATACTAATATAAGAAACATATCATTTCTTAAGTAAATTTTAAAAAAAATAATGAAAGTGAGGATCTGTTCTGTGTTTGTTGAGTTGAATTAAGACTGATTTGTTTCTGCATAAACTTTCCTTTAGAGGTTTTTTTTGTTAAAAACTCAATTATATTGTATAGTTTTCTGACTGTGTTTGTGTCAAATTAGGTATACTTTTGAAGTATTGATTAGATTGATAATTTCCAATACCATAGAATTACACTAATTTATTATCGTAGTTTATATTGCTTTCATATTAGCTTTCTTTAATTAGAACCTTTCAATCTGTCCTGCCATAGGAGAAGACATACACATGGTTTCCCCCCACCCCCGACAAGCAGATTGGCATGGAGCACGCGCAAGAAACATAAATAGGACAATTTGGTAATTTTTCCCTTTTCCATTTACCCTGGTTACAAGAAACAGAAAAATGGCAATTTGGTAATTTTTTCCTTTCCCATTTACCCTACTCACAAGAAACAGAAAAATGGCAATTTGGTAATTTTTCCTTTTCCCATTTACCATACTTACAAGAAACAGAAAAATAACAATTTGATAATTTTTCCCTTTCCTATTTACCATACTTACAAGAGAAAAAGGGCAATTTCGTAATTTTCGCTTTCCCATTACCCTATTTACAAGAGACAGAAAAATGAACATTTCGTGATTTCTCCTTTTTCATTTGCCCTACTTACCGGTATACAGTAGGTTATGCTTATGTCATTCTTTCTTTTGTAATCTCTGTTGTAAGTTTCTTGTGTGAGCTTCATTCTTTTCGTGTTTTTCTTGTGCTCCTTCAAAATAAATTACTATTATTGTTTTCTTAACTTATAGGAGGAGGAGAAGAGATTGATCTTTTGTACCTTTGTTTTTGTGCTCTATCTAGTTTAGGGTTTAGTATTTTCAATATCTCATATTAATTTGTTTTCTTAACCTACAAAGGAGGAGAAAAAAAAAAAAAAAAAAAAAAAAAGAAAAGAGCAGACCACTGCATTCATTTGCGGACAATATTTGGTAAGCCTTATTAACCTTTTTTTTTTCATTGTGTTTGTTTCTTTTTAAGCATAATATTTTTAGCATACTATCTATACTTTTATCCCGCCTAAAATTTTTCATTGTGTTTACTTTGTTTTTAGTGGTAATATCTGTTTCTTGACTCTTATCCTAAAATTTATTTTACAAGGAAAGACAAGAAAAAACAAAACAAAACAAAATAAAAAACAAAGGATCAGAGTAACAACCGCCGGTTTCAGCAAGCGGTTCTGGTTCGACATCATAAAATCGAACTTCAGCCATCTTTATTTATTTATTTTATAACGTAAGAACCCGCAAGAGTTACTCATCGAGTGTATTCTGAGTAAATCCAACAAATCTAATAACCTGCAAACTAGGTCCCACAAAGCAAGTTACATTAGTCGAATCATGTGTGAAAAGTGGACCTAAAGACGCCGGGATTTGAATCCATGACCTCACGGTCATGAGTTCATCCAATATCATTGGCCATCCCTTACGGGACACATTAACTTTTGTTTTTTTTTTTTTTTTTTATAATGTATCAACCCGTAGCCATTATCTTGTGTTTTTTTTTTTTTTTTTTTTTTTTTTTTTTATAATGTATCAACCCGTAGCCACTAAACTTCAGATGTGCTCTGGATAAACCCTCAGCCGAACCTAAAAGTTCGCAAACTAGGTTCGATAAAACAATATACGCTAGACAAATAAAACTTAGAGGCGTCGGGGTTTGAACAACTTCATTGAATTCTTTGAAGTTCACTTTAATAGTTCAAGAACTATTATCTCAAATTTTTCTATGACATTTGCTTTATAAATAATAATTGTTGGATAATCGGTTATTCTGTAAGTTAGTCAGTTATACGAGGAGTAGGAATAGGTAACAATATTCTAATTATAGCAAAATTTTACTAAATATTAAATATTTGCAAGTGGACTAAAATTACTCACATAGGTTGGCCCATTTACAGTTTAAGTAGATATAGCAAATTGCTTGATCATTTTAGGCCCAGGTAATGGATCGGGTCATATGGGCCAGCTCACAATACAATTATATTAGTGATGATATATGTATATTGCCATTTGGACTGCAAATTAGCAATTGGTGCGCCGTTTATAAGCTACTTTTCTTTTTTATTAATATATACAATACAATTAGCAACGTGGTACACGAATTATAATAAAATAAAGGGAATATATATAAAGTGGGGTTTTTATTTGAGTAAATTAAATGGTCAGAATATCTTTTCATCACTTTAAGAGGACGTTGAGATTTTAATTTATCTTGAATATTTCTAATTGAATTAACTTCACGTGCAACTAATTAGCACTCTCTAGCTCCACTAATTACCTAAGAATAGATTTTTATTTTATTTTTAATATATATCTTTTTAGAATTTACAATGATGCACAAGGATTTTGAAGACAATATTATTTGCTTCGCTAATTTGGCAAATCAAAAAGGTCAAATTTTGCATATTTTCCACTAACCAAACCATTTTGGACTGGGGAATGACAACATTTATTATTATTATTATTATTATTATTATTATTATTATTATTATTATTATTATTATCTTTGTCTATATTCTCCACTAATTGGAATTAAGTAGAATTCAGAATCTTATCGTGTGATTAACCAAAAAATAAAAGAATAACTGAAAATAATATATAAATAGTGAGTGTCAATTAATTACACAGCATCTATCCCCTCCATACTGGCTTGGTCCACAAAGATTCCAGCAATTCTTGAAAGCTCCAGGAGTCGGAGTCCCATATCCACCCAGACCATCCACCTTCCCATCTGCCGTCGGAGAGTCAGGACCTCCCAAATCATGACTTCAAAGATTCCCTCCTTGTTCATAAATACAGAGACGCAACACAGGAGAAATTCCATTCATACAACAATTGAAGACAGAAATCGAAATCGAATCGATTGATAGAGATAGATTTTGAATTTAGGTAGCTAGCTAGGGTGTAGAAACTGAAATGGCGATCACGTGCTACGGCGGCGGCGGCGACACGGCGCGCAGCGTGTCGTCGGTTCCCGGCGGGAAGCAGCAGATGACGGTGGAGGAGTTTCGGAGCTGGCTGATGAAGTTCGACGCCGACAAGGACGGGAGGATCAGCCAGAAGGAGCTCCGGCGAGCGATCCGGAAGTGCGGCGGGTGGTTCAGCTCCTGGAAGAGCGGCCGGGGAATGAGCGAGGCCGACATCAACGAGAGCGGTTACATCGACGAGAACGAGATCGATTCGCTTTTGGATTTTGCAGAGTCTAATATGGGCTTCAAGTTTTACTATTAATTTAAATTATAATTATTTAATTATCAAAATCAATGAAATATCATCCTCTTATATGGAATGATGATGATGATGATTGTTGTTACCATGTATGTCTCTGTGTGTCTTGTGTTTGTCATGCATAGTTGTCTTTGTTTTTGTTGTTTATTGTATAATTAACTCTGTGGCTTAAGTCATGGCTGATTTAGCATTTAGGGTTTTAATTAATCAAGGGTTTTTATATGTTTAAGTCTATACAATTTCAATGTCGTCGTACATGATCTTGGATTACAGAATTTACATATATCCCATCCCATCCGATGATCCTACACAAAACCTTATATATATATATATATATAAATCTTGCACTGTTGCAGTGGCAGTGAAGACAAGTGAGTGATCATATCGATGATCGATTGGGCATCTTCAATTAATTAATTATATATCTATCTATCTATCGATCATCTTTTTTGAGTCATTCATGAGTCTTATCTTGTCTTGTCTTTATCGATCATATATTTCTTGTTCCCAATCCCATCTCATCACTTGTGATTATTTATATATTTATTCTGTTAAGTCATCAATCTCTCTCCCTAGATTATACAGATAGATACATACATTATACATATATAGTTTAAAATTAATTAATAAAGAAATATTACAAAAAAAAAATGAAATTTAAAGTATGTTTTTTTTAGGCAAATTTTTTTAAATTTTACTATTTACTATTTGAATTTTATGTTTTTTTTTCATAAAACATCTCATCAAAATTTATTATAATAACAAATTCAAATCAATTTTTTGTTTGGGGTTTGAATTTTGAGTTGAGATTTGAACAGTAAAAATTTTGAATTTGAATAGTTGTATGATGTGATATAAATAGGAGTTGATGTGATGTTTTCAATGTAAAATTGACTTTTAATATAATATATAAAATAAAAAATAAATATTTGATTTGATACTTTTAGGAGGAAAAAAATAAGATGAATAATGTAATTGAGAAAATGCCCTAACAAACACACCCTAAAAGAAACACATCATTCATTCTCTTAGGGTGTGTTTGTTTAGGGGATTGGATTTCAAATATACTATTTATCCTATTTTTTTTTTCAAAAAATCAAATCAAACATTTATTTTTTATTTTTTTATATTATATTAAAAATCAATTTTACATTCAAAACATCACATCAACATCTATTTATATCACATCATACGACTATTCAAATTCAAAAGTTTTACTATTCAAATCCCAATTTAAAATTCAAACCCCCAAACAAACGCACCATTAATTTATTGTTTGTCAGGGTGTATTTGTTTGGGGATTAGATTGGATTTACATTATTCATCCATTTTTTTTCCCAAAAACATCAAATCAAACACATCTTTTTCATTTTTTATATTATACTAAAAATCAATTTTACATTAAAAACATCACATCAACACCTATTTATATCACATCATATAACTATTCAAATTCAAAATTTTTACTATTCAAATTCCAATTCAAAATCCAAACACACGCTGTTGTTCTGGGCTTGGACAACAAGCTTGATTGATTGAATGAATACACACCGTTGATTGATTGATTTAAATTAATGTTTTTTTTTTATTTTAGTAAAATGTATCATTTTTATATTTTTTAATATAAAAAATAATTATTTTATTTATTTTTATTAAAATTCGTAATGAACCATAAAACATAATTGAGAGAATATAATTATTTATTAATGTGATATAAATCGTCTATCTTATATCCATTTTAGGGTCAAAATAGAACACCATTAATTTATTTATATTTGTCTCTATCTCTTAATTAAAAACACAAAATATATGAATATCATATATATAACGCATTGGAAAAGGAGTACAATGATTTCCCTATTAGTGGGTGATGATTCCTCTTTTTCAGGCTGAAACCTCAAAGTCATGTCCAAAACTCTACTCTTTATTACCACTTCTATCTATCTATCTATCTTATTTAAAAATATTTAATAATGGTTGTGTATTTCTTTACCCAGATATTCCTATTTGTATTATATATATTTTTTACAAAATATTTTATTATTAATTAAGTATAAAATTTAATTTTATTTTTTTTCACTCAACATTTTTTCCTATCAAAACTCTATACTAAGTCCCGTAACAAGGACAAACTTACGACCGTAAAATTATAGATTTTTAAGTACTTTTGAGAGTAGCTACTCAAATTCTAACCTTAGGAAAAAAAAAAAAAAAAAAACTAACTGATTGAAGTGACAAATGGGTTTAGTTATACATACATATATTTAGAAATTTGTATAGATATATATGTAGTGATTCTTGAAAGCTCCATGGATTCCCAAACATCAGACGAATCACAGTAAGCAGGCCCCCACACCTTCACACCCATGCATATCCAGAAGCTACCAAGATCCGGGACCTCCCAAGAACCAACCACTGGCATTATTATTTTTATTACAATCATCATCAAATTATTATTATTATTATTATTATTATTATTATTATTATTATTATATTCCCACAAGTCCACATATCTATCACACACGCAGGTGATAGGGGTCCAAATTCTATCCAAGATTTTGGTCTATACATACACATATATATATATATATATATATTGATATTATTATTACCACGTATGGACAAAAGTCATCAATCATATCATTTTATGGTCAAAACTGATATGGAAAAAAACACTCACTACAATCTTCTTCTTCTTCTTCTTTTTATTATTATCATATATTCCCAACAATGAATTTACATCACAGATACATATACATATATATATATATACACATGCATGTATCTATTTATATTCAGTTGATTTGTCTAACAAGATTGAATATGCCCAAGAAGAAATAAACTTTGTACAGGAAAGGTCCCCCCTCATCTGATATAAATACAAAACATCTACTGCTGCACTGATACAGTGCTAAAGGATCCCATTTCTAAAAAATATATATATATAAATAAATCAATAAAAAGAATTTATTGTATGAAAAAGAATTGCTAATTTGCTACAATATCCATCCGCTACCCATAGTTTCTCAATCTTACAGATTGAGTCCCCACACTTGCCACATGTTGCCATGTAAGTCCTCTTCCTTGATACCCCCAAAACCCTTCATTTTTTCGAGGACCAAACTGCAATTTCCAGCCATGTAGAAAGATTTTTAATTTTTATGGATCCCAATTTCCCACCATATGTTGTTGGTACCTGTGAGTGTTCCATTCCATGGCATGTTTTACAAAATGTACAACCAAAATTCATCAGATCAGCCAAAGGGGGTTGGGGCACCTCCCATGGCCATGAGCCCTAGAATCTCCTTCTCCAATGACTTTGTGGAATCCTCTCACCATTCCCAATCTCACCACCATCACCACAGGCCTGCAGCTGCATCATATAGGGATGCACCTGTTTCCTCAGACTTTGAGTTCTCTGTGAGCAATTACTCCATGATGTCTGCTGATGAGCTCTTCTTCAAGGGAAGGCTTCTGCCATTGAAGGAAACCTCCTGTAGTAGCAGCAGTGGAAGTTTCCAGAAGACCACCACTACTCTCAGGGATGAGCTCCAGAACAATGAGGAAGATGGTGGCGATGATTTCTCCCTCAGGCCCCCCAAGAACCCCACCAGGTGGAGGGGCTTTCTTGGCCTCAGAAAATCACACATTGGGTCTAAGAAACCTGAAAAGCCACTGGAGAAAAGGACACCAGTTTATGGCCATCATGATGATATCCAATGCACCAAGAATTCACAGGTTTGATTTTTACTGCTTAATCTTAATTTCTTGTTTGCATTGTTCAATACTTTGATATTTGTTATTTTTTAAAAATGCCTTTTTCAGGGCTTTTCTTGATTCAATCTGTGCTTTTGTAGGATTTTGTGGAATGACTCATTAAACAAGAGATTGGAGATGGTGGATGGAAGACAAATAATTAAAAGTCATGGAGGTTTGGAATTTTTTTTAGGTGGTTTTTTGGCAAATTTTGGGGGCAGGAAAATTGGGAAATGAAAAGACTAGTGCTTTTTCCTTAGATGAGAGGCTTAATTTGGATCATTAATCTAATTTGTATTAGTGAAGTCGGAAGCTCTTTTTTTTTTTTTTTTTTTTAATTCTTAATCTCTAGCATTTTGAGTTTGAATTTTGTCATTGTAGTTTGCTTCAAGATTTTTCTTCTAATTCTTGTAGAAGTAACAAACTAAGTTTTTATTTCTTTTGTTCTGAGTATGTGTTGAGAAAAAAATATAATTTAAATCCATTCATGCCTCACTTTAATTCCTAATCCATTTTCTTTTAAAATAGTTCTTTGTGTTGCTGCAGACTTTACTTGAAGAACAAAATTCATCTAAGCTATCATCTTTCTTGTTTTTCCTTTTTTCTTTTTTTAAATAAAGAGTAATTAATTATTGCTTGGTTGAATGAAGCGTGATAAATAGAATGGCAAATAATGAGGCCATTATTGTTAGTATTAACTATTGTTGCATTAATCAGTGAAAAGAAAGAGGGGAAACGCTGAACGAGAGTCAACGGTCAACATGACAGCTAAATAATAAACACAGCTTAGCTGGCATGCGTGGCAGAGCATCACGTTGAGGAAAAAACAAAATACCCAAAATAATTGAAAAAAAAAACTCAAAATAAATAAATAAGTAAAGAAAGTTTGGGAAATTCTTCAAAAAAGAACAATTAATCTGACAAATAGCAAATGGGTATTCTTACATAAATGTGGAGTGTTGGCAGTGAAAGTACTCTTCAGAATCCACACACACACACACACTCAAGAACTCTCATTTCTCTCTCTCTCTCTCTCTCTCTCTCTCTCTATATATATATATATATATGTATATACACGTATGTATCTATCTATGAGGTTCCATGGAATGAATTCAAACCCTCTTCCAATCCAATCCAATCCAATCCAATCCAAGTCCAACCTATCTTTCAATTATCAGTGTGGGTGTGGGTACATTCGAGAAGTTTGGTTTGACTCATTAATGGCTGTCGTCGCATTGGAACAAGAATACCCATTAGTTTAAAGTGGGTCAAATGAATCTTGAACATTGTCCGAGGATTTTCTTGAACTAAGTTCGTTTGCCATTGGGAAGTGCTGTCCTGTATTAACCTGTCCTCATCTGTCCTGTCCTGTCCACTCTTCATAAAAACACACTTCAATAAAACCTTTTCAAACCACTAAACATTAGTTTGGGCCTCTGTTCCAGGTTAGCATCCTTACAAACATCACACACCCACACACACATACATATATATATATATAATGTTCAAGAAACATATAAAAAACACTGAAAGAAACAGACAACTTAAGCTACTGTTGTATTGTATGTCCTGCTGTGTGTGTCCATGATCGATGGACAGACAAGCTTCACCATGGTGCATCGGCCTCTTCTTGGAACTTAGCCTCATACATTTCAGCCTTGCTCTTCAAATTGTCGACGTCCCGCCGGAATGCCGCTGATATTTCTTTTAATTCAATCAATTTCGCTTCGACTTTCTGGACCTCGTGCTCGGTTCGATCGAGCTCTTTCTGGGCTTCCCAATATCTCCGAGCCTGCGCCGCACTGTTTGAGTCGTGTGCGAGGCTCAGCAGCCGACTAAGACGAGCCCGTAAAAATCCCACATTTAGACCCAGAAGTTCGAAAGACCTTAGAGACTTCTCCCAGACTTCAAAATCCTTTCTTGGAGTCGTCAGCGTGCTGCACCTAATTGCGTCACCGATGTTGATGGTTTCGACGAGGATGCTCGCGGCTAACTTGCTGTGGAGGCCCGGGAGAAGACGGCTATGGAGGAATGCGTTCTGGCTGCTGCATAATTCGTAGTATTTTCGATGAGCGTCTTCGGGAAGCTCCGAGTCGATGCAGATGCCGTTAACCACGATGTGGAATTCCTCGTAGCTTCGGACATCGCTGAATTGGGAAGAGGATCCGGAAAATTTTGTGCCCTCCAGAACTTCGGATGCAACCTCGTCGCTGTCATTTCCGGAATGTTCCTCTGGTAGAGGGAATTCATGTCCTAATTCATCGTCTTCCAATTGTTTCTTCTCCTGCACGACCATTAAGGGGAGAGATTTTGGTCTTCTCTTCTTCTTGCTTTGTCTGTCCATGTTACCTCCTCCCTCTGTTTTGCAGGCATCATTCATTTGAATATTAGTACAAGTCAGATCGATGAATGGAAAGAAGAGAAACATTATTGGATATGGTTAGATGAAAGAAATTTGATTGGCGAAACTAACCAGCATCGATTTGCTTCGTTTGAGAATCCAAGATTAGAAGGCTAAGGGCACCATCAACCTCGGTGAGATCATTCGCCCGAATTATGTACACCTACAGACATAATTGCCACATAATGTTGCGACAGCTAAAATAATTCAATTTGCTTCTTTCTATTCGTGGTATGACTCAAAACCGACTGAAAAACTCAAATCATCGATGGACACCGACAAATCTTATATAAGAGATTTAGTCTTGAATCACATGGGAGATTAAACCGGTAAATTGCTACAAATATTGATCGGGTAAAGATGAATAAGTTCAAATTCAAAATAGAGCTTATTGTGTATTACCTTAAATCTGCAAGGCTCGGTCAGCTGGAAGATAAGAACATCTCCTTCAAGCAATTTGTTTCCAGCAACAAACCTTCTCCACCCGGCGCTTAGTCCCGTCTTATGCGCAATGTATTTAATCGGAAACTCTTCGCCATTTTCATTTTCAAGAAAAACGATAGCATCCCTGCTAGGCAAGTGCATCTTGCAGAAAGGCACAGGAAGACCCTGCGCACAAATGATTCTTGAATTGACACTGGAGACATGATACACTATCGGTAGGCTAAATAAAAACCAAAGAAATTAAAAATAAATAAATAAAAATGGCACAATACATACCATCCAAAAACAACTGCCAACATGCGATCTGACTAGCAATTTCAAGATAGCCGGGCGCTCATTGCCTAAGCTCGATAAAACTTCCTCAGCTCGAATCATGGTAGGCGATTTTGATTGCTCTGAAGTGCTTGATCCACCAAAACCGGCATCAACTTTACTGCTACAGACAAGTAGATACTCATCAGAAGGGCAAATACAAGTGCTTTCTAATATAATTAGTGTAAAGTAATTTGTGTTCGACTAACCCTGTCCATGCTCCCCTACTATCAGGCATGCCCTGCTCAAGAAATTTTTACAATTGATTGTTAGATGAAAATAGAGTTACAGAAAGGTAATGAAAGCGGCCAAATGTTTGAATCAAAACTAAAGACAACACAAAAAATACTGCCTTCTAAGAGCCGGAAATAGATATCACTCATATGCATTCCTCAAGGAGATAGATAATTGATTCACAATTTCAATAGATTTAAGCAAAGTTAGGGAAAACAAGAATTTTTATCTTGTGAATGATATTATATATCTGAAATCTTCAGCATGACAACATAAAGTTTATGATCGAAACATGGGGTGAAATCATTACCAGCTAGAATAAGTTCATCGAAGAGAAACAGTGGCAAAAACACAAGCAATTCAGCAGGGTTCTTTCATTGTATAAGAACACATGCCCTAACGTTAACAATGGAGGTCAAATTTATATAAAAGCATATGCTTATGCCTGTTCATCATCCTCACTATGGCTCAACAAACAAGAACACAGAAAGTACTAATTCTATGCCAACAAATAAATTAAAATAGCAAATGAAGCAACCATTAACAACTTCTAAACCACGATCTGAAAATCAAGACACATACACGTCGATTTCACTTTGATCAAGATTAATGGACGCCAAGAACATACAGTCACTAAGTTTGATCTTTCCTACACAAGTGATGACTTAGTCGGGGAACAGTCGTGAAAAAAATTACAAATCCACTTTGCCAGGCCCGAACATGTATGGCTGCACCGTTACCATGAATTGACGCAGCATTGATCAATGAAGAGAAAGGGAGTTATCAGACAGCACGAGACGAGATATTTCAACAACGAAAATCTTAATCCCCAAACAAAACCCTACTGCAAGCAAAGACTCAGTATTTCTACCTTTCCCGGCGTAATCGAAAACTCAGGCGGTGCTGAGGAAGAACGTGATTAACAGTTTAACAATCAAAATCAGGATATAGTTCAAGCAATCGAGAGAGATGGGACTTACATCTTTCGATTTGGAAGTACCAGCGGGCTTCGTCTTCCTCCTTATAACGACAGGCGAAATCTCGTCGAACATCTCCTTGGGCTTCCTCCGCCGCTTGCCCTAAAAACAACAAACCAGATCTGAATTCAATTCGGCGCGCCTGCCTGTAAAATCATGGAAATCAGAGAGTCCAGGCTCAGAAAGCTCACGGAAACAAGCATTGGGTCAAAATAAGAAACAGGCGCAGCCTCCAGGGGCGCGGAATTCTCCTCTACGGGTTCGTTTTCAGGCAAATCACGACTCGGCGGCTCCGGCGTCGGCTGAACCTCCACCTCCTCCTCCTTCTTCACCGGCCGTTCCTCACCGCCGCAATAATCCTGACTTTGGTGGACGATTCGCAGTTTCATCGCTACGAAGATTCAGCGGGAAGGACAGCACGGGATTCTTGCAGGGTGGGTTTAACAGGCGGAAAAAGGGATTAGGATCAGCAAAGGAGAGAAAATCAGGGATGGTAATGTAGCCCGTCGGGTGCGGGTAGCAAGAAATACAGACTCTTCCAGGGCTTTTACACTATCCAGCGTTTCCACGTCGGGACAGCGCCGGCCTGCCGAAATTGGGAAACAATTTCAGTATCATAATTTTTATTAGATTAAATTAAAATTGTTTTTAAGATGAAATAAAAATGAATAAATATAACAACCCCTCTTTCTTTCTTGGAATTAAATTTACAGCCATCGTTTTCTTGATGGGGCATCAGGCCCAATAAAAACTATAGCCATTCCTGGAAATTGCCCAATTGAAACCCCTGTCGTCTCCAAGCCCATTTCTACATAATTTCATTTTCTTCCATTTATTATTCATGTGAGAAGAGAAGAGCTGCCATGGTTGAACTGTCTGTATGAAACCAGCAGACCCGACGATAGTTGAATTTCAAGAACGGGGAAGAAGCTCTAGAAATGTATGCCCACGCGGGAAGATTTTTTTTTTTAATCCCTTTTTGGGTCATCCATTTTGGTCGTATTTCTTAGAATCTTCTCTTTTCTGGAATGAGTTCCGAATTTCTCGACATTATCTATATATGTATATGATTCAAGACCATTGTCAAGATTTCCTTTTTTCTTTTTTGGGTTCTGGTTTTTCTCCAACTAATATGGCTGATGATAACAGCGCGATCGATCGGATCAAAACCCTCTACGTTGTTCTCGCATTTTGCTCCGTGCTTTGTTTCGGTGCCATCAAAAGTCGGTTCATGAATTTCTTGCTTGTGTAATTAATTCCTTTAACTTATTTTTTCCCTTTCGGAATGTCGCAGGTTTGCTGGTCGGCACCATTGCTGGTTTGGTCCTAATTTTCGGGAATTTGGGGGTGATTTTAGGCCTTCTCCCCGCCCACGTTTTCTGGACTGTCTACGCTCTTCTCAAGTAATCATCGTTACATCTTAGAAGTCTTACTTAATTTGATCTAAAAAAATTTAAAACCCCTTTTTCATTACAACGATTCTTGCACTGTCGACAGAACAAATCGATTCGATGCAGCACTCAAGGTCGCAATTTTGTTTAGCCTGCCTGTCCTGTTCGCAATCTGGTTGGCTCTAAGCATAGCTGGCAGTGTTCTTGTAGGCTTTGGATATGGGTTCTTCACTCCATGGATTTCTTCATTTGAGGCATTCAGACACGATGATGAGTCCAAGAAACTCTACCACAGCATTGTAGTATGTCTGCATCTCTCCACCAATGTTGTAACAATGCATTTGATTTGTTCTTTTAACTATTGTCTACGTTTTTGCATTTCTAATTCAGGATGGAACTTGGGAAACGATCAAGGGTAGCTGCACCGTCGTTCGCGATTTCTTCGACATGTGTTATCATTCATATCCTGTTTATCTAAAAGAGCTGCAGCAGAACGAACCGGCTTCCAGCGAGCTCCAGCCTCTTAGGTGATCTATCTACCTTTGAACCAATTCTTACAAAGTACTATGTTGTAACTTGTAAGTATTTGTCGAATTTGTTACAATATTGTTGTCTATCTACCAGATTGATTCACATACCGGCATGTATCCTCGTCGCCCTTATTGGTCTGACTGTCGAAATCCCTCTTTACACTGCCATTGCCATTGTGAAGAGTCCTTACATGCTGTTCCGTGGCTGGCACAGGCTCGTCGAAGATCTGGTCAGCCGGGAAGGGCCATTCTCGGAAACTGTTTGCATTCCTTTCGCCGGTTTGACAATCCTATTGTGGCCTTTAATTGTCATCGCCAGCGTCGTCTTATCCATATTCGCAAGCTTTTTCATCGGACTATACGGGTCCGTGGTAGTGTATCAGGTTTGAATTCTTATTACACATGTTTCCTGCATTTAGTTTTCCGCAAATTTTCTTACCGGAGAATCCTGATGTCGATGTAGGAAAGGTCTTTCGGACGAGGCGTCGCTTACGTGATTGCTATGGTTGCAGAATTCGACGAGTACACTAACGACCTGCTTTACCTCCGCGAGGGCTCGATTTTCCCTAAGTAAGTTACTCTTCATGCTACTAAGAAACGTGCTTGTGTAATAAGCTCTTATTTATAGACATCTTGCGGAACCAGGCCACAGTACAGGAAGAAAAAAACATCGAATCCTAGGATTAGGCAAACTCAATCTTCACATGGTGGCTACACCGCGGTCTTCCCCGAAGATGACGGAATCCTGGTTCCGCGCCTGACGGCATCCCAGCCGGTTAGGGACATCATAAAAGAGGTCAAAATGGTGCAGGTAGGCACGGTATCGATTATGTTTTAAGGATGTTCTTGCTTGAATCCTATGATGACCGAATTCTTGCTCATATGTGTGTTAAATGTTCATTAGATTTGGGGAAGTATGATGAAGTTATACGAGGTTAAGGGAATGTTGTTGCTCGACAGGGGTGTTATAACGCCGCGCGATCTCTCTGACTGGCTGAATTCGAGGCATTCGAACAATGCCCCCATTGTCGACGTGGGGTTGCCCTGTTTCGCGTTCTTGCACAACCTTCTCGACTCAATCAGCGCCGGCTCAGACGGGCTGGTGCTTGCGGATGGGACCGAGGTTACACACATGAACAGGCCACAGGCGCGGCTGCTCGACTGGTTTTTCCACCCGATCCTTGTCCTTAAGGAGCAGATCAGAGTCCTTTGCCTGGAAGAAGGTGAAATTCGACACCTGGAAAAGATGCTGCTTTTCGGAAACCATAAGGAGCCCACCGAGTCTTGGGATAACGGGAGCTTTGTCCCGATGGATGTCGTTCGAGCTGCCCGAATTGAAGCCATTAGTCGCAGGTAATTAAGACAAATGTTGTCTTGATGCGAACAATACTATGTGTTAGCCCTGTACTAAATTAGAGTTATATATGAAATGTGTATGTTGTGATTCGAACAGGATGATGGGAATGAGTCGAAGCATATCGAAGTTTCCGACTTACCGGAGAAGATACCGGCAAGTTGTGAAGGATCTGATCGTTCATTCAATGGTAACGGACGGCCCTGATCGATCGTCGTCAATGGGAACAGCCGATGCTATGGATATTGTGTGAGTCAAGTAGGCGGGTTCTTTTTCTATCTGTTAATATGTTTGCAGAATTCTTAGCGTTGCTTGTATAGTTATGTTTTTATTATTTATTTATTTTTTTAATTTGTTGCACAGGAAGGTGTAAGTGATGTATATATTATTTTTTGGTTGAATTGGAATGAAACTGGGGAGGAAACATGAACGTGGATGTTCGAGGAGAAAGTAATGTTGAATTAAAATAGGCAGGCAATGACTTAGTCGAATTCGTCGTAAAATGTTGGGGGCCATGTAAATATTATATATGGAAATAAGTTTAATAAAATATTTTATAAAAAATAACTTATGTTAATAGAAATAGCATAATTTTACACTAAAAAACATATATGTTAAGAATAATGGTCAAATTTGAAATAATATTAATTATAAAATTTCGGCTGTGTTTGAATAATTCATTTATATTTTATGCTGTTAAGTGTTTGAACGTTAAGTATTCTGGAATTTATTATTATTAGTTCTTTAGCAAAGGATAAGTTTACTTTGGGATGAGTAATTAATGAAGTACTTAAGTATGGTTAAATAAATAATCCCAGTAAGCAATTAATGGGCGACAATAGTAACAGCCAAGCTAGAAACTGTCAGTCAGAAATAGTGAATTAATGCCCCCTGTCTAGTTTAAAATACCTACCAAACTTCATATCTAATTTTACATGACAATAATATATAGGACTAGCTAGCTAGTACACAAACTTCATATATTTATTATGATCTCTTTCGACATCCAATTATTTCAAGAGAAAAAGCATATAATTTAATCTCTACGTACGATAAACATGCTTGGAACAATGAAATAATCATGCATTATTGGAGATTACTCATACTACATAAATAAAATTCCTAATAAAAATATCACCTGAATACAGACAGTGGGGCCTATGGTCCTATCCACATTTAATACGACTGAAAAAATGTTTATGGGCATTCAGCAAATTAATTTTTTTATTGTCATTTCTCCGGATCCAAAAAGAATGCTTGCGTAACAAAGTGAAGATGCCCTCAAAAGTCCAAACTTCTACTATTAGATGGAATCTATTGTAAAAAACCTATTGTTTATTTACAGTGTTTTTACCATTTGTGAATTTAATTTAATTAATTAATGACAGACAGACGACCCTTCATTGGGATCTCAAAAAAGAATTGTCAATTAAAAGTAGTAGTGAATGTGGATACACATGTTTTAATTTCTGTGTCAACGTATCTGTAATATTTTTTTAGTTTAAATGGAATATTCAGAATGTGCATGATTATTTCATTGTGAGTTCTTAACACTAAAGTTTTTCAAAAATTCAAAAATCCATGTCTAAAATAAAATCAAATTTATTGGATCCAGTCATATGGTTTTGAATTATGTAAATTTATATTTATAATAAAGTAATGGCTTGTAAATCAAATAGGAACATGGGTAGAATCTATTTGCATGTGCTGCTATTTCCTCTCCATTTCTTTCTCTTAGGCAAGCTAATGATTATTCCTCGTTATGCTACACCTCATCACAGCAAAGACAATAGTTCTTTCCCAGATCCCTATATAACTTAAACTCTAATTTTTAACACAAATTGCTAACCTTGAGAATGATTAAAAAAGAACAAAGTACAGTAATAATTGTACATTACTATAACATAATAAATTGCTAACCTTAGCTTGTGGGCTGACTGACTCATACAATTCTCTATGTAAGATGATGGATTGATAAGAAGCAATCTTGGCCTACCAATTCTTCTAAATTCAGAGTAAAGGGAAACCACGGACCACAGTTTCTCCATATCACCTTTTCCCTATGAGCAAAAGTAGCACAATGATTAATCCAATTGGCTCAGTTAGAAATATATATATATATGTGTGTGTGTGTGTGTATTGAATAGATAGAATTGCAGTAAAAGAACAAAAGCATGCAAGTAACAATCTATGTTCAGCAACTTGTTGTACTTGGAATTCTACCCAAAGTGGGGTTAAAGAAATGAAGATCCAACAAGTACATGAAAGTTTCACACATATTAGACAGTAACAGCTACATGGGCACATGGGGTCAGATCAGCTTTCCAAAACAATACCACGTGTCCGTAGCTTACACGGCAAGGTCAGTTCTTCTTCATCTAGTTTTGTACTGTACCACACACCAAGAAAATGTTACTGCAAAGGACTTTAAAACCCAATTCTACGTTTCAAAGAAATTTATTGTTGGATACTAGTAACGGTTTACAAACCGGAATACGGTAAAAAGATAATAACAATAATTAATTGGCAGGAAGTGGTACTAACTACTAAGTAGAGGGATCTCAGAGGAAAATGGGAAAATATGGAGTTACAGTTACAGCGAGATATGATTGATATGGTACGAATGCATCAGAGAACAGCAGCAGCGCAGATAAAGAAGGAGAAGGCAAGAAAAAAATTATCAATAAAGTGCATTTATTGAGAGATCTTTTCCCCAGAAGGATACTGAATTTCCATCACGATTCATAAATAGAAATTCTTATTTCACACAAAACTTAAATGATTTGATATATTGATGCTACTGAGAAAAAAAGTTCCTGCAATTCCTCCTCCATTATCTCAACAGTGGCATATGTATATATAATATATATATATACATATATATACATGCAGACGCTTGGAAGGTGGGCATGGATAGAGAAATGTGGTACTAGATATACAATTTTAGGTAAAGCCAGAAATTATACCTAACATGAAAATGACTCCCTAAAACATGTATATGATTTAGATTAGTGGGAATGGGAGATTCGGATACCAGTTTGATTTTGACTGATCAACTTCCATGGAGCAATCGTCCGCGATCTGACTACTGCTAAATACTGACAGCTTGCTTCTTATTCTTCTTCTGCTTCTTCTTCATAGAGCATGGTTTGAATTGAACTGGAATCCACTCGTAGCGACCTTCCATTGGCTCGTCCTTCACTACGTCGTAGTTATACCTGCAATTGAATTATGGATTACGTTTTGGATTTTGTAGATTCGTTAGTTAAATTTCATCTATATGAGAGAAGGAGAGTAGTTACGTACTTGTCTGCGAATTGTTTGTGAAGATTCTTCTCAGCCGTGGCGAAGAACTCTTCGAGTTCAGCCTCTGATGGCATTTTAACCGTAGTGGAACGACGGCGAGAATTTGAATCACGTGGCATAGGTGTCGACTCTAGATCGCCTGACTGTTCTTCAGCCTCGTTCGATGACTTCTCTCTCCTGAAAATATACGCTGCCTCAACTAATTGTGGTGGAGAATGAGAATCGCTGGCGGCGTTCATGGCATGGAAGTGAGGGAGAAGAAAAGTCGCAGAAGGAAAGTAGGGGAAATTTTCGACTGTTGAGATTTAAATTTCGAATTGAACACAAGTGTTGCGGAGAATCATCACATTTATATATATATATATATATCCTCGAAGAAACCATTATTATATTTTACCTCTCTGTGAAATCCGCCGAAACGCCAGCCGATGTTGCGAAGAAATCCACTGTCACCTCATTCCCTTGCTGTATCCGAGAAAAAAAGGAATTCAAAATTCAAAAATTCTAATCAATTTTAACATATGCCACAAAAACGATAGCTATACACGATATTCATTTCGCTGTACTGTAACTTCCATGGAACTTTAATGGAATGACGACATGGACTTAAATTCTTCTGAAATTAATGTATATATACCTCCAGATCTGCCAATTTCGAACTGTCCTTGGTCAGTTCACTCAATCTGCTACTTGAGCAACACGAGCCCAACACACCACCACCGGAACTAACGCTCTCGCACGTCGAATTTCCCGACCTCACCGACGAAGCTGAATTCTCCGGTGTCGCCTCCGATAAACAACGCGTTTTAAACCTAATCGAGGACGTTGACAGCTCCGAGTTTTCTACGGTAATTTTTCTCTTCCTCCCTTCCTCCGCCGTCGCCGTCGCCGTCTCAGCCGCCTTTTCCATGATCAGCGCTTTCACTGGCCCCGTGCACTTACCAATTCACCTAACCATGTGCGAAATTTCCAGGAATCAAACCTTAATCACACTGTCAGAGCGACGAAACCAGGGATTATTGATGCGAAAAGACAGCTATCAGAACTTAGGTATATTGATTTCTGCAACAATTTTAATTCCTCTCTGCACGTACAAGCCCCGTGCGCTGCTGGAGATCGGAGAATTATCTGCTTTTGGCTGCACTTTTCCTGTGAGCAAAAGTTTTTATAGAGAGAAGAAAATAGTGTGCGTGAAAGCGAGTGTTGCCGATGGTGCTGCTGCTGATGATGACGATGACGATGACGGCGATGGCGATGGCGATGCTTGATATAAACTCTTTCAACGGTCCAGATCACTTCCCCACACTCCGTTAACGATAACGGCGTCATTAAACCTCCGTTACGCAGATCTACAGCCCGCCGAACCCCAGCGGGGTTACTTTACTTGTGTCACCCAACCACTCACCGCTCGACACGTTTACTAACAATATATTAAAGATTAACATTATAAAAATAATCACAAGTCATTTAAATACCATATTTCTTATTTTATAAAACTACCCATGCAATTCCAAGATCGTTAATCCACCACAGGAATTTTTCCTGTTTTGCAATTGTCAGTACTTGTAAAAAATAAAAATAAATTAAAACAAATTTCTGCCAGAAATGGGACAAAACAAATTGTTTCCCCCCCTCCCCCCACTGCCATCTGACCCCCCAAAAAATTACTGTTCTGAATTTATTGCTGGATTTGGAAAGCAAATACAATTTCCCATTCCACAATTTTCACAAAAATATAATAATTAATTAATTACGTGAGATTTGAAAAATAATAATAATTAATTAATTACGTGTGGTTGAGATCACGCGTATATGGTGCTTACCTCCTTAATCTGACCAGGTACAAAGCTGGTGTTAAGCGTAATAGTTGTGCTAAGCCATCATCATGTAATAACTTTGCCACGGTGGCTGAGGGTGAAGTAGTGAAATGACGAGAATACCCCTCTCCTTTGAGACACGGCAATTAATTTAGGGCCATAACGGCCACTGCTCTGTTAGGTGGGTGATTCAAGAAACGCTGCCTTAATGTTAATGGGCTCCCACAAAAATAAAAATAAAAATAAAAATGAATAATAATAAAATGTTAATGGGCTCCCCTCATTCACACGTGGGGCTGTGTTTGACGCTTTTCCATCCAACAACGCTTTTAATCCACCTACAGACAACTCTATATTTCTCCGATACGATTTATTTATTTATTTATTTGGTACAACTTGTAATAATAACATGTAACATAGATAACAATTTTAATTTTATTACATATAAATTGATTGTGGATTCTAAAATTATGCGTCTTTATTGCACCATAAATTGCATTGTTTGTGTCGTGACACAAGCGTCGTGTCGTGTCTGTCTGTCAAATGTCATTTTTATTGTGGATAATGAATTAATTAATAATAGTCTTGTGAATTATTTTTGGACCATTTCTTTGTTTTAAATAGAATTGATCTAGAAAGTATGATAGTTTTTTGCATCGAAATTGTACTAATAATAATTATTATTGTAATAAATATTACTATTAGTTTAAGCGTGAGTGATTTGAATTTTAATTTATTGGAGAAAAAATGGAAACGATGAGATTCTCGTACGGTAAAGTGGAGCTTCGCACCATGCTTTAATTATTGCTTAGAAGAGATTTTTTCAAAAAATAAAAATCAATTGGTTACTTTATACGATTTGATTTACGTTAAAGCTTAAAGGTAAACCCAAAAGTGCCAAGTAAAAATATATTTAAAGAAATAAATAAATGGCAATTTGATAATATGTGGATGAGAAGACATGATTAAAGTAAGATTCCTTAATATGGACATTAAATAAAGGTATTATTTTATTGTCAAAAGCACATCTACTTTGCACGGAAAACTAGAATAAAGGAATTCTCTAAATTAAGCTCGCCTATTATTATATTTAATTTAGATTGGATGTTCGATCATTAGGGTTGATTTGTGTTTAAATATACTCCCTCCCTTCCCACATAATTTGTCTCTATTTTCTATTTTCGTCCATTCCACCTAACTTGTCCTTTCTATTTTTTAAAATATAATTATGCACTTTAATCGCATTTTAAATTTTAAATTTTATAATTTTTTTTTAATTTTAATTAAACTATTTACTTATCTTAATCTTAATTTATAATTATTTTTACTAAATAATAATTATTTTTACTAATACACTTCTTAATTATTTACTAGTTATACTTTACCTATAGGGTGTGTTTGTTTGAAGGATTTTGGTGGATTTCCACTGTTCATCCAATTTTTTCCCCCCAAAAACATCAAATCAAACACCTATTTTTCATTTTTTATATTATACTAAAAATCAATTTTACATTCAAAACATCACATCAAACCCTATTTATATCACATCATACAACTATTCAAATTCAAAATTTTTACTATTCAAATCTCAACTCAAAATCCAAACCCCCCAAACAAACACACCCATAGTAATAGTCCCATATTTTCTAGGACGGAGGGAATATTTTTTAAATTTTTTTGAGATTTTGTAAAATTTTTAATAATAAAAATTTAATAGTATTTCATCTTGTAAATATATATTAGATAGGATATTTTAGAAAAATATCTGTTATATAATATTTTAAAATGAAATAAATTGTGTTCGATTAGTGTTTAGAAATTTTTAGAATATTATTGTTAGATATTGAAAATTATAAAAATATTATTATAATTATTTTTTGTTATTTTTTATATACTTATAAGAAAAAGTTCCTTTCAATTTAGAGGTGTGGAAATGATGAGAATTTTAAAAAGAAACACTCCTTAAATATTTTATATTTAATATATATATATATATATTATTAACGAAAAATGTAAACAAATATTTAAAAACATATATAAATAGATGTTAGTTGAATATAATAGTTCAAGTTATATAATATTCATTCAATGAATTTCTGTGTAAGCAAAAAAAAATACATTATACTTCTATTACTATTTTGTAATTATTCAATATATTTTTAAATAGAAATAAGCTTAAATTAAAATTCATCATATATATATAACAATATAACAAGTGTATATTTATAACCGTAGTTCAATATAATATATATGTATGTATATATATTATAAAGTTCAATAATACAATTAAACCAAAGTAAATTATATTTGATGGTCTTTAGATGTGCATATTTATATACTTAATTTACTAAAATAAATTACGTCTGCAATGCCCATATGTTTTTTTTTTTTTTTTTTTTTTTTTTTTTTTTTTTTTTTTATGACGTGGAACCTGTAATCGTTACCCGAAAGTGCATATTGGGTAAACCCCCGGTCGAACCTGAACCTAATACCCTGTAAATCAGGCCTGACGGAAAAGTCACACTAGGCAAACCATGTGTGGTAGGTGACCTGAGGCGTCGGAGTTTAAACCCATGACTTCATAGTCACAAATCCAACCTCTGCATTTAATGTAACTACATACAAATTTTAATACATAATTTGTAAAATATAGTGCTATAATTATATATTGATATCGTTCACAATATGTTCACATTATATATACTTTAGGGTAAATCTCAAATTTTTAATTTTTATATACACAATATTACATTCAAAAAAGTATTTTTAATTACAAAAAATTAAAATCCAGAAATATCAAAAAACACAATAAAACACATGTTTGGGTCTTGTCCATGGCTTGGCACATGCTACATTTATGAACTAATGGGTGTACATTACATCGTGTGGTCCAATTTTAATTTACGTATATGTAAAAATCTATTCCCTAATTATTATTATTATTATTATTAAAAACTACTAATAAATATGACTTTAAATTCTATAGGAGTGTGTGACAAAATTTAATTAAATAAAAAGATAGTAGCAATTGCTCATTTTGGACAATCCAACCATGTGCCCTTTTCCCAATATTTTCACTTCCAACCAATTTTGAAATTCACAAAGGTCCCCATCCTCGTAATAGAAAATTTGATGCCCGTTGTAAAATATTGATAAATAAATTAAATTATAATTTTGAAAATATTTTCTAATTAAATTGAATTTATTTATCAAATGGTAAATGGGTTAAAAGGTTGTGTTCATGTAGAGATTGGGCCTATTGGGCCCATATTGGACTGCCGTTTAATTGAAAATTTGAACGAGTCAATTATTGTGGGCTGACAAAGTAAATTACTCTTTAACCGAAAAGAGAAATAGTAATTTATTTTTGTCTTTTTACATAAGGCAAAAATAAATAAATAAATAAATCATTGCGACAGATCATCGGGGTTCAGAGATTTTTATTATTATTATTGATAATTAAAAAAAATGGAATGTCAAAATGTGTGCACATGTGGGTGGCGGGACACGTGGCACAAGGTACAACCTTCCATTGCGTGCTGCAAGAATCGCCGCCTTCTTTGGGATTGCGTTTCCCGAAAACCCTCGAATGCAGTTTGATCTTGATTCAATCCGTTTGTACCTTTCTTTTCTGCTTGATTACCTTTTTTAGCTGCGTATGTGGTTGATGATTTCATCGTGAATTAGCGGAAAATTCATGGGGTCTTTTCTGAAGATGACAATTGGTGAGAAATCGGGAGCTGCGAGATTGTAGATGCAAATGGATTCGATGCCGGTGAATTGGGAAGCGCTCGACGCTCTCGTCGTCGACTTTGCCAAGTCCGAGAGGTTAATCGGTGATGCATCGCCTCCGTCATCGCCTCCGCCGTCGGCGTCTTCGTACAAGTGGCGCCTCCTGATTTGCCAGATCAGGCGTTGCCTGGAGTCCGGGGATGTTGACTCGGCGATTGACCTTCTGCGGGAGTATGCCCCCTCGGTGCTCGACGATCACCGCCTCCTCTTTCGTCTGCAGAAGCAGGTACGAATGCAATTTTTTCTTACCGAAATTAGTTTTCCTCTGTGGCCGGGTTTTGTTTTATTTATGGCTTTTTGTACGATTTTCTACAGAAATTCATTGAGCTGTTAAGGAAAGGGACGAACGAGGATCGTGATTCTGCCATCAAGTGCGCCCGCGCATCTCTTGCCCCTTGTGCACTTGACGCCTACCCGGTATTGATTTAAATTTTTGCCTATTTAGTTAATTTCAGAAGCAGTTTGGCGAGTTCAATTATTCTGTTTAGGGTTAAATAGAAGGATGATGATGATGAATCATGGCCACACGCCTGTGTTACTGATAGGTGTTTTTGTCCATCAACATTAGCTGATAGTTGAGTTTGTCTGTGAAGTTCACATGTAGCATTTCTTGAGTAGAAAGTCCTATGTGCTATGAGCAAGTAGTTAAAGTCATCTCTATGCGTTGCATTTTCTAATAATACATTGTTGTTTCTCATTTAAGGAAGCATACGAGGAATTTAAGCACATTCTTCTTGCCTTCATCTATGACAAAGACGATCAGGCTTCTCCAGTCGTGAATGAGGTAGGTGATAGTACATCTTTCACTGCAGTTCTGTGTCAAAGTTTGCGACCTTTCGTTTGTCTTGTTGTCTAGGCTGTGGACCTCGAATAATGTTCTAAAATTATATTTACAATTTGTAATTTGAGTGTTGGAATTTAGACACTTTTCGTTTTAAGGCAATAAGTATACTGCTTTGACTGCATCATCTGTTGTTGTATGTGTTTTTTAATATTCCAAACTTGAGGAAATGTTGACAGAACAACATTACTATCTGTTGGAAACCAATGAGATATGATCTGGCAGAAGAGGAAATAGAATTGTTTCCGTCGCTATAATTGAAACAAAGCAACTGTGGTTGGCAAAATGTTTCATGCATGGCCGAAAAAAAAAGTGGGAAGATTGAATGAGTTAAAAAAAAATAAATGGAGAAGGGGCATGGGAATCTTGAATTCAACCAGATGAGGATGTGCTAGTTTAGAATTTTGTAATTATGCTTGATGTTTCTTTCCTAGAGTAATTTATTATGTAGTATAATTTATCTTGGTGGGAAACTGAAGATTATGCCTGTTATTTTTGTAAAATTAAATGTTGTGCCTTTGTTTCAGTGGTCCGAAAAGAGAAGGTTTGAGATTGCTGGACTGCTGTCTTCTGTTTTACGGGCCCAACTACATGCATATGATCCTATCTTTTCAATGACACTGCGGTATTTAATTAGGTACATGCCAGTTGTTTCATAATTATGTCCTACGATTGCTGGTTGTGTTTCCTAATTATTTGAAACGAAAAAATTGAGAAGCATGTATCTACCAACAGACTCGTGGTCTCATTCACAATTTTATTGGTATTATATTGAGTTTTTGCTTGTACCATGCAGCATACACAAGGGATTTTGCATCCGTCAAGGAATTTGTTCACCCATAACAGATCTCACAGAAAGACTGCTCTTCGAGGAGCGTGACCCCCCTGCAATGCCACAAGAAAGCTTGTTTGAAGCACCTCCATTTGATGAGGTGGGGAGGTTGTTCAAGTTTATAAAATCTCCTTTGATCTCTTGGTGCAGCCAGCTACCCTGATTCACAGAAAAATTTCTGTGTTTAATAAATTCCCACCAAGTATTTTCATTCATTGAATTTATATTTGGATTCTGCATAGGTGGACATACAAGCCCTTGCACATGCAGTGGAGCTTACTAGACAGGGTGCAGTGGATAGTTTGAGGTTTGCTAAGGGTGATTTACAGCAGGCATTTCAGGTAAAGTTAGGTAAACATAGTGTTTTTTACATGTAAATTGTGCCATACCAGTTTTTTCCCCTTAAATAGTAGGAACGGTGTATTGACTAAAAACTATATGAAAAACAACATCTCTGGTGTGCATTAGAGCACAAAAATGCAAGTGCTCTTTCTTTTCATTTGAATGGAGTGAAATGATACATATATATATATATATATATATTTAAAAATTGAATTGGATTAGAAGCTGCTATCAAGTTTCTATCTACTCTGCTGCTGTAGTTTGTAATTGTCAAGTTTATGAATTTTTGAATGCTTGCATTGTCAGTTTTTACTTAGAAGCAGCACCTGCAAACAGGTGTAATGATTTAGAATTTATCTTTTCAAATGTCCTACTGTAGTTGGTTTTGAAACATACGGCCCACAGGTGGACGGCATGCATGATAAAATAAGGAAAAATTTTCATGTGAAGGTGAGAATTGTTGGAGTAAATTGATCTATGGCTGAATATAAGAAATGAAATAGAATGATGTTTTTCCTATCAAGTTAAGCTTTCTAAGTATATGTTACTAAGAGTGGGAAGTCTCATGTTTGAATCCCGTGTCACCCCTTAGAAGTAAGTTTTCATTTGCAAGGCTTTAAAATATTTACTTCATTTATTGAGTTCCTCCTGTTGTGCATGTATAAGGAGGGTGCATAACAGATTTCATACACCCCTTTACCATGTTAGTGCGAACAGAAACTTAAGATCAACAAGTGACAGAAATCATCTTCATTATGCTCGTGGCACTTTTCATTCTCTACAACTCATATGCAGCAAATATGGGATCTTTATTGCGGAAAACTGATTTGACTCACAATTTGCGTATGGGAACATATTGAATACAAGGGGCTTACAATTGCAATTTTTTTCCTTCCATGGTTTCCACAGAATGAATTGTGTCGGATGAGATTAGATATTTCTGTTCTTGATGAGCTTGTCCATGAGTATTGCATCTATAGGGGCATTGTAGACCCTGGTTCAACAAACTCTGGTGAAGGTATATTCTGTTCAGTTAAATCTAAAGTTTGGGATCATGTAGTTTTTCCGGGAATCTATATTCATGTTACCTATTCATTTTTGAATTTATCAATATACAGGAACACTAATTACATCTGGAATGGAAATTGGCGATCCATCGGATCCAGGAAGTAGTTTATCTGAAAATTGTTTAGTTGGTTCTGATAGCGACATGTCAGCTGTAAGCAGCAGTAACATAGAAGGTTCCCAGGGTAAAGTACTTCTGGCAAGTGCACCAAATCCTGATATGGAAGTGAGGTACCCAAGTGAAACAACCAGTCTCAAAGAAGACTGTAGCACCAGTAGATCGCAGGAACCTGAAGACAGCAAGGCTGTGCAAAGAAACAGAAGTCCTGGAACTGGGGAAAGGGGCAAGCGAAAAAGATGGAGGGGTAGAAATGAGAATCTTGAAATTGTTTCAGAAGTGCTCAGGGGAAGCAGTAAACATGAGCTCAGTGCTGCTACTATTGGTTGCACAAACACTGTAAGCAAATTACAATAATTGAGTGCTTGTTTAACAGTAATATATTCTGTGCAATTTATCAAAGCGGGTATTCTGCAGGATCTTAAAAATTCACCTATGATGCAAGATGCAAGCAATAAGGTGGACAAGTTTGAGATTGTTTTGGGACTGAAGGAACTAGCAAGCAAAGGAATGGCTGTTGAAGTTGTTGAAGAAATAAGTTCTTTGGATCCTGATTTTTTCTTGCAGAACCCGGTACTTCTTTTCCAGCTAAAGCAGGTAAGTACTTTTTGTTGCTGCTATTAAATTTTATGTTTACGATAACTTAGTCCTTGTCAATATTGGAAGGGGGATCAATCTGATCTATCTATCTTATACATGCTTTAGGTTGAATTTTTTAAGCTTGTTCGAGCTGGGGATTTTTCCAGTGCACTGAATGTTGCCTCATCCCATTTGGGTCCTTTGGCTTCCAAAGATCCGAATTTGCTTAAACCATTGAAAGAGACTTTGTTGGGTTTGCTCAGACCAACTGAAGAGCCAATTGGAAAGCATTTCTCCTTAGATGCCCTTGCAACTTCACTTCAGGTTTGTCAATAAATTTTATAAGTGTGTACCTCCATTCTTTCTATATTATCTTGTGAATTTTTCATTTTATCTGCATACAAATATTTGCAATGAACAAAGACTGAAAATGCTATAAGGTTCCCTATCATTTCTTATTTCTTGTTTTCAAAGGCATTTGCCTAAATTCTCATTTCTTTTAATTTAATTAAATTGGAGTATACCCTTTAGTCTCTTTTCAAGTTTCTACCATGGTGCTAGAAGCCCAAAAAGAAATTGTATGTATTTGCTTCTAGTTTTTCATTTGTGCAAAATTCAGAATTCCTACCAACGACACAAGTATCAAGAATTCAAGATACCCCTCCGAAGCTCTTTACTGTATGTATTACAATTGTTTATATGATGTATTAACTAGTGTTTGTTCTTCATGAAGATTGCTGTTGGTAGAAGATTAGGCGTTGAAGAGCCACAGCTTATGAAGATAATAAGGGCGACACTCTACTCGCACACCGAATGGTTCAAGCTTCAAATGTGTAAAGATCAGTTTGAAAGCCTCTTATGGATCAATTCCCTGAAAGAGCTCGGCAGCCCATTGCTCGGAGATCCTGCTTCCAAATCCAGCATGGATACCTGCACTCAAGGTTCTTCACAGGTCACAATGTCATCCAGCAGTATGAGCATCCACAAAGACAGCAGCAGTCCTAATCAAATCTCATCGACTGATATTGGATGCGATGAGAATGCAATACTCAAAGTCATGGTAAGCTTTCTATAAAACCATTACATCTTTTGGCATCAACTCATAATACTCCACATTGAAGTAAATACCTACTGCTCCTATCTTTTCCCTGTTTCAGGAATTCCTTGCTCTGCCCAGAGCCGATGCGATCCATCTTCTTGCGCAATATAATTGGAACCCCGAAACTGTGATTCAACAGATATTCGCCTAGTTTGTTAGAGAGGGTGTACATCCATCAGTACCATCTTAAAGGTTCTATAGTCCATTGCTATTTGAATTGGACTGTTTATTTTGTTGTTGTTGTTATTGGTGTATAGACTAAATTTTGTGTGCACAGAACAGGAAAGGGAAGGAGCCATGTTCAATTATTCTTGCAGCCTTGGCCCTCGAGACCATGTAATTCTATCCACGTTTTGTTTCTATTGTTGTATTCATTTCTTGAAACATACACAGTGACAGTTTATTCATACAACACTGAATCTCTGGCAATGAATTAAGTCTGCTGCAGCTTCCTCTCTTCTGTTCTGATAGTTATTGTATTTTATTTATTTGGGGAAGCAATGGATTTAAATATTTACTATATTAAATTTCAAATCAAAATTCAAATTCCAAACAAACACACCGGTTTAGATAAAGAGTTTTGAAGTTTTAAAATTTTAGAAACAATTAAAAATAAGTAACTAAAATAATATTTTTGTAAGAAAAAATAAATTGATATTGTATTTTTAAAAAATTAAATAACCCTAAAAGCCCAAAAATATTATACAAATCCCCGATGATCGATTTGATTTAATGTCTAGAATTGGCCATTAAAATATCCTAGGCCATCTATAAGTTTTTATTAAATTCCACATAATTTTTTTTTTTTTTTTTTTTTTTTTTTTAAATACCCTCTCCCATCACTAATTTCACAAGAAAATCTTGAAGATGTCCCACCAAATCAAACCTCACTAACCAACCAACCAACCTCCAAAAGGTAACCAAGACCCTATTAACTAGACATTTTAAAATTTTTAACATTAATTTTTTTTCTTAAACAAACATCACCTCAGTGTATGTATATATATATCATAAAATATTACATCAAACTGTAAAATCCTTTACTATTTTAGAAAATTTTCAAACTCCAAAACTTTTATCGAGCTAAGAACACATTGCATCACTGAAGGAGGTAAACTGGGAAAAAATAAGTGGAAGAGCATGCAAGCACACTGTGCATATGAATCTGCATTCATTCATTAATATTATTCATTCAGAATCTCAAAGCATTAAGTGAATATTCAGTTCTATAAATACCCCTAAACAAACACCATAGTCAATCATTCCCACATTCCCTTCCCTGAGTCATTAGGCCTAAGCCATCAAACTCCATGGCTCAACCATATCCCACAATAGCCCTCCTCTTTCTTGCCATTATAGTCTCCCCTACCAACGCAACGCGCTTCAGGTTCACGACTAAAACTGAGTTCCAGGCCAACACAGAGATGCCACTAATGGAACATGCCAACAGTCTTGCCACAGACAGCTGCTCTCCAACAGCCACAGCTGCATGTAGACAAGAAGTGGCTGGACTTGCACCACCCACCCCGCCCACCCCATCGACTGTGTCTAGCCCTCCTCCACCTCCGCCACCAGGGCATCCCGATGACTTCAGACCCACTGCTCCAGGACACAGCCCTGGAATAGGCCATTCTCCCTGAGTTACATGTTTATAAGAAATATAAGAAACCTGATGTTGTGTGTGGTTCGATTTGGTTTGATTCATCGTCTAATTTGTTGTAAAAAAAAAGCATTATGTAAATGTTGATTCAAGTTTGTTTCAAAAGCTCCCCTAATGCATGATGCAACATTGCCAAGATTCCCTTCTCCTGCAATGCTCTCTTCTTTCTATCTTTATTTTTAAGTTTCAGTCATTTTCTTACAGTTTTGGAGGTTAACTGAACTAACTTAAAGAAATACAAAAAGGGTAAAAAGAAGGAGAAGAACCATGGCGGCCAGGGTCACTGTCAAACAACAGAACAGACTTTTAATGTACTAAACAAGATATTAAAATGAAGGCACAGTATAAAAATAAAAATAAAAATTGATCCTTTCATTTTCAAAGATGGGTGGGGCAGCAAGAAGGGCTTCCAAGCCTTATGGAACCAACAATAATATTATTATGCCCTTTCTGAGGAATCTCTTCAATAATTCCCCAGTCAAAGAAAATGAAGGGTTGAGGTATCACACTTTAAAGCTCATCATTAGGATCCCTTTCATTTAAATGAAATTTTAACAGTAAAAACAGTAAACTTTAGTTAAAGAAACAACATATTGTAGACAAAGTGCCCCTGGCCCTCATAGTCATGCCTTTGTGGACTTTTTGCTACTTTTTTAGCCCCTCCACTTGTCATCACATATTTATTTATACATACATGTGTCTTACATATACTTATTTGCTAATTTTGTTTCCATTCTTACAAAACAGGTAAGTAATCATCTTATTTACCAGATAAAGAAACAGGGCAAGCTAATTTACCTTGAAAAGAAAGGTGGAGTGAAATCAACAACCATGGCTAATTTACCTTTTAAATAATCTTGGAGCAAAAAGAACAAATGCAGAATGTATTCCATCACTTTCACACTGAAAATGACCATCAAATCATCAGATGTTATTTCAGGTAAAAATTAAGGATGTTAGTCTAAGCCATTGATGGGACAGAATAGATTCCATTTCCCCAACTTTAGGTGCTCTAAAATTCAGCATTTATGTCAATTCCAATATGCATCATTACATACATATATACATATAAGAGCAAGTGAACTTTGGAAAAGAAAAGAACAAAAATGGCCTAAAGAAAAAAAACCTTTATTATAAGTAAATGCATAAACCACATGAGGGCTGCTCCAACTGCTGAACAGCACTTGCAATTGTGGAAATCTGTTGGTGTTGTTAAACAAGATTATCTATCCCAAATATAATATGTTAGGAATCTCAAACTTTCAGCAGCTAGGAAATGATAATGTTCATTCAAAAGCTCCATCGTCCCACAAATAAAAACTATTCTTCTAACCGAAAGGCGAATGAATGCCTTGGCTTGAATGAATTTGTTGACTGCAATAAACAAAAGAAGCACAAGTTTGCATAACCACCATAGAAATAAAGAAGCAGACATTGTTAAGTGGACAGTACAAAGAATTCCAATCCCCATTATCAGCCGCCTTCAGCTTCTGTTATTTTATTGCACCAATAAAACTCACTTCCCAAATCTTATAACCAACCATGGTTTGCAACAACCCTCCTAACAACATATAAACAATCAAAGTATCATTTGAGCACATTGAAAGGCCGTAGAAGTCAAACGGCGAGACACCGAGCCACAAATTATGATACTTAGGAGTCTACAAAAGTTTATACAGCTGTTTCCATGGGAGATGGACCCTGTTTTATAATTAAGTGCACGAATGTCTGTGGCCGTGCATGTGGGAGGTCATAACCGGTGGGGCGGCCCGGCACGCCAAGCACTCACTCTTTTGCACTATATATAAATTTCGGTATGTAAAGCTCTTGGATTTAAATATAGAACTCACTTAAAGAAGATCTGAATAGACCAACAGGTTAATGAAATATTTCTAGGATATATTGATCTAACATCACTTAGTCTGATACGATTTGTTTAGAAATTCGAAATCTTGTAAATGTAAAAGATTTACAACATACCTCAAGTTCATTCAAATCCCTTGATTACAGATATTCTAAATCTATAAGCATAGGGGGGTGGGGGGGAGGGGGTGAGGAGAGCCATTGAGTATTTTTAGAAGGCAAATGGAAAAAGTGATGAATGAGAGCCATCCATCATAGCATGAGCATTATAGTTTTTATATTTTTCATGATTACAAAGTTTAATGGTTCAGATCCTTGCATGAAAAAAAATAAAATAAAATTAGAGGATTCTCAAGACTATAAATACTAGTGAAGTGTTTAGTGTGAGTTCAAGAAATTGTGCTTCTTCATAGCAACTTTCGCATATACAAACACAGATAGACTAAACCAGCAACTTGAAACCACAATTTCTAATTCAATGGCCTATGTCCAGCAAGTTCACGTCTTTCTTTTCCTTCTCGCAACTATAGCCTGCCGAGAAATTCAATTGTCTGAGGGGAGACAACTCAAAGCAGCAAAGGGCAATGTCAAAGTAGAGAAAGAAGAGAAAGAGCTTGCCATGAATGTCGAGAGCAGTCTTAACAGTCGTAAAGAAGATCAGCACAACAAAATATCATCGCCACAAGGGACGCCAACACAGAGTCAAGAATTCAGCAATTCAAAAGCAACACATTCAGATGTTATCCAATCAACGCCGCAGGGGAACAGCCCAGGAGTTGGCCACAGTTTTTCGGTACAAAAACACAACAAGAAGCCTTACACCATTGCTGCAGGGGAAGCAAATGGCTCTCAGCACACTCTAGGCCACAGTCCCGGCGTCGGCCACTCTTTTGGGATCTTGAAAGAAGGGTCAAAAGCTTAGCTCATCATCTGCAAAAATGTATGATCATAAGTGAAAACTTGTAATTATCGATTCTAATTTGAACTCGCTTTAGGCGAATGGTGTTCTATGTATATTAAGGAAACCATGGGACAGCATATTTCATCTGCTGTGCAAATATCAATCAATCCTTCAATTCTTACATGTTTGTACAAATTTAGGCTACATTAACTAACAGGACATACAATCCTACAAAAAACAGAATCAAGAAAAACAAAAGCAGTAAGAATGAATCTCAAAGATCTCTGTTCATCATGTTTAGAATTTCTTCTTATTTTGAACCATGTTAAGAATTTCTTATATTCTTTTCACCAAGTCTACTGGAAATGATGACTGACTTGAATTCCCTTTATCCTCCAGCTACAGTTTTCAGCACACACAATCATGGTGGTTGTCAAATAAATTTTGAGTTACTGTCACATCCCAAAGATCCTAGTCCTACCTTTATGAAAGTGACAGCAGTGGGCAAGCTATTAAAATAAGATCTCTCCTCCCAGTCCCACTCAGTGGGCTATGATATTTTTTCACAGTAATCAGAATTTTAAATCCAATTAGAATCAAGTGTGGACCTCACCTGATGATTGTTTTACAGCTATTTTGATCATTGCAAAACTAAAGAGACACATTACATCACTATTGAAGGATTGAAATAACATTTACAGTGGTTAATTTTTGTTGTAAAATGAGGCTCGAGCAAATACTCATTCGAACACAAAGAAAGACACTTGTCAAATAAATAAATGAGTCAAGTGTTTGTTGACCAGTTCAGCTATAAACCAAGTTAGGTTTGGAAATACCAATGCAAGAGTAAATTCACTATAATGACTACCCACAAACTCCTTTTTAACTCATTTCTTCCATAATGGCTAACCTTGTAATTACTGCATAGATAATGATTGTTACAAGTAATGCAACTCAAGAGTTGTTTGCCAACTCAGATGGGTTCTTGATTAACTCCTTCTTCGGTTACTTCTCAGGCAAATTTTAGTGTTAAACA